CAGTTCCTACATTATAAAAATGATATATTCACCGAACAAAACTCAGAAAATACATGGTGGTAGGAAGAAAGAGAAATAAAGCATTATCCATGGCCCCACCAAACAGCCATCCCAACAGGTATGAGCTGCGTAGTCCAGAATGGTCGCAGCCACACATGTGGTCATTGAGCACTTGAAATGTGGCCAGTGGGACTGGCCAGTTTCTTTTATTAACTTAAATTTAACTAACTACACGGATAGGGCAGTGTAGAACATTTCCATTGTCACAGCACTGCCTCTGGACAGCGCTGCTTTAGAGTACTTCCCAGGCTCTGGGCTCTTTGTTTTCATGTGGTCGTTATGGGGAGTGTAGCATTTCCTAACTTTTCTTCAGTGGCCATCCCTGCTTTTTGATATCAGCCTGTGGGAAGGCACAGTCTTTCTGCAGCCCCTCCTGAAATTCCTCTTGGACTCCTGCAGTTGTATCACAGTTCAGTGGATACTGTTTGTATCATTTTTGGACCATTCCCCTCCCTCTTCACCCTCACCAACTTTTCTTAGCTGGGCTCAGGTTTTTGGTTTGCAGAAGACTATCCTCTGGCCAGTGAGGGAAGGGAAGGGTTTCTCTCCCCTTCTCTACCAGGCATGTCCTTGGGCTTCGGGAGCCCTGGGTGACCACCTTGTGCCAGATGGCAGCAGCCAGGCTCTCAGGATGTATGAGTGGAGGATGGAAGACTTGAGTGCTGACAGGAGGGTCCTCAGAATGGCTCTGTTCCAGCCCTCCAACCCTCCGTTTCCAGCACCACCTCTGGATCTGACCCCCCCCCCCAACCTCTGTCATCCAGGTGCATCCACTGTGGGGTCGTCCACCTGACCTTGGCCTTGCTGAAAAGCCACATCCAGGAGCGACATTGCCAGGTTTTCCACAAATGTGCTTTCTGCCCCATGGCCTTCAAGACTGCCAGCAGCACTGCGGACCACAGCGCCACCCAGCACCCCACTCAGCCCCATAGACCTTCTCAGTGAGTGCGGCTCCAGGGCCAGCAGGCCTGTGGGGCAGAGCCGAGTGGCTTGGGTGCTGGTGGGGGTGGGGGCTGTCGGGATGGACTGGGGGCCAGGGCTAGTGACAGAGACACTGGCGTCTACCGAAGACATCCTGAGGCTGGGGACTACCCACATTGGCCCACAGTAGTGCTTTCCCAAACCTAACCCTGTTTCTGAGAGCGTGCAGATGGGGTGGAGGGCCGCGCGGTTCTGCCAGCCGAGACTTGGCCACCTTACGCCCTGGGGCTTTTCTCCCAGGCTCATGTATAAGTGCTCCTGTGAGATGGTCTTCAACAAGAAGAGGCACATCCAGCAGCATTTTTACCAGAATGCCAGCAAGGCGCAGGTGGGCGTCTTCAAATGCCCTGAGTGCCCACTCTTGTTCCTGCAGAAGCCGGAGCTGATGCAGCACGTCAAGGTGGGATGCCCTAGGGCAGGAGGCTGGGAGGAGGGCACGTGCCTCAGGCCGGGGTCTGACTCTGTGCCTCTTTCCCCTTGCCCAGTCAGTAATCGCTCTCCCCATCCCCAGAGCACCCACGGTGTTCCCCGAAACGTGGACGAGCTGTCAAGCCTCCAGTCTTCAGCGGACACGTCCTCAAGCCGCCCTGGCTCTCGAGTTCCCGCTGAGACCCCAGCCACTAATGTGGCTGCTCGGGGCAGCTCCCTGCCCTCTGGCCGCTGGGGCAGGTCCGATGCCCATCGCCGGGCTGAGGCCAAGCCCCGGCTGAGGAGCACTGGCTGGACCTGCCAGGAGTGCCAGGAGTGGGTTCCTGATCGGGAGAGCTATGTGTCCCACATGAAAAAGAGCCATGGTCGGGTAAGCGCAGCCCCAGGGTCACAGTGCCACGCCAGACTCTGCACTTCTCTCCCGTGGGGTCAGGGCTCCCTTATGTAGCTGACCCCTTAAGGTTCCTGGTGCTTTGGGCAGGGTGGGTACCGCAGATTTTGAGGTCTTTGGGGGCATTCTCCTTTCTGCCCATGTCATTTGAGAAGAAAGATGCACCCAGAACTCTCTTACGGTTCTAATGTTTTGCTTTCTGTGACCGCCTGTAGACACTGAAGCGGTACCCGTGTCGGCAGTGTGAGCAGTCCTTCCACACCCCCAGCAGCCTGCGCAAACACATCCGCAACAACCACGACACTGTCAAGAAAGTCTACACTTGTGGGTGAGTGAGTCTGCGGAGGTGGAAACCAGTGGGTCTGAAATTCAAAAAGACTGTCTGTGACACCTCAGGGCTTTTCCCTGTGTGAGATCAGGGTCAAAGGCAAGAGATAGGCAAGTTTCTAAATGGAGAAGCGCTGTGGCTAGGTCAGAAATCAGCTTCCAGAACCAGGGAGCCCCTGAGTCCTCCCCCTTCCCACCTCCCTGACCCTGGGCTGCCCTGAGATTTAAGCACTTTGGTGGTGATGTGACCGTGTGCCTCATGGGGCCAAGAGGCTTCAGCACCATCTGCCTGTGCTTTAGGTCATACCCTGGCCTCTTTCATGTTCACCACCAGCCCAGCTCTTGGGCCTCTGGGCAGTGAGATCGGGGAGTGGGGAGTGAGATCATGGCTGAGGGCCAGTACAAATATTCTGCCTTGCTGTTGTCTGCCACCTTGGCTGGCTTGCTGGCTAGAGTTTTCTGGAGAGTACCAGCACTCCCCAGCCAGCCTGAGGACCACCCGGCTCGCGGCCTGTCTGCTCCAGACTCTCCCCTGGAACCTTCACCTGCCTGCCAGGCCTGCCTGGCTCCACTGGCCTCTGCAGCATGTCACCTCACATGATTTCTTTGGCTGCCCTTTTGCAGGTATTGCACAGAGGACAGCCCCAGCTTTCCTCGGCCCTCCCTCTTGGAGAGTCACATCAGCCTTATGCATGGTATCAGAAACCCTGATTTGAGCCAGACGTCCAAAGTCAGACCTCCGGGTGGACCTTCCCCTCAGGTGAGTGTGGGGCCCCTGCCCACTGGGGCAGCTTGCTCAGTGAGGCCTGGAGCTGGAGCGGCACTAGGAAGGCTACAGCGTGTGTGCATTTGTCATTGTGGCCATGCCGCAACCAGGAGTGACAACTTCCCTCAGTGTGGGTCCTTCTCGAGCCGTGTGTGACCCTCCTGGGACTGCACACAAGTAAAGGACAGGGACAGAGACTCACAAGGTAGGCTATCAGCCTCTTGTTTGTGCTGTTTTCTTGTCACTGTGTGCCCTTCCTTAGGGGTGTGCTGCGCTCTGTGACACGGGAGAACTTTCATACACACCGGCCAGCTTCTGCCTCCGTGCAGTCCTAGGAGTGGGCAGGCGGGGCTGACTGTCAGGTGATGGGGCCATGCTTGGCTGCACCCCACACCCCACTAGTTATGAGAGGAGCCAGGCCCCAACTCTTGCTCTCCTGGACACTTGTCCTATGACCCCCTTCTTGTTCCATGCCCATTCCTGTTCCTGGTGAACTTGGGGAGCAGCCTGGTTTTCCTCCTCACTATAGGCTCTTCACACCTCATGGTAGGGGGCTGCTCTTCAGAGGGCCCAGCATGTCTGGGAAACTGAGAGCTCCTAGGGTTCCAGGACATTCTTTGACTGTTCAGAGAAGGATGCTGGTCAGCAAAGACCCTTCCACACATAGCAGGTAGAGTGTCAGTTGTCCTTTTGGCAACATCTGTCTGTGATTAAAATGCACATGCTCCCCTCCCCTCCAAATGCACACACCCTTTGATCCAACAAGTCTGTTTCTTGGATTTATCTGTGAGGTATCTTTGGCCTTGGGCACCAAGAAGTGTGTTTGAGGAGGATGTTCACGGCAGCACTGTGTGCATGACAGAGATGGATTTCGACGAAGTGTCTGCCAGTGCGGACTGTCCATCCCCACGGTGGGCTTGTGCCGCTGTTAGGAGAACAGAGCCTCTGTATAAGCTCTTCTGGAGACAGATGCTAGTACGTTGTGAAGTGAGCAGTGCAGGGTGAAGACGTGTGCATGTAACGCTGTCATTTTGTAAAAGACGGCACATATCGTTTCTCGTGGAGGAGCCACAGAGCCGGATGATATGATGTTCTCTGGAGATCAGGCCTGGGGAGTGGGCAGGAGGGGTGCACAAGCATATGTTACATTAACAAAAGCAAACAACCCCCCCCCAACAAACCAAAGCTAAACCGGCATTCAGGGCTGGGTGACCCTGGAAACTGCGAGGCCTTGGGCTGCATGGGTCGTGTCTGGGGGCTTCTGTCTCAGGCTTGGCTCGCCCAGGACTCGGCTTACGCTGTGTCCCCTTCAGGTGAACCATCTGAAGAGACGGGTCAGCGGGGCGGCGGACGCTCCGAGCACCAGCAACAGTGCGACCGTCTCCTCCACCAAGAGGCACAAGTCCCTCTTCCAGTGTGCAAAGTGCAGCTTTGCCACAGACTCGGGGCTCGAGTTCCAGAGGCACATACCTCAGCACCAGGCGGACAGCTCCACGGCCCAGTGTCTCCTCTGCGGCTTGTGCTACACGTCCGCCAGCTCCCTCAGCCGCCACCTCTTCATCGTGCACAAGGTGAGAGACCAGGAGGAGGAGGAGCAGGCGGCACCGGCGGAGGCCACGGAGCCAGAGGAGGGCTCCGGGGAGGAGGTGTCCATGGAGACCCGGGAGAACGGACTGGACGTGTGTGCCGGCGAGCCTTTGTCGACTGACCCAGAGGCCAGGAGGTCACTGGGCCTGGCCCCTGTGGAGGACGGTGCCCCAGATGCTCACAGTCAACCACAGGTCTCTCAGGACCAGGACAGCTGTGCACTGTCCCCTCAGGTGTGACTGCAGGCTTGGCAGCGTGTGCCGTCATCTGGCGGTGCCGTGGCGTCCTCTGCCTGCCGCGTGGACAGTGGGAAATAAACGGCTCTGCCCAGTGTGTGTGGCAGGCCGTGCCCTGGAGCAGTGTCTGCCTGAGCTGCGGGTGCTGGGTGTGCCCAGCCCCAGGAGATGTGGGGTCACCCAAGTCCCTCACAGATCTGAATTCACTTCTGTTATTTATGGCTTTGTGCTGCTTCTTGGTACCCCAGCTCTTGTCTGTGTCCTTCCAACCCCAGGCTGCTTCAGTGGCCCAACCCCAATGCTGTCCACTCCGCTTGAAACCCCTCAGCGGCTGTGCTCTTCCAGGAGGCTGCTCACCTGCTGCCTTCAGCCGGGGAACTCCTCTGAGCTCTCTGGGCCGGCAGATGGCAGGTCTCCTCCCTGCCATCATAGCCTGAGAAGGGGGACACGGGGGGGGGCTGGCACAGTCCCTCCTGGAGAGCTCTGCCCAGCCTGGCCTGGCAAGGGCCTTGGTCACCTTGCCCTTCCTCCCTGTCTTCTCTGAGTCTTTCCCCCCAGATATCCTGGAGAATTGATTGTCACACTGGCTCCTCCTGTCTGGGGGAGGTGGAGGGAGGGGGAACGCCTGCAGCACACCTGTGTGTGGAACCTGGGAGAGCAGGCAGGCAGGCATCGAGAGGCAGACCCTTCCAAGGGAGTGTGTGTCCTTGTCCTGCGGCTGGCCTGCTTTCCTGACAAGTGGGGTTTGGGGCACACAGACGTTGGGATATCTGTGTTCTTGCTCCTGTGCCATTCGAGAGGCTGCTGCCCCAGGCAGGCCAGCCCCTCCTCCTTTTGGCTACACTCATGTTGCTCAGACTATATTTCAAATAAAAAGTTCTTCTTACCTTGCAGGTGGGCTCTTGTATTCCTCTTCAAGTGAGCCTGGCCCCACCCTGCTCCATCCAAAGGGTCTTTCCCACACGTCCCTCATTGTCCCATCTTGAGGGAGAACAGTTCCTGGTGTTTACAGAAGGTCCCAGATTCTGGAGCTGTGGTTAGGAAACCAGGAGCCTGGTACTGCTTGATTCACTAGAGACCCTCTGAAGGGGTGAGGGGAGGGTCTTAATGCTGGTCAGGAGTCGCCTCCAAGGTCTCTGGGCTGGCGACATCAGCTTTAGGACCTATTGAAATTTTCTGGGCACCTCCATCCCCTGCAAATGGATTTTCAACCTAAGAGAACTCTTGACTGGTGGGAGTGGGGTGGGGGATACAGGGAGGAATTCTGTCATTTTCTTGTAGTGTTCTCAAGATGTGTTGGTATCACCACTGTTACAGGGAACTCGGGTGTGTCAGAATTAGGATTAGATACTCAAGGCTGAGCTGTCTTTTCACTGCTGGCAGAGTTAGGGCCTGACCCCACAAAGAGCAGGCAGTGTGTGTGTGGGGTGTCCTCTGACCTCTGACCCAAGTGGCTGCTGCGGCCCTGCCTGGATGGGATGTGGGACTGGGCCTGGCAAGATCTGGTGCAGCCAAGGGAAGTGGGTGCTGAGGTGCTGACTGAGTCTTAGAGGTGATCTTTCAAGGCAGGCACTGCATATCAATTATAAATTAAGTCAGATAAATAGATCTGACCTTTTCACAACTGTAAACAAAAACCATTTTCTTCTCTATCAAATGCCACATTTTTAGTGGATATGCTAACGGCACTGGGAAAGGTTAGGGCCCGTCTCAGTTTTGGAGAGGTTTTGCTGTTTAATGATTGCCATACCTGGCAAGGCCACCATGTCCCCGCTTCCCAAGGAGGCAGTGAGGGCAAGCCGGGCCTGATTCCGGCTGCCTGCAAAGCCAGAGCTCCCCCAATGTGGCTGTCATCCCTTCCCTAATTCCCACTCTGTATTGTACCCTGGGTCCAGGGAATTATAGAGGGGGCCGGTAGAAAGGTTTGAAATCAATGGCTGAAATCTCTTTCTGCCTAGAAACAGTGGTAGCTGGAGGAAGAGAGAGGAGGTGGAGACATCACAGGTTTGACCACCTGTCCTGACCTCAGATCCATTTCTCTTTCCTGGGAATGGCGTGGAGTGGAAAGAATGCTGAGCCTTTCACCGGGAAACCTGGGTCACAGCCTGGGTTCTGCCCTTACCAGCTCCTCACAAGGCCGCTCCCCTTCAAAATAGAGCTAGTCATTCCCACCCTGACTCGCTTCTCGGGCTTTTCTGAAATGATGCGTGTGGAGGCACTTTCCAGTTTATGAAACACTATATAAAAGTGAGGGATTCTTGACATAACTTCAGGGCACGGAGGGTGGAGGGCACCTCACCTGCCATTCAGACTTGGGTGCTGACCGTCGGTTATGACTGGTCTGGGACACCTCTCCCTTCAGTTATTGTGATGACAGAACTGTAAGCCCTGCTCGTGTGCCCAGCATCTTGCTAAATACTTTGAAGTGATCCTCATTTAGTCTTCACAATAATCTCACAGCCAGGAAAGAAAACCGAGGCTCAAAGAGGTTAAATAACTTGCTGGGCCCCCTGTAAGCGATGGTGCCGAGTGAAGCCTGTCTGGTTCGAAAGTCCATGATATGAACCATGCTGCCTTAGTGACCTGGCTGCTTGGACTGGCCGCCAATTTGTCAGCGGTTTTCAGCCATCCAGACACCCACTTTCCTACCTCCTCACGGATGGGGTACCAGGTTCTCTCTCGAGTCATTCTGTGCCTTGTCACCTCAAGGAGGGCCCTGCACATCACATTTGCTTGTGACAAAAGCACACTCAGTTGTCTCGATGACCTTTGATTCTCACTGGGATTTAACTTGCCGTTTGAAGACCATCACTTTTGGGGGCCATCCCAGAAATGGTTGCCCAGCCCTGGTTCCCTCGGTGTCCAATATCTTTTGATCTTTTCTTTTTTAAGGTGTTTTTTAATGGTTGTGCTATCATCTGTTATCAGAAAATGCTTGCTGTAACAAGCACTTATCTGCACATTAGCTGGAGTGCTCTCCTGATCAAGTTAAACAGATAAAATCCCCCCCCCTTGTAGAAACTACAATTTAATACATGCTGAGGCTTGACAAATGACTAGTATTTATTTTCCAACTGCTTTATCTCTGTAAAATGATATGCCGAGTTACTATAAGCTAATTGAGTGTGTAGAAAGAACTGTTCCCTTAACTTATGTAAACAGTCTGGGTTTTGAAAACACTTGTGGCTCAGCAAGTTCAACACCCTTTGCCTTCTCCAAGACTGAGGACTTCCCACCCCACTGCCTGCCTGTTCACCGCTGCTTATTCAGCACTGAGCACACCTTGTTTCACTTGTTTTTAACATTTTTTTTGTTTGTTTTTTGAAAAGTTAATACATATACATGGTGAGATAGCCAAACAATACAAAAGAGTACACAGTGAAAAATAAGCTTCCCAGTGGAGGTCAGCCTTCAGTTCCCTGTCCTCTCTCCAGAGTTAATCGCTGTTAACCATATCTTGTGTATCCTTTCTGAGCAATTCTATGCATTTACAAGTTTATAAATATGTATATTTATATATCTATTTTTAATACAAATGGTAGCATTCTATACACAATGTTCTGAAGCTTGCTTTTTTTTTTCACTTACATAATGGAGATTGTTCCAGATTCATCCAGTGGGTCAGCCTAATAATTCTTTAAAAGTTCCTAGCACAGTTCCTTGCATTCAATAGTGGTTCAAAGAGTGTTTGAGTGAATGAATGAATGCATGAATGGAAGAATCTGATTCAACTGGTAGCTACAGAATTCTCTCACAGTCTGATCTGAACAAGACAGGATCTTCTAGATTCTAGAACATGTCTTTTCCAAGGGATTCAGGCCGTTGCCCTTCTCCATCATCTGACAGCAGCAGCCTTTGGAACTGACAGCAGAGAGCTTTGGGTCTCTCTGGGGGAAAGAGTACACTAAGTCCCAGGTTCCAAGTATGGGATTTTTTTGAGGTCCCTATTTAAAATGCCTTTTTCTTATTGGAAAATGATATAGCATTATTAGAGAAAACAAAAACAATGCATATTTATAATCCCGTTTTACTTTTGTAGTTGTTTTCACTTTTGCATATCACTTTCCAATCCTTGTTCAGTTCATAGCTGAATTTATGGTATAATTACAATGACTGTGGTTAACGTCAAACATTTCTATATGACAGACATTATTTTCACATTCATTCTTCTACTTAGCCTCATAATAATTCTCTGAGATAGATACTACTGTTGTTCTCTTGGAGATTCAGAGTGGTTGAGTAATGTCCCTAAAGCCACAGAGCAAGTGAGGGACAGAGCTGGGATTCAGTCAGGTGTGACCAGCACCGCACTGCCTCAGATTTTGTACCCCATTTTTTTTTCTACTTAATATTATTATGTCTGGACATTTCCAGGTTTCTCCATAGCCTTTAAACATCACTTCCAATAATTGTAATCATTTTCAAAACAACAATTTACTTACCAATATCCTGTTTACATTTAAATGTCCCACTTCATCAGTACAGTGAAGAGTGCTGAGCATATAGCACACTTTGTTTCTGCAGAAATAAATTATTAATAAATACTCATTTCCTAAGTATTTATCTCTATTTTTCTTGACTAAACTCACTGGCAGTGTGAAAGAATGATGAAATCAGAAGGTTCCAGTCTGGGCTCTGTAACTAAGTCATTTGATCTCTCTTGGCCTCAGTTCTCACATCTGTCAAATGATGGGGGGGAAAGGGGGGTTGGTTTAAATCTCTGGGGATCTTGAGCCTGGCTGGATTTTATCTTCTAGCTCCTGTATGTGTTTATGTCAAAATAGAAGATACCTTCCCAAAGGCAAGAACTCTCACTGAATTTCTTTTTTCAATTGTCTTATCTCTTTATTGACATTTGGCCTAGATATATCCAAAAATGCCTCCTACTTGGTCCCCCCCAAGGCAATAGTATTATTATTTGCATGTATTTATATTTCAATTTGCATCAGATTTATGCTTTTTTCAGATAGAGTTCTAGCTCTTTTATGAGCACCTTTTAAAAAGGCTTTCCAAGTTCAAATTATCTGTTTACTTGATAATTCTCAAGTATTTCAAATCCTTCTGTTACCCAGGTCTCTTTTCAGTAGGGACCTAGGTCCAGATGAATTCTTGAGCTAGTTCAGTGTGTCATGCATTGGCCTTTTAAAACCTCTATTTTAAAAACTATTATTATTTGCAAAATGAAATTGAGTTGTTCGTGCATGAATACTAACAAATCAACAAATGTATATGGAAAATGAAGCAAAAGGATATGACAAAGCCATTTAAGTCAATTCTAACAGGAAAAAGCCCCCATTCTAGTGAGTGCTCAAGTGACAGTGGATCAGTAGCACCATCTCGTTTCATGGGTGGGCATGGTATTACCTCCATATAGAGATAGTCTGAAATCTACTAGAGCTTCTAAAACTTAATCCCATAGCCTTTGCCTCTCTTCTCTGTGAAAATGGGGAAAGTTGATTATGCCTTTAATGTTTGAAGAGAGGGATGAAGCTGCTCTTGGATCTGGCTTTCATTAAACTAGGAAGCTCCTTTGTTTCTAGGCTTCTCCTTTCAGTTATAGCCCAGGGCCCACTGTATACAATTCCTATTTTCCTCTGGGGTTTTCTACTCCTTTGACCAATTTGCTTGGAGTTTTACCCTAAGACCCATTGTGCGTAGGCAGGGCTGAATAGTCTGGGTATCTGAGGAGGAGGGTGGGTTCTGCTTTCTAAGAAGCTCATTGGCCAAGAGGGAGGCTTCTTATTTCTACCCTAGACGATTCTGAGGAGGGCTTTGAATATGATTTTAAAATGGGGGAAAGAGAAGACAAGGTGGGGGAATGCGGAAGTGATAGGAAAGGGATAGAAAGTTGTGGAGGAGCAGTGCTTACCTTGCTCTCAGAAACTGTTGAATGACTGAATTGTTTTTCTAGGCCTTAGGATTCGTCCCATCTCCCTCTCAGGTCCTGGGAAACGGAGGCTGAAGAGGTGAAAAAAGGCTTATCGATAATGGAGGGGAACAAAAGACACATAGCCAGAGGACTTGCGGCCTCCTAGGGACTGCTAGGGACTGAGGTCGCTCATGTAGGTGTATGGGTTTGTCCAAGTGCTAAACCAACAGCCACTGGCAAGGCGAGGGTCAGTCAGGGCTGCTGCCTGGAAGAGGGACCATCCCGGGATGTAGCCTGAGCTCCAAGCTCTGAGCAATGTTCCCACACACACACACACACCCCCGCCCCCCACTCCCCGATCTCCCCAGCCTCTGGCCTCTCAGGGCTTCACCTCACATCCTTCACGCATCACCTTGATATTTTGGTACCTTCGCCACCTCCACGTCTGCAAAACGGGCCGGGAACACCGCAGGTAGGCGGACAGGAACCGGGTTCTCCGGGACAGCGCGCTTTCCGGCGCTTCCCGGGCCCCTGCCCCGACGTCGGGCGGCCCCGCGCGTGGACGGCGCGCTCCGCACACGTCGGGCCACGTCGGGCCGTCGCTGAGGGAGCCGCCGCGGCCCGCCGTCGGGCCCGACGCCTCCGGGCGCCTTGGAGGCCGCTGCGGGCCGGCCGGGGGAGGGACAGCAGCAGGTGACAGTCGGCCCGGGGCTATAAATAGGGGTGCGCGTCAGCCGCGGGCGGGAGCAGCGGCCGGCCGGCGCGCAGGGCTTGAGGGCGCGCGGGGCCTGAGGGCAGCGGCAGCGGCAGCGGCGGGCCGGGCGGCACCATGGGCTCACGGAGGGTCCCCAGCCGCAGCTGGGGCGCGGGCGGACGGGCCTGGGCCGGGGGCGACGGCGAGGACGACGGGCCCGTGTGGACCCCCAGCCCTGCCAGCCGCAGCTACCTGCTCAGCGTGCGGCCCGAGACCAGGTGAGTCGCGCCTGGGAGGCCCGCGGGTGGTGGGGTCAGGAGGGCGGAGGCCAGAGGAAGGGCCTGGGTGGGGGCCCGGCCTCTGGTGGCCCGAGGCTGGGGACATGGCCAGGACTCAGTGGTCCTCACAGCCCCTCAAATCCCCTCACTGCTCCTCAGGCCCTATGGCTCCTCATGGCCCCTGGGGGCCCCTGGGCCCCAGGCCTAGGGCAACGCAAGGAGAAAGGACCTCTTTGGGGGGGCGGTGGATTTCAAGGGGCCTGGAGGCTTCCTTATCTCCCCTGCCTCACTCCGCCCCATGGCTCTCCCCATACTGCCCACTCCCTGTCCTCGGATTCCACAGGGAGCGATAAGGAAGCCAGAGCGTCTGAAATTCCTCCCTGGCTGGAAGGGAGGGGAGAGCATTCATTGGGTGGGGTGGGCGGGCAGAGGGGTGAGCAGGAGATGGGTTGGGGGGAGCCCCTGGGGGACTGCACTGAGTGGGGGCTCTTAGCTGGGTGGGGTGAGGTGGGGTCAACAGGAAGAACTAAATGAAGTTCTTCCTCTGGGCCCAGGACCCTAGTCGCCCTGGGATCTTTGTGGGAGCTGGTTGAGGTGGCAGGGGATGAGCGGGGGAAGGGGTGCTGGTTGGCCCTGTCTAAAGATTCAGAGGATGTGGCTCTGAGGGAGCCAATTGCCCTGCCAGTTTAGGGGAGCGGAATGCCAAGGGAGGGACCGGACTGATGCGCCCTTTACTCTTCCAAGCGTTACAGAGGTGTGCATGCTTTGTTTTAGAACCTAGGCTACCCCAGATACAGAGACACACAGATAGACAGTAGAGAAGCAGACAGGCACCCAGAAATACACAGACACACAGGTACACGTGCATTGCCATGGAGATGGAACACTTCCTGCCCTCTCTGGGCAGCTCAGTTTCCCTCCACCACAGGAGCCTCTTTTCCAAAGGGAATTGTGAAGGTTGGCTATTGGGATAGTGGCTGTGTCACAGCCCCAAAGCCTAGCTTGTTGTAGTGTAGAAAAAGCCACTCTGTTTTTTTCTTGTCTGGATACCTCTTGTCCTCGGTTCCTAAAACAGCACAAAAATAGGCATCAAGGACATTCAGGAAAAAGTCCCAGGCACTTCCTCGTGAATTGGCTGAGTTCTGTTGACCTTGGAGTTGGAAAAGTTCAAATGTAACCGGAACCTGTTTCTGCATAAAACTCGTCAAAAGGTGTCACATGTCTGGGGCAGGGCTGAGGGCTTGTGTTAGTGACTGAGTCAGACTGAACAAGGCCCCTGGCTGCCAGGAAAGAATGCCCCTTCCTCCTAACTACCGGCTCTATGGAAAAACTAGAATGAAATTTGGCCATTTATTCCAGTCTGTGGTGAAGCTGACTGCCTTGTAGGAACCTTTCCCTTGTCTCACATTTGTCACAATGACTTGTCTGGGCTCTGCCTCCTATGTCTGGCCTTTGTCAATACCCGTGGAACAAGTTAAAGAGAGAAACAGGGTCTTTCCTGGAGCCAACAGCAATGGAGGGAAGGAAAAAAGGGTGGCTTGAAAACCAGGCAGAATGGGGAGGGCAGGGGATCTGGCTTGTTAGGAAGAAGGTTCGAGAGTGGACACTGTATTCACTCTCCAGCTGCCTGGCTGAGTAGTTGTATGGCAGGTAAATTTTAATTGCACACCTGATAAGCACAAAGCGGTGTGCCAGCCTAAGAACTACAGGTGCAATAGAGGTGGCTGGCTTAAGTCCCCTTGGACCTAAATGGGAATGTTCTTAAAAGGAGACTCTTCATCAAGCATTTGGAGGGGGCAGGGCTGAGGCAGTGGGAGGGAGGGTTTTCTAGCCCAGGACTGTGGGCTGTGTTTTGCCCCTGCCAGCTAGCCACAGATCCCCACAGGTCCTAAGGGATAAGGAGGGCCAGATTTCTCTCTCTTCTGGAAAAGCGTCTGGCCAAAGAGGGGAAAATGTGAATGTGAATGGGGCTGTGTTGAGGAGTGGACAGGGGGTAGTTCCCACTTGTCCAGCAAGGCCTGACTGTTGTGTTGGAGAAGGCTACTGCACAATCTTCTGTCCCTCAGAACAGCCTGACTGCCTGTGGGGATGGGAAGAGGGCCCAAGAGATGAAGGAGAAAGAGGGTCCCTTGAGGAGTTTGCCCAGCTGTCCTTGACTCCAGTGCAAAGGAGCCCTGCCTATCCCAGAGTGCTGCCTGAGAGGCGAGTCCTGTCTCCACTCACTCTCGGCTCCAACATCTTTTGGGTCTGCCTCTTTACAAATCTGTCACGGAGCTCATGGAGCATCATTCTTATGTGCTCTTGTGAGGACGGGATGCCCTTGGGAGCTGATGGACAGCTGGACTGGGGGCCGGGCCACCAGAAACCTTGGCCCAGGTATAGAGCCTGTCTCCTGTGCACACCTCCCCTCACCTCACCCAATGCTCCTGGAGGGATTTCCAGTCCATAGTCAGCTGAAGAGTATTTCCAACGCCTACTGGGGTCAGAGGTCTAACATGCAAATAGTCCCACCAAACTTTAGGTCCAGTCTCCTAGGGCGTCCAGCCTCCAGCGGTTCTCAACCTTCCTAATGCCGCAACCCCTTAATACAGTTCCTCACGTTGTGGTGACCCCCAACCATAAAATTATTTTCGTTGCTACTCTATAACTGTAATTTTGCTACTGTTATGAATCGTCATGTAAGTATCTGTTTGTTTTCCGATGGTCTTAGGCGACCCCTGTGAAAGGGTCGTTCGACCCCCCAAAGGGATCGCGACCCACAGGTTGAGAACCGCTGCTCTAGGACCTCACCGCTGTAGGCATGGGTAGGTTAGAATAATTAAGGAACTACAGTTAGGTAGATGCAGTCATAACTAACTAGTTCTGAGGGACAGTCATAAGTTCCAGAAGTCCCTGCCCCCTCATTTCTCAGAGGCCTTGGTCCAAGTGGGCTCAGAGGAGCCGCAGAACCTATGTTTGCTGCAGACACCTGTCCTGTTCTGCTTGGGCCAGGAGGTTGTCTAGGGCTTTCAGGGAAATTGAGGCATCCAGTCAGAACTTTCCAAGGGCCTGTTGTGGCTCAGAATGTGTGAAAGCCTGGAACGGTGGGAGGCCCCCACCTTCTATGGCCAGTCCTGGTTTTCCCAGGCCCACTTCTACCCTTCATGAAGAGAACCTTCTTCCTGGATGGGTTCCCATCCTGTAAAAGAAAAGTGCCATTCAAAGTCTTTACGGCCTTTCTGCTCCTCAACTTGATGCCTCTGATTTTGACCCCTCCAGAGTCAGTAAATGGGGAGTTCCCTGCCTGGGTGAGAGTCCCGAGCCTAGTTTTGGCCTAGTCTTCAGGGGACAGTCTTCTACCTTCTACAGACATGATGCCTCCATCATCCAGGATTCCTCCTGACCTGGCTGACAATGTAAGGGTGGGACCCAGAGAAAGCAGGACAATGGGGCCAAGGAGCAAAGCATCCCAACCAGCACTGGAGAGAGAGCCGGGGAGGGGTCACTCTTCCGGTTCAGTGCCTTGTCCACTTGCAGGTGGAAGCCGTGGAACCTGTCACTGTCCTCTCTGAATTAGCTGATTCTCTTCCTCTACTTCCCAGGAAAGAAATCCAGACCCAACAAAGGAGAAAGCTCTCGATTCTGAAGAGAAAGGCAAAGGAAGTTCATGGTCAGGAAAGAATGGAGTTGGCCAGTGTCTTGGAACCATGGGAGGTTCCACCCACGAGGCCTCCAGAGCATTTTTAAAGCTCTGAGCAAAGGCAGCTGCATTCTTGCTTTCTTCTTTCCATCTTTCCTGGAGCAGCAGCTCCCTCTGGGGGGCAGGACCCTTCCTGTTTGAAAGATGAACTGCCCTTCCTTTACTCCCTCCTTTCTCCTCTTTCTCCCTTCCATGAAACAGCTGTTGAATACCCATCGTGTGCCTAGAGTCCTGTGGGCTCTAGAAGCTACAAAAAGAGCCTCTAGAAGCTCTTAAAGGCTGGGGGGGGGGCAGGATTTATTGAGAAGAAGGAAAGAGGGAGGGCTATCCAAGCAAGGAGGACAAAGGCGAGGGTTCAGAGCCAGGAACGGACATGTCTTGCCAGTGAGAGACAAGTCTGATACAGTGGAACCTCAGTGTTGGGAAGTAGAGAACCATGGTTGTAGTGGGGGCGTGAGTAGATCAGGGAGGGCCTTCAGTGCCCAGGCAAGGAGTTGAGACAGTATAATGTATGGTGGGGAGACTGTAGCATTTTTTTCAGAGGAGGGTGTGATGAGGGATGAAGGAGAAGGGAGTTGGGGTGGTCATCAGATGTGGAGCCTAGAGGGTCTAGATCAGAATGCAACAGCAGGAATAGGGAGAAAGGGAGAAAGAAGGGCCAAGAAAGAAGTGTTGACCAATTGGACCTAGGGGTTGGAAAAGATAGAGGAGTCCAAAATGGCAGGTTTAGAGCTTCGGAGTTTGGGAGAGTGCTGGTGGTATTCACAAACCCACGGGAGCGGAAGTCATGTTGTCGGGTGGAGGATGAATTTGGTTTTTGGCTATAAGGAGACAGACTGTCAGTGGAGAGCCTTTCTTGTTGTTAGAGATGTATACCAAGAGTGCCACTGAGCAGGCTGGGATGCTGATACTGAAGGGAGAGCTATTCCCATGGCAGGGACAGCTGCAAGGAGTGCGTGTGGGTGGGGTGACCCCTGAGGTCTTCTAAGAGCCGTGGGAGACAGTGGCCCTGGACTCCACTAGAGATACTCGCGTTAGGAAAGGTGAAGGGAGAGGTAGACATTAGCTCATACCAAGGGGGCTGCCCTGGGTGGGTCCTCACCCCCAGTGGCCTGCACAGCCCCTAGCTAGTGTCCTTTCCCAGCAGCCCCAGAACAGGAGGGCTGACAAAGGCTCTAGGTATAACGGGCCTTGTGCTAGTCTGACGAGTTGGGTGCCTCCTGGCTCCTGCTGAATTAACTGCTTTGTTTTTCTCCTTTTCCCCCCCTCTCCTAGCTGGTTTGCCTTGTGTGGCCTCTTTAACCCAACTTTAACACATTAATGGGTGTTCTCCAAGCCACCTGTCTCCTTCCCAGCCTGTCAGGGGATTTCCAGGAATGGGGCTCTTCTCCCGCAAAAGGCGAAGAGTTGAAGCAGAAGCTATCCCCAAGCTGGTGTGCTGTGGGTGGGGAAATGTGCTAGGCAGCTCTAAGTCCCCCTCTTGGGGATAGTGACCCAAGTGCCTGGGACATACCTTTCTCAAAGGGCAGCCTCAAGGGGCCTCCTTCCTGCCTAACCATTTCCCTGAACTCTGCTGCCTTTAATGAGCTTTTCGTTTCAGATAGACTGGTGTCCAGTGATGAGGCCGCTTGATAACTGGAGCAGGCCAACTAAGACAGCTGGTCCCTTTTAATAGAAATGCCTCTGGGCCCCAGATGGTGACCGATTAATACTTTGCAGATCGTTGTTGATTTTGCCTCCTCCTCTCCTTGCTTTTTTGGCCTAATGATTCCATTTGCTGTTTTTGCTTAGCTTATCAAGCAGCCGGTTGTCTCACCCCAGCTCTGGAAGGTAAATGCACATTGCATTACATTTCTCTGACTGCTTTTTCTCTTGGGTCTGGGCACTGAGGGGCCTCTGGGTGACTGCTTGTGCACTAAATGGGCTGCATGGGGTGAGGGGAGGACTGGAGGGTGGGTGGCAGAGGGTGTGAGAGGTACTCACGTGAGCATGGGTCTCACAGGGGCCAGAGTTGATGCTTGCATGGACCATTTGAAAGGGGTGCAGGGACCCAGAAAGAGGCAAGGGTTCCGGGATGCCTACACTGTATCTCTGTGCCCCTCTGTGCCCCTGGGAGAGGCACTGTGTAACCAGAACACGGAGCCACCAGTCACGTGACCTACTACTTCTCCATGCTAGGTTTTTACGGTTTTTGTAACCACATATCTAGGTTTGACACCTTATTTCCTATTCTTCTAACCATGGCTACTGCCTTAATTTTTTTTCTTCATCCCTTCAGTTCTCCTTCTACCACCTCCTTCTCTGAGTTTCCCTTTCTTTTGGCTCCTGTCCACCCCTGCAGACTGTGAAGCTGTGAGATCAGGGGACACTGTGTTAAGGTCCTGATGCATTAGTTTGTTCTCTGACTCTGCTGTAGAGCCAGGGCAGGGCCTGAGCAGGCCACAGATGGGGTTTCCCTGTTGGATGACTGTCCTCTTGTCTCCCGGGCTAGGGATCAGCTCCCTACCCCTGGCTGAACTATTATGATCAAAGTTGAGAGCGTTTCATGGCTATTCCTACTACTTGGTCCTCATCCCTGGCTCTGGTAGATTTGGGGCGAGTTGGCTACAGTTTCTTTACGCAGAGAAGGATTTCTGAGTAGCTAACTGGTCTCTGAATAGCTAATCATGTCTACAGACATGATTAGCACCTACCATGTACGCTTGCTTTGATGGGGAGAACACTGAGGAACCTTGTGCTGCGTGGAAGAGAGGGTATCACAACTAGTTCAAAGTGGAGTTCGGTCAGTGCTGAAAGAGAGATGATCATGGAAGTTTATTTAAGGCGAGATAAATAACCAAACCTAAGGGCAGGGTTAGGTTTTTTGAACATCATGAAAACCAGTGATCTTGGTGTTCTCTAGAGAACACATGATTAGGCTGTGATATCCTTATGAAATCACAGCGTTGGAAGGACTTGGAGGTGTCAGGGTGGGACCAGACCATTTCCAGATGTGTGGACTTCCTGGCTTTCCAGGGGACTGGAAGCAGCACACTGAGTCCATCCCACATCTGAATGGTTTGGAGGATGGGGACAGAAAGCATGTGACATTCAGTGGAACATGACAGTATATGCAGGGACTCCCCCATCCCTTCCAGGCATGCCATTCAGCAGTTAAACTATGATTTTCCAAAGTAAACATTTAAAAAAAATATAGCTTAGACCTAGTGTGGAAAGTTTGAGAAGCCAAGCGTTCTTTCCCATTCAAAAAAAGTAATGAAATAAAATAGCTACTTGTTGTTGAATATCTAACATGAGCCCTTGTCTCTGCAAATTTTCTTAAAGCTTGATTTCTCTATATTTTCACTTATCCAGTGGCTGAAATTATTTTCTTAGGCTTGCCCAAGCAGCTTCGTCTCTAAGAGCCTAAGCTGAATATTAGATCCAAGCTTGTGTTTATGAGTAAGGTAAGGTTCAAACTAAGCAGGGAGGACATAATTAGGGATGTTTTGAATTACTTGCAAAATCATAGAATTCCAATTGCTTTTGGCATGGAAGTTTCCTCTAGAAACTGTTAGTTGGGATTTAGTATTCCCTAAAGGTAGAAATTGCTGTTAGGATGAGACCAGCAAGAAATGTTTTCAGATAGTATAATCCTGAGTGTCAGGGAGTTGATAGTCTGGTCCTGAAGGACCCTCCTGTTTCTGAGTGGATGGAAGGACAGGAAAAGACGCTTATTAGATGAGTTGTGAGAGTGTTGCAGGGATTGTGAAGGACATCTAACTGCCCACCCCACTCGAATGTTCAGGTGTGTCAGAGGTTGGGACCCCCTTTCTGGGTAGTCCTGCCAACTCCCGGAAGGCCCAGGCACTTGCAAGTCCTGTGGGAAGCCATGGCTCACCCTAATCAGTCCAGAAGTCTTACTTGATTCCGACACTTCCTGGGATGCAGCTTTTTCCCTCAAACTCAAGTCCAGAATGATGTCCACAGAAATGAAAACTGGAATGGGGAACTGTAGGATTGCAGCTTCTCTTTTCCTGTCCCCACGGACTCACCCTGCCCGCTCCTGGTGGAAAGGTCATGGGCAGACACACATTGCTTGCGGGTAATCACCCCTCATCTGAGGCATGGAGAAAGGCAGCTTTGAATGATTTGTCTTTCCCATCACAGTGCCTCCTGCTTCTCTTCTCTACCCTCACAGTCCTCCCTGCTGCTCACAACAGGGTGTGTGGATTCAGAGGGGAGGCTGGCGGGGCACAGCTTGTGCACCACACAACCTGGCTATGTGGTTACGCTTCACGCCTGGGACGCATTGTGTCTCTGCTGGCCCATGAAAAGGTTTGGCATGGTGGTTTGCTTCCTGTGCCCAGGAAGGAGAGGACTGTAAATGCTGAGCATTGTTGGTGAGTCTGTGCTGGACTCAGTGAGCCCACAAATGCCCCTGAATTCTGTCCTAGGGAACTAAAAGTCCTGTTTGTAGTTTGGCAGTCCTGCTGGTTGGGCCTGGAGCTGCCAGCCATGTGTCCACCTGAGCATGTGGTCTCCAGGGATGGAGACCCTGGCCATGGCTGGCCCCCTACTGCAGGCCCATAGCCCTGTTTAGGGTCAGATTTCATTTGAGTCTCTTTTTTCAGATACCCCGAGGAATTTGGGTCTAGACCCCCAGCATTGGCAGGCTTATTCTTTGTCTGCTGTGAGTCTATGCTGACAAATGTAGGGGTTTTTTCCTAGCCCAAGCTTTAGGAGAGGCCCCTGAGCTCCTGGACCTATGCACCCTTGAGGGTTGCCCAGCTTTCCCCTCTTTGGCATGAATGGAGGCTCTGCTGTGCTGGGGCCTCCCTCCCTGAGGCTGGGCCTATACGTGTGTGTTTCTCCATGCACGAGCTCCCTGGATGTGAAAGGTGGAGGGTGAACCAAGGCCCCTAATAAGGATGGATAGGGACACCAGGGCTGGTGGCCTGGCATGCTCAGGAACCTGGCCTGTGCTCAGAAGCCAATCCTGACTGTAGTAATGAGCCTGGGTCAGGATTCCACTTCAGCCCCTTGGTACCATCCCTGCCCCCACCTGGCCAAGAGGCCTAGGCTTCTTGAAAAAAGACTTGCCCAGGTGCTGAAGCCATGACTACGGGATGACGACTGGACATGGTAAGATCTAAGCCGCCTTGCACATGCCAGACTGTGGCATGTTGGGGAGAAGCCCGCTCTGACTAGCTCTTTGCTTTTCCAGGAGCACCTTCTGCTCCATCATTGCTCAGCTAACAGAGGAGACCCAGCCGCTGTTCGAGACCACACTCAAGTCCCGGGCTGTGTCCGAGGATAGCGACGTCAAGTTCACCTGCGTTGTCACAGGTAACAAGGCCATTTCTATGATCCATCCGCAGGACAGGGTCCAAGGGGGCTGTAGGGATGGGCTTGGAGGGGGATTGACTGTGTACACAAAACTGCAGGTTGACAGTATGCTTTCTTAGCTTTATCTCACAGTTAACGTCCCTGTGTGGGCTGGGGTGCCTTTCTCCCCCCACTCTGGAGCCACATATACACCCTGCTCTTCTTCAAAACCTGTCTTCAGTAAAGGTTCCTCACCTTCAGGCACATGTACAAAATTGATGAATCTTAGTTCCAAAGAAAGAGGCTCTCCAATTGAAGAGGTTTGTGAGGCCATCTCCCCAAATACCCGTGTTTTACAGTTAAGTCATTTGAGGCTGTTGAGTCTCAAGCCTGAGAGAGTGATATGCAGTGATTCTGACTGCAGACCCTGGAGACAGATTGCCTGGCTTGGAATGCTGGGTCGTCGCCTTTCCAGTTATGTGAAACTGAGTTGGTTACATAACCTCAGTGCCTCATCTGTAATGCAGGGATGATAGTAGGCACTTCACAGGGTTATTGTGAGACTGAGTGCATTGATACGTGCAAATCATTTGGAATCATGCCTGGCACATAGTAAGTACCATGTAAGTGTTAGAAAATACCACCATTATTATTTGAACTTCACTGTGCTCCATGGCAGATTTGAAGCAGCACAGAATAGGAAGTGGAGTGATGCTTCTTAGAAGGGGAATGGAGGTGGGGAGAGTCCTTGGAATTTGGCCCTGGACATTGCCCATTCCTCAGACCTCCCAGAAGCCTCCCACTGCACCAGCCTGATCTGCTTCAGGCCCTGCAGGACTCACCGATGGGTGCCTACTCCCCTCAAGCTGTGCAGTCACCAGTTCAAGGGTCCCAGGTGAAGGTTTCCTCCAAGAGCCTTTATCTTTAGTAATTCGAGGGCATTGGTGGTTTCCAGCTATGACATGCCCTGATTCTGGGGGACTTGTCTGCCCCAGCCAGCTAAAGGGCTTCTTTGGGATTGTGCTCCCCAAGGCATTTCTCACCCTTACCTAGCACCCTCTGAGCCCCAGGCTGAGAGCGCTGCCTGCTCCAGGGGACAGAGATGTGCCCTACCTTTATACAGCATTACACATTTTGCAACATTCATCTATTTCCATTGTCATTGAATTCTTACAAAACCTTGTGAAGTAAGTGCTATTATTAGTTGAATTTTACAGAGAAGGAAACTAGAATAGGTCGCGTGACTCCCACAAAGCTGGTGAGGACGAGGTGGGACTTTTGCTCTGTAGGCTCTCATGCTTCTGCTTCTGCCTACATCTTCTACCTTACCGTATGGCACAAATGCTGTTCTAGAAAAACGTGGCTCTTGCACACTCAATGCTTTTGCCTATGCTATTTTCCCTACATAGGAAGTCCTTAATCCTTCTTTGTAAAGAAAATTAATTTAAAATTAATTTTTTATCAACATAGTACATGCACATAATTTCAGACTTTGAATTATACTAAAAGGCATGTATCAAAATATAGCAGTTCACCCCTCCCACCAATTTGTCTCCCCAGAAGCAACTGTTTTGAGCTTTTAGCTGTTTCTTCTGGTGTGTATACATTTCATAATGCTGAGTAATATGTGAATACTGCTGCTAACTTGTGAGTCTTCAAGTCTAGATGCTGTCTAGTCTTCCATTTATGATGTATGAGGAATTAGCTCTCTTTACCATCATTTTCTCTGCTTCCCCTCACTTGTCTTCTCAATATAGTTCTATCATAATTTTTGCTTAAATCATTATTTGCTGTTACCTTATTAGGCTTATGCAGTATTATTTGTAACCAAACATTGTAGTATACTATGATTGTATTATTTCTTCTGTTTCTCCTAAAGTTAGTACTTTCCTTAATTTTTCATTTAATTTTTGGTATCTATTGCTAATTTTTCTTATACTAATAGCCTCTTTTTTTTAGCTTAGATTTTTTTTTATTAGTTTCAGGTGTACAAAACAATGTAACAGACATTTACACCCTTCACAAAGTGATAACCCCCTCACCCCAATCTACTACCCTTCTGACATCGTATATAGCTGTTACAATTCCGTTGACTCTATTCCCTATGCTGTACTCCATATCCCATGACTATATAGATCTTAAATTATAGTTGACATTCAATATTATTCAGCTTCAGCTTCAGGTGTACAGTGCAGTGGTCAGGCATCTACACCGTCTATGAATTGGTCCCCTTAATAAGACAAGTGCCCACCTGACACCCTACAAAATCTGTGCAACATTATTGATTATATTCCCCAAATTGTCTTTCATCTCCCCATGGCAACATTGTGACTACCAATTTGTGCTTTCTAATTCCCTCACCTTCTCCCTCATCCCTACCCCACTCCCAACTAGCAACCATCAGTTTCTAATAGCCTCTTAATACCATTTCCTGTAACGTCAATGCCATCAGTACTCTGTCAGTTACTTCCTTGGTGACATTCCTCTTGCATATCTCTATTCTTGTTCTGCCTGAACTAGTGGACTCTTAGGCCTGATCCACAGCTGTTCTCCTGGGTCTTCCCTTTGCCTTTCTCCTTCCTGAATTCATGTCTTCCCTTTTCTTGGTTTACTCTCTGGCTTTATTGAATAACATCTTCCAGTAGTTTTGTCAGGTCCTACAGGTGGTACAACAGCAGGAGGCATTGCGATGACCAGCTCTCAACCTGTCTCTCCTCTGAGTTATTCTGCTCCAATAACATTTAGTTGTTCTCTTTGTCTGGCACACAGTTGACACCCTAGGACCTCCCTTCACCGTCATCCTGTCGATTCTGTTTCCCTCTCCTGTGACAGATTTCCTGTGTTTTGTGTTCCACATTTCTCTCTTGATTTACGTTTTTGTTTTGGTAGCTTCTTAGTAAGAGTACATGGGAAGTAAATGTCAGACAACTTGTGTCATAAAATGTCTTTGTTTTCTACTTTACTCTTGATAAAGAGTTTTGTTGGGAATAGAATTCTAAGTTGAAAATAATTTTCCTTCAGAATTTCAAAGAGACTACTCTGTTGCCTTCTTGCTTCTAATGTTGCTGTTTGGAGCAGGAAGACAGCTTGATTCTTCTTTGCATGAGACCCTTGTTTTTTTCCCCTCTCTGGAAGCTTGTAAGAATGTTCTGCTCTTTCATAATGATGTATCTTGATATGGGTCTCTTCTCATCCTGGGGCATGCTTGGACGCTGTCAGTCTGGAAACTGAATGCCTTTAGTTCTGGGAAATTTGAGATTATTTTGATGTTGATTTCTTCCTCCTGTTCTCTCTGTCGTCTGGAACTCCTGTCATGTGGACATCTGCTCCCAAGGACTCACTTTCTTACTTTCTCACCCTTTCTTCCCCTTTCATCCATTTGTCTTTTTGCTCTACTTTCTGGAAGATTTCTTCCGTGTTATCTTTTAACTCTTCATTGAACTTTTAATTTCTAAGAGCTCTTTTAAATCCTTTTCTATGGCATTCTGTTCTTTTCATGAAGTTAATATCTTCTCTTAGTTCCCTGAGACTAGTAATGATAGTTTTCTAAAAGCTTCCTTCTCCTTGCATAGCTTGTGTTTCTTCCAGTTGGCTTTATTCTATTTGTTTTGGTCTATAATCTTATATTTATAGGCTTTCCTCTAGGAAAGCTGTGAGGAATGCCCTTGGGGGCTCAGAGGAGAGAGTGGCTTTGAGGTTCTTCCCTTTCAGGTGGGCAGATGTGGGGATAGGTGGCCATGACTGTGCCTTCTGCCTCCTGTCTCCTGCAGGGACCCCTCTGGCTAGAATGCTCCTGTTTTCCTTGAGGCTGCCCATCCCTGTCCAACATGGTGGCCCCCTTCCCCCACTCTCCTCAACACTATTCTAGATTTTGTGTGTGCATGTGTGTGTGTGTGTGTGTGTGTGTGTGTGTGTGTGTGTGTGTGTGCACGTGCATATGTTGGGGCAGAAGGAGGACTGAGCACCAGCCGCAGGCCAGCTGGACAGAGGGACTGAGCCTTTAGAATAAAGTTTCTGAAGAAACTTCTTTTGGAGAAATAAGTCTTAACATCATGACTGTTGGGGGCAGAAACTTATATGTCGGTCCCAGAATCCCCAGTGGAAAGAGCATTAGAAAAAAGAAAAGGAAACCAGGGGCTTCTCATGTGCCACCTGTGTGACTCGAGGTAAGTTGCTTAATTTCTCTGAGACTCATCTTCCCTTTGTGTAAAATAGAGACTAAAACACCTGGCCTGTCTGTTTTGTAGAAGAGAGGGATTTGAAGTTTGCCTCTTCTACTTATGAGCTGAATGACTTTGAGCAGGAGCCTTAATTTCATGGGCCTTGATTTCCTATTCCTTAAATTGGGGATTAATGACAGTACATTCCTCATAGGATTTTTGTGAGGGTTAGATGAGATAATCTGTGGAAAATGTTCAGCTCAGTATCTGGCCCATAGCAAGTCTTCAATAAATGTTAGCAGTTGTTTTCACAGGACTGTCATAAGGGCCAAATGAAATTCTATATTTGAAAGCTCTTTGAAAACTAGATTTATATTCATCATGATTATCCTCTTGAATCTGAGCTTCTCCAAACTGGGAATGGTTGGGACTAGGCTGCAAGTCTCTGGGCTCGGTTCCAGACCCAGGCCTGCTGGCTGTGAAGCAGAGGTTACGGAGTGTGATGGGGAAGAGGGCGGGCCACAGGCTCCAGTACGGCCATGGGCCTGCCACGCCAGGGCCAATGTGTGCATGTGCACGCCTGCTGGTGGGCACACACGGGCAAGTGTGTGTGTACAGCAGCGAGGGAAGGACCCGTATGCTTTTGTGTGTTTTGAATACAGTTCATATTGTCTAGGGGACAAGGCAATGTTTTCTCCCCAAATAAAGTTGTTTCCAAAACCCATTGTTGCCAGGGAGGCCTAAGCTGTCAGGCTGGCCCCCACTTTGTGAAGGTGCACCAGCGGGTGGCATGGGGGCTGAGGCCTAATAGGTTCAACGTCCTCCTCCTTGTCCCACCCCTGCCCCTCTCACCCCAGCCTGACTGGACTCAGATGCCCCAGGGGCTGAGGCCCTACTGAGCAGGTCATGGGGCAGGAAGGCTCTGAGCCGGGCCCTTGCAGGGATGAGATCATCCTACAGGATGGTGAGGACACCTGTGCTGGCCCTGGCCACATGCACAATGATGTAACCACGGGCTTTAGCTCACAGTGGAAACATGGGCTTCGCTTTACAGTCAGGGCTGCCCAGAGTTTGTTCCTGGCTGGCCCAGCGGCAGCCTTGCCTCCCTTGCTCCCGCTCCTGTACACAGTTCCCCAGGGTGCCCTTTGCTTTCCATCCCCACACTCTACTGTTGTGTTCCTTTCCCATCCACCTCTGGTTTGTTTGTTCACTCATTCCCTTCCTCATTCACTCACTTATCCAGCAGATTTTATTCAGGAGCTGCTATGTGCCAGGCACTGTTAGTTGGTGGGGATATAGCAGTAAAGAAGATATTCCTATGCACATGGGACATGCATCAAGGACATACTACAGTATTTTGATTAGCGCTGTAGAGGGGAAGTACAGGCACTGAACCCACGTTTTCTGAAATTTTGCTCACCCTTCAAGATCAATTCAAAGCCACAGTGCATTGCTTCATTCATTCATCTATAAATATCTAATGAGTGTTGATTCTATACCAGGATCTATTGTAGGAACTAGGGACTCACCAGTGAATAATCATTGGAAGCTCTCCCTGTGGGTAGGGCTGGAAGTTCCCAGAGAGGAGGGGCTAGAAAGATACTTCAGTCAGTCTCACAGTAGTGAATGGATGGGTGGGTAGATGGATACGGATGGATGATGGATGGATGGATGATGGATGATGGATGGATGGATGGATGGATGGATGGATGGATGGATGGATATTTTAGCTATGTCATCAAATAATCCTGACAGCTCAGGAACCTAGAATGAAAGAAGGAGGGCTCTTGGCAGTGGTCTTGGTGTTGGAGTGTTGGGAGAAGACCTCTGAGAATAGAGCTGTTACGATAGTTGAGGATGTAGAACAGGTCACTGAAGAAAGGAAGCTTATTACTACTCAGCAAGGCTTTCTAGAAACCTTTTGCTTCCTTTCTTACCAGGAAGCTAGGAATCCCCTCCTCCATATTTGCCTTCTAGCTGCTAAAGAGGCATAGTTTTCATTTGTGACAAGGCCTAGCTTCTAAAATAACCTGAGCCATATGATAGCCCCATTCTTCCAGCAAGCCTGGGGCAGTGTGTGTGTGTGTGTGTGTCAGTCAGTCCAGTCTCTTCAGGTGATTTGGGGAAGCCATGGCATCCCGTTCTCTCCTCCCACTATTTTGGAACTTGTCTTTGTGCAACCCAATCTCCTGCTTCCTTCTTAGGATACCCAGAGCCAGAGGTGACCTGGTACAAGGATGACATGGAGCTGGACCGCTACTGTGGCTTGCCAAAATACGAGATCACTCATCAGGGCAACCGCCACACGCTGCAGCTCTACAAGTAAGGGACAGAGGCCTTCTCTGTTCTCTCTGCCTTTCTGAGGGTCTTGTGGCCCAAACCTGCCCTCAGAAATGGAGGCAGCTGGATGAAGATGCCAGGCAGGATCTAGGGTGGGGTTCTGCTGTTGAGCTGAACCACCTGGTGAGCCGTGTCTGCCTGCCAGTGTTTGGGGTCTCCTAAGGCCAGGGTGGGAGTATTTCTGACAGCCAGAGAGCTGAGTACAACCACAGGAGATCCTGACCCGTGGAAACATTTTCCATGAGATCAGCTGCCAAAATAAGCTCCTGTGTCATCCTTCACAAGGGGCTGTGTGGGTCACCTGCTTCTGAAGGGAGCTCTCCTGGGCCCCAAGGCTAAGCCCACTGGAACAGCATGACCTTGATCAGTTCCCACCCTCTTGCTGTCCTCAGTTTCCTCAGTTGTAATGGAGAGTGTTGGATGTGGTGATGTCTGAAGTAGGCGTGGCACTCAGGGCAGGACTTGGGGGTGGGCAGCTTGCTCAACTCAGAGAGGCTCCGGTTGTGGGGAGTGGGGGCCTCTCACCTCCTAGGAGGCAGTAGCTGGCATTTAATACTCCTGCCTGCAGGTGTCGAGAAGAAGATGCCGCCATCTACCAGGCCTCCGCCCGGAACACCAAAGGCATTGTGTCCTGCTCGGGGGTCCTGGAGGTGGGCACCATGACCGAGTACAAGATCCACCAGCGCTGGTTTGCCAAGCTGAAGCAGAAGGCCGCCGCAAAGATGCGTGAGATTGAGCAGAGCTGGAAACCGGGGAAGGAGGTGGCGGGAGAGGCTGACACCCTGCGCAAGCTCAGCCCTGACCGCTTCCAGCGAAAGCGGCGGCTGAGCGGGGCTGAGGTGCCAGTACCCTCGGCCCCCACCAGGGAAGCTGAGGACAGCACCCCGGTGGCTTGGCAGGAGAGGGGGACTGAGCCTGGTCAGCACGCAGGTTCGGGCCTGATGAACAGTTTTGCCCCTGGAGAGGTGACCACCAACGGGGATGCTGCCCCCGAGAATGGGGAGGACGCAGAGCGTGGTCTGCTGACATACATCTGTGAGGCCATGGAGCTGGGGTCTCAGAGAACCCCCAAAAAGGAGTCTGGGGCCAAGAAGAAAAAGAAAGATGAGGAACTTAAGCCAGGGCTGCGGAAGCCAGAGTCAGAGAAGACAGCTCGAGGCCACCGTTCTGAAAACTGTGTTCCCAGTTCGGACAAGCCTGACTCCTGTGGGACACTGGAGCCCATGGACATGGAGGTTCAGACCCGGCCCAGAGGCAGAGCTGCCCAGGGGCCTGGGTCTTCCGGAGTAGACAGCACCAGGAAGCCAGCCTCTGCTGTGGGCTCTCCAGACCAGGCCCAGAATGCCCCAGCCCCAGGCTCTGTCCCAGGCCCAGACCAGGAAGTGTATTTCTCCCTGAAGGACATGTATCTGGAGAGCACCCGGGCAGCCAGGCCTCAGGGGGAGGAAGTGTCCCATACCTCAAGTGGCAGGGCACCTGGAGAGATGCCCTCAGGGAAGGTGCCCAGAGAGGTCAGAGGTGAGAGGGGGCCTGCTACCCCTGGCCAGCCCATGCCGTCTGCCCCCCAGTCCACTAGGCCTTTCAACAGGAAGCGATTTGCCCCCCCGAAGCCCAAAGAGGAGCCCACTACCACCAGCACGCCCGATTCTTCCCTGAGTCAAGCTCCAGAATCCGGAGCCCAGAGCTTGGGGAAGGCCCCACCTCAGGTCTCTGCCCAAGTGCCCACACCTCCTGCTCGGCGGAGGCACAGCACCCTGCAGGGACAAGCAGGCCGCAGGACTCCAGGAGAGGTAAGCGTGGGTCCTTGGTGTCTGGAGGCCACTCTGGGAAGCTGACCTCATGGAAACTCTTGCTGCAATAGCCCTGCAGCCAGTGAGCAGTGGGCTATTTATAGAAGGGGTGGGGTGGGGTGGGGATGGAGTGCCAGCCAGGAGCAAGGGACCACAAGCCTGGCACTCACCCAACCAATCTCCAGATGCCAGGCATGTGGGCAACACAGCCTGACTGTGACCCTCTCCTCTGACAGTGTGGGAGTTCACAGCCAAGGGGACCGTGCCCCAGAGGGAGGTGGAGAAAGATGATGTTCCCTGGAGAGGAAAGAGCCAGTGGAGGGTTTTCTGCGGGGTTTCCTGAGGCAATGGGTAGGAGTACGCCGCAGTGTGCAGCGGGGCTCCGCCTGGATGTTCATTAGAAGGTTTTCAAAATACCAGTGCCCAGGAAATTCTGGTTTAATGTGGGTTTTTATCCAAGATTTGGAGCCAGGTGTACCTACGTGCAAACCAGACCATCCTTACCATCGTGTGACCTTGGGCAAGTCGTAAAAGCAGAATACTCAAACCCGCTTCATAGGACTGCTGCCAGAATCAGAGTGCTTAGCACATGGCCTGGTGCATGTTAGAACTAAGTAAATGGCAGTAGATATAAGATATCACTATAGTGGGAGACAAGTAGGCTGTTTACCTGGGAACAGGAGTGTCATCATTTCCTGGGCATCAGGTAGCCAACAGAGAAAAGATGATTTGCGTGGACAGAGAGGTTGGAAGTCTTCATTCTTTAAAGAAGGAGCAGATGAGTGAGAGCATTAGGAGTTTGAGGGTGTGAGAGAGGGAGGTAGGAAGGGGATTGAGAGGATGGACAGAAGGGAAACAGTTTGTCCCGTTTGGTCACTGTTTCATGTTTTGGGGCAGAGAGCAGGCAGCATTTTATAGGAGTTTAGTGAGACATAATGTCTTATAGTGGGGAGGAAAGAAAATAGTCTATGAGTGACAGAAGGAAAAAGCGTTTAAGGAGTGGGTGTGGAGTGGATATGATAGATGGGGTATCCTTATACTGAGAAATTATTGGTGGTTTTATCTGAAAATCAAACTGGGTGTCCTGTATTTTTGCTAAACATGGCAACCCCAAGTGGAGATAGCATTTTGGTGAGAACTAAGACAAGACTGTTTCTTGGGATGGAGGGAGCAGGAGCCTGGGTCCCAGGAAACCGGAGGAGCAGCTGAAAGCAGTGCTTCACAGGTGGGGCAGAGGACAGAGGGCTTCTGGATCTGTGCCGGGAAACAGGAGGGACAAGTTGCTGCACCCAGGGAGAGGGATGCTTCACAAACAGGGAGGGGCTGTCTTTCCCACGGAGAGAACTTTCATGGAGAAAGGATGGAGAGACCAGTTTCAAGGGTGAACAGGGGAAATGGTTTCATTTCAGTGGGTGCTGAGGTTAGTCTGTGGGGGCAGTTGTTCAGAGGGCTTTGGAGTGGGGCAGACCTCAAACCAGTTTCTGGGATCTGTCCATGACCTTCATGCTCCCAGGCTTGTTCTCAGGAGATTTCAGGAGCTGGTGTGGTGAGTTCTGGTGGCCCAGAAGGGGCTGCTCTGTGTGCTTGACAGCCACAGGCTGGGTAGCAGGGCCTTACTGTAGGGATGGCCCTCGTGGGCCCCTAGGGAGCTCATTTGGGAAGTGAGCAGGCTGGCGGCCAAGTCAGGGAATGAATCTGGGTCTCCGCCCACAGGGTGGGGAGCACCACAGCCAGGATGCTGGTAGGGCCCTCCCTGCCTGTCAGTGGTGGCAGGAGAGGGCTGGACCCTGTAGGTGCAGGAGATGCTGACTGCAGTGGTTCCGCTGGTCCTGTATAAAGCGTTTGTGGCTTTTACTTTATTTTTTTGTATTTTAAAAAGTTGTGAAATATATCGAACATGTGAAAAATGCATCTAACATCTATGTATATTTTGAAGCTGTTGCTTTTTAATGGCTGAATTTGATTGGTTTTTCATATTCTTGTACTACTAAATCTTTTTTTAAAAAACCTTATTTTTCTGATATGAAAGAAACACATGGTTATAGTAGAAAATACGTGAGGAAGCCCTAAAAATTCAAAGGAGAAAGTAAAAATTCATCTATAATTCTACCATACAGAGACATCTTGGTGTATCTACCAATCTTTTGGTGTATGCAGTTTTTACTAGTTTTTAAATTTAATTTGCGCTGTTATTTGGATTCAGTTTTATGTCCTGCTTTCTTTATTTCTCATTATTTCATGAGTATTTTCTCATGGTTTCTAAAAATTATCCAAAAAACTTCTTTTTTAATGATTGTATACAGTACCACAGTATGCATGTTTTAACCATTTCTTCCATAGTGTTTATACTTTCCTTCCCTATTCTAAGGTTAGTTAAATATTAATCTGCATTTTAAATAATTTTTTTTTAAATATTTTATTGGAGAATTGAGGGAGGGAAACAGCGTTGGGGAATCGGGGAAGGGGAACAGACAAGTTGCTGTCCTTTTGTTCTTCAGTCTAGTTGTGGAGGACGTCGCTTCACTGGCCCATGTTGGTATTATCATTGCGCTCTTCCCGGCTGAGGCAGATCGGTTGCCTGCCACTGGACGGCTGTGGCTCATGCCAGCCTAGCTCCAGGTCGAGCTGTTGTTCACCATCTTAGCTGTAGAGGGCGCAGCGTCACTGGCCCTCATGTGGGATCCCAGCCGGGGCCCTGCTGCTCAGAGCTGGCATCCCAAGACAACTCTTCACCAACACGCCACTCGGCCAGCTCTTAAAATAATTTTTATTGTTTGAATTACTTCATTTGACTTTTAAACTAATATGGAATAGATTTGGGTGTGTAGTAGGTATTTAATAAGTAGGTATTTCCCCCGATTATTTGTGAAATAGTCAATCCTTACCTATTAGCTTGTGATCCTTTCTTTATATACTAATTTTTATACATACTAAAGCCTAAAGAAGAAGGAAGGAAATAATAAAGAACTGAAAACAGAAAAACTATGGAAAAAATAAATTAAACCAAAACCTGGTTATTTGAAAAAATCAGTAATATTGATAAACCTCTAGCAAGACTCACAAAGAAAAAGAAAAAAAATGAGAGAAAACCCAAATTACCACTATTAAGAATGAAAGAGGGGCTTGGTTGTGGTGATCATTTCACAGTACATATAGGTATATCAAAACATTACGTTGTACACTTTAAATATATACTGTTTTATTTGTCAATTATACCTCAATAAAGCTAAAAAAAGGAATGAAAGGGTATATCACTAGAGACCCTGCACACATTAAAAAGATAATCAAGGAATAGTATAAAAAATTATGCACATAAATTTAGCAAATTAGATGAAATAGACCAGTTCTTTAAAAACCAGAAACTACCAAAACTCATGCAGAAATGAAACAAGATAATTTAAATAATCTTATAACTGTTAAATTGAATTTGTAATTTAAAATCTTCAAAAACCAAACAAACAAACAAAAAACAAAACAAAAATAACCTTTAGGGCCAGATGATTTCACTGGGGAATTCTGCCAAACATTTAAAGATGATGAAACCCCAGTATCAGCCCTGGGGCTGGGTTTCTAGGTCCTTGATACTGCCCTGCTCCATCCTTGTTAAGCCCCTGGTTTTGTCCCCTCCCCACCAAAGCAAGCACTCCAGCGGGTTACAAGCCACAGTACTTGTCATTGGGCGGTTCATTCCCGTGAACCTCCTCTGTGCTTGGGCCTGTGCAGGATGCAAAGAGGGAGCAGACTGGGTCCTCCATGTCTGAGAATTTGTGGGGACGACAGAAAGACAGGATGGCAAATGAAACCTACTAATATTCTTTGTAATAAAGAAGCTCACAGAGAAGCAACTCAGTTCATTTCAGCTCACACAATTTTTATTCTAAAGATTTACTTGATATTTATCCTGATATCGCTCCACAGTTCCAGATGTAGACACACACACACACACACACACACACACACACACACACACACAGTGTTAAGTGTTAGGTCAGTGGCTGTAGAAATAAAGTATTCTGTCATATAGCTATTGGCACTAACTCTAACAGGAGGTCAGTGCTGTTGGGTGGAGGGACCCATGAGGTGAACCTGGGGAGAGAGACCTGGGACCCTTGCCGAAGGATGGGCCTTATTGATCACACAAGGATTGATTGATTGATTGATTGATACTTTAAATTGAATTTCATTGAATATACATCCCTGTATGTGGTATAAAATTTGAAAAGTATAAAAGGCATATGGACAATATTAAATCTTCCTCCTTCTCTACCCCCACCTCCCAGTTCTTATTCCTGAAGTTAGTTGCTGTAACTGCTATCTTGTGCATCCTTCCAGTGCTATTTTCTGTGCATTTGCAAATATGTGTGTGTCTGTGTGTTGTCCACACAAAGGTGGCATATGAAACTTTCCACACTGTACCTTGCTTTTTAATTTGTATACTTTATTTTTTTGAAATGTGAATCATCGGATCAGTCCTGTTTTGATGGAATTTAGGTAATTTCTAGTCTTTTGCTATTATAAACTATGCTGCAGTGAATATCCTTATATGTAAGTCCATTTGCCCATGAAAGTATACCTGTAGGATAAATTCCTAGGAATGGAATTGTTGGTCAAAGAGTAGACGTATTTTTAGTTTTACTATTTTTAGGTGATGCCCGACTGCTGTGCACAGAGGCTGTGTGGATGCCTGTTTCCCTATCCCCTGGCCTGCAGAGAGGATTCTGAAACTTTTGGCTCTTTTAGGCAAGGGCTCTTAGCCTTTATCCTGTACATGGTGATAAGCCACTGGGAGGTTTTCAAGCAGGGGAGTGTCACAATCATATTTTTTGGGACAACACTGGGGCCACAGCGAGGGTACAAGTCTAGCAGAGGCAACGACTAGAGTCATGGGTGCCAATTAGGAGGAGGCTTTGCAGTAATCCAGGCAAGATGGGACTATCTGCAGCTTGGATTATTAGGTAGTTGGTGCCAGAGACAGAGGAAGGGAACAGACATTGAGATATTGGGGCAGTGGGTTCAGAGGACTCAGGGACTGACTAGGCTGGAGGTGAGGGGAGTAAAGAGTTTTGGCCAAAAGTTCTCTTTTCATGAGCCTCTGTGCAAAGTCAGAATTTTCTTTGTAAATTTATATACCTCATGTCCATATTAATATTTCTAAAAATATCAGGAGTTAATATATTACTAATAGCTGTTAGTTGGCTCCACAGCATTTCTAATATCTTACTGGTTCTCACAGAAATTAGAGGAATGTTGTTACAAATTCTTTGGTCATTTGGACTTACATTTGATGGCCTCTGATATTCATCAAACTCTTCTATTTTTCTCATATTCATACCATTCATTCAAAATTCCACATTTGTTAAATTCCTACTTAATTTAAATATAACTTTAAATTCCCTACTTAATTTAAATATAGTTTAATTATAATTATAGAAAGTCTTTCATTATATGGTCTGTTTTGGTATTGTGTGTAGTTCTTCTGATATTTAGAAGTATTTGTGTATAGTAATTTATAATTTAAATTTTATATAATACATTCATTATGTTATCTGTTCAGTCAATGTTCTTTTAATTTTTTATGATGAGCAATGATAGTTGCCACTTTTCCCCCACCTTTTTTCCTTTTCATTTTCTATATCTCCTGTTAGCCCAAAGTTTTATTTCTAAGTGATTATGTTTGTATAGTTAAATACCCTGTATTTCTGTTACCCGGTTTTTCAGTTTTGGGTAATGTCTTTGGCTCCTGGCTTGTATAGGCAATACAATCACAGAATTTACTCCTGTCATCACCTTCTGCTCCCTCCCCCTTTTGTGCTGGTTGTGTCAGTTCTGCATTGTCAGAGCATAAAACATTGACATTCTGATCTACCACTCTAAACTGGTATGGTTTTAGTTTTGGTTCTACAGTTAAATATTTATTTAATTCTCACGGTTAGTTCTTTGGTTGTGGTTTCCCTAATCATCTTTTGGCTGACTGAAGTTTGTTCTCTAGACGTTTCCTTAAGCAGAGCTCCTTATATGTTCAACATAATTTTCTTAGCTTAGCAGTTTTCAGGAGGTTTCTTGAGGAGTGCATTTTTTATGTGTTTTTTGAGATTTAGTGCCAGTGGGCTGTTCCACTTTTCTTTCCCTATTTCCTTGCACATCTCTCTTCCAGATTTCCACCCAGCCCTTCAGGATCCTACAGCTCTTGTTGTAGGCGGAGTTTTGAGGTTTATCATCCTAGGATGAGTCCTTTATCTACAATAACTGTTTTGCTAGTATATTCTGAGACCTGTTGAACAGTTTCACTATTCACCTGCTGAGCTATTTCACTATTTATTTACCCCATACAGTTTCTGCCCCAGCTCAGCACCCCTCAGTGTTGCATCTATTTGCTTCTGACAGCCCTGACCCTTTTTTTTTTTTTGAGACTGTAGGTTTTATTTGCTTCCAGTTTCACTAACAGTGGAATTTGCTTTTTTTTTTCTTGTTTACTTTGTTGGTTTTGATTGTATCCAGGAGGAAAAGAGGCAAATTACTGTCTTATACCACTATGTTTAGACAGGAAATCCTTTACTTGTATTTCAATGGGTGGCATTGCAGTATAACAGCAAAGACTATGGGATTTAGAGCTAGACACAGCTGGCTTCTAAACTAAACTCCGCCACTTACTATCTGATAATGGATAAATCAGACCATCAGTGTTCTTAGCTCTAAAATGGAGATAATTCTCATAACTATTTCAAATTGCTGTGAAGAGTGAGGTTTTCCATATATATATATATATATATATATATATATATATAAAACGTCGTTCACCCATATTTCTATCCAGGGCAATTGGTGCCACACAGAGGGACAGATGGATTGCTCGTAAGCCCTGGGGAGAGGAGACTCTCCTCCAAGTAGCTGGGTGTGGGGTGGGGTAACACACGAGCAGGGCCTTCCAGGAAAGGCAGGATTTCTTCAGGGAGAGGTGAGAAGGGCTGGAGCTGGGCCTGGATGCTGGGTGTTACCTGATCTAGATTCTGGAATTAGGGATGGGGTGGGCGGGCTTGGCATGTTGTCACATGTCCTTTACCTCCCCACCCCCTGTGAGCCCCAGAAACCAGGTGTCAGGATTCACGGGGCAGTTCTGGCCAAGGTCAGGAGGCTGGGATGCCAGGCTGGAGAGAGACCCTGAGGCACATGAATTAAGTTCTTGCTTTTGTCCATGTGTTCTCAGGTCCCGGAGTCCCAGGCGACCATGGCTCCTACCATACTGGCCAGCAGCAGCACTGATGCAGCCTCTGCTGCTGGCAGCACCCCCAAAAGTCAGGGTGTCATTGAGCCCATGGATACAGAAATCCAGGAGAGTAGGAGAACATGTGCTGATGGGCAACCTGGAGGCAAGAAGAATACAGAGGCAGATGGGAAGATGCAGGTGAACGTGACACAAGAAAGTGAGAGGCCAGTTTCAGACAGGAGTTCCCAGGAGGATGTAGCAGCACAGGGAAGGGTGGGGACACAGGTGAAGAGGACACAGGCAGGTGAGAGGACACAGGAAGACAAGGGGAGCGTACGCACAGCCATTAAAGGTCAGTCAGAGAAGGAGTCGGTGACCAGCCTCAGCCCAAAGCCCGGAGCCCCTGAATGCCCACCTTCAGAGGGTCTCAAGTCTCCTCGGATTAGTGAATGTTTTGAAAAGGCCCCGGAAAGGCCCTCTGTCCCAGAAAAATCTGGTTTCATGCTCAGATCTGAGGAAGCAGCAGTAACAGCCTCTGAGAACCTAGAACAAACTGTGCTGGGTCCCCTGGGAGGGGGCCCCACGCTCCCAGCACAGCTGCCTCCTGAGGGTAGCTTGGAGCAGACGGGAGGAGAGAAAAACCAGGGGCCAGAGTGGTCAGGCCTGGTCAAGGACAAGCTGGAGGATGACCTGTTCCAGGGCCCCAAGGAGGAACAGAGGAGGGAAGTGCTGCCTGTGGATCTAGGCTCCTGTGCTCCGGCTGGCCTGAGCCCGGAGGGGCCCACTGTGCCCTCTCTTCCTGGGACTGGCCTGACTGATAGCTCACAGCACATGAATGCAGCCGCCTTCCTGTCCTCTGGCGACCAGGCCTTGTTTAATTCTGCAACCCCACTGCACTTGGGGCTGGGAACCCCCACCCAGGGTCATCCACCAGAAACCATGGCAGCTAGGAATGAGGGGGCCTGCACCAAGATGCCAGATGTGGAAGGGAGGCCCCCACGCCCCCAGAGCTGTGACCCTGGCCTCATAGATTCGCTGAAGAACTACTTGCTTCTGCTCCTGAAGCTATCCAGCACTGAGATGAGTGGAGCGGGCATGGAGGCCCAGCGGGGAGCTGCCCCCGGAGGCCCAGCGCCCTCGGGAATGCTGGCCTCCACCGTGGAAGTGGCTGGTTTGAGTCCGCGGACGTCTCGGCGCATCCTGGAGCGCGTGGAGAACAACCATCTGGTGCAGAGCGCACAGAACCTGCTGCTCAGCCCCTGTACCTCCCGCCGCCTCACCGGCCTCCTGGACCGCGAGGTGCAGGCCAGCCGTCAGGCTCTGGCTGCTACCCGGTGCCCTGGCCCCAGCCCCCTCACTGTCCCAGCCATCGTGGTAGGCGAGGAGGAGGGCCCTGGGCTGGTCTCAGAAGGGCCTGGTGAGGGTGAGGGAGAGGGCCCCCTTGAGGAGCCAGGCCTCCTGGGCACCTCCCAGGAGAGCATTGTGGAGGGTCAGCTGAGGGAGGCGGGTGGGCAGACAGCCTCTGGTCAGGGCCCTCTGTCAGCAGAGAGCAGAGCCCAGGAACCCTTCCAGGAGGAGGAAATCCTAGGGGAGGCGCCCACATGTCTCCCTGCAGCTACCCCTGAGGAGCTGGCTCTGGGGGCCCGGAGGAAGAGGTTTCTCCCTAAGGTCAGAGCAGCAGGAGATGGGGAGGTAGCCAATCCTGAAGAAAGGGAGAGTCCCACGCTTTCCCCCAGAGGGCCCAGGAAGGGCCTTTCGCCTGGGTCCCCCGGGACTCCAGGGCAGGAGAAACGCTCCCCTACCCAGGGCCGAAAGGCAGGCCTGCTGGAGGTGCCACAGGCAGCGGAGAAGCCAGCAGCAGAAGACCTGGGTTCCAGTCCCAAGGCCAGTGGGCAGAATCCAGAACTGGGCTTGGATGAAGGCAAGCAGGAAACTCCAGCCAAACCGAAGAAAGCCCAAGACCTGCTAAAAGGTGAGCAACGATGTGGTGGGGCTGGCTTCATAGAGAGGGGGGCCCAGCAAAGGACACACCTACAGCTACCGGGTGGCATGTGAGAGCACCTTCTAAAGGTATTCTAGCCTCACGGTCCCCCCTTGGGAATCAGGAAGGCCTGCTGCTTGTCCTCACTCTGTTACTCGGCATGGTAACATTGTGAGGATTAAATCCCATAGAGTGAATCAAGGACTCAGCACAAGGCCTGGCTTCAGCAACATCTTAGCTTGGTCACCTTCCCTGGAACCCCCTCTTTGCAGACTTGTCCGATGAAAATGGCAGCTCCTATCTAGGCTGCTGCCTGTGTCCTCAGCCCGGAGGCGCTTCCTGGCCTGGGGAGGCAATCCGGTAGTGGGTTCTTTCTGTCTAGGATGGGTGCTTTTGGGGGTCAGGGCAGAAGCCTCAGAGATATAGGTGGGGTGCCACTGGGGGCCGTGAAGGAGTGGGTTTGTGTGGACTTGAACCCTATTTTTTCTCAGCCTGTTCCACTAGGGACACCCAGGGCTAGGGCCAGAGAGGGCACACGATGGCGGGGGGAGGGGGGGGCGGAAGGAGGGACTCAGTCCTCTTACCTGGGCCCCTGCTCCCAGCCCCACAGGTGATCCGCAAGATTCGGGCGGAGCAGTTTCCTGATGCCTCAGGCAGCCTGAAGCTCTGGTGCCAGTTTTTCAACATTCTCAGTGACTCAGTCCTGACATGGGCCAAGGATCAGCGCCCAGTGGGCGAGGTGGGCAGGAGGTAAGCCAGCTGGAGGCCCCCCCCCATCTGGCTCCCTAATTTTAGCAGTCATCATGCTGGGCATTGTCCTATCTCTGTGGGTCTGTCACCTCATTTAATCCTCATAGTAATCTAGCATTCCCATAGTAGAGAATAGGAAATTGAGGCTCAGAGGTCACAGCTAGCGAGTGTCAATACTGCAGATCGGACCTGTGATCCAGGACCAGCTCTTGACCACAGTCCCTTGCCACCTGCCCCAGAGCTCCTAGCAGCCTCTGAGCAGGGTCTGAGGAGCCTCAGGACTGCAGTCCGGCCCTGGCTGTGCTGTGGTGTGGCCCTCACAGGAAGGGTCTCCACTCTTCGCAGTGCAGGGGACGAGGGGCCGGCGGCCTTGGCCATCGTGCAGGCGTCCCCCGTGGACTGCGGCGTGTACCGATGCACCATCCACAATGAGCATGGCTCAGCCTCCACTGACTTCTGCCTCAGCCCCGAAGGTGAGGGTGCCCCCGGGTCTCTGGCTCCTGGGAGGGCAACAGTCGTCTGTGGAGAGATGGTACGCTCTCCAGGCAGACCAGCCTGAGGGCAGCTGCTCTCTCTTTTGTCTCCACACAGTGCTGTCAGGATTCATCTCCAGAGAAGAGGGTGAAGGTACGGAGCTCCCCAGGGGAGGAGTGGGTGGCCTTCGTCCCTGCCCTGCCATCTTCCAGGAGACCTTCAAGGACTTGGAATCTGTTCCAAATGCCGTGTTTACCTCCACAAACAGCTGTGCTTTGCCTTCTAGTTCAGGGGGTGCTTGGGGAGGAGGCTGGAGGGGGGCTGTTTCAGACGATGGTGGGAAGAGAGGTAGCTAAGGGAAGGGGAGTTCATTCAGCCTTGTGCCCTTTGCCCATGTCAGAGCCCTTGACCAAGGGCAAGATGTGCCACCGTGGTTCACTAGAACCCTGCCAGCTTCCTTCCCAGAGTTCCTCACCGTGGTCTGGTGTTAGATGCACACAGGGAGCCTGCTAAAAATGCAGTTTCTTGGGCCCTACTGCAGATCTTCTTAATCACTGTCTCTGGGGAAGGACCTAGGAACATTGAATTTCCACTAGGCTCCCTGGCGACAGTGATATACCTCAACGTTTGATAAGCATTTTAAAGGCTCCAACATTAGAGGGAGAGTCTGTGTTTTCCTGCAAGAGACAGGCTAAGGATAAGGACTGTGCAGTTGGCTGGTGATGGAAAGATTCCTAGAGCTTTATTTGCCAACTAATGCATTCATGCATTCATTCATTCATTCATTCATTCATTCATCCATTCATCCATCCATCCATCCATCCATTCACTCATTCATTCAAACAGTGCCTTTTGTTCAGTTATCAAATTAAATTTAATCAATATCAAATCTAACATCACACCTAAAAACTCAGTACAGGCATACCTCGTTTTTATTGTGCTTCAGAGATGTTGCAGGTGGAAGGCAAGACCCTCCACCTGCAAAAAGATTATGACTCACTTTATTGCAGTAACCTGGAACCAAACCCATAGTATCTCTGAGGTGTCCTTATAATAATTCTTTAATATCATCAAATATCCAAATCCAATTTTCCCAGTTGTCTCCTAAGTGTTAGTTTATTTGAATTAGGCACCACTTGTTGCTTTGGACTGACATATCTCTTAAGTCTCTCTGATATGTGCTGTATTTCCCCATGTATAAGATGCTCCCATGTATAAGACGCACCTTAATTTTGGGGCCCGAAATTTGAAAAAAAATGCATTATATAAAGTTATTGAATTCAAGTTTTATTCATTATTAAAGTCATTCAATTCCTCTTCACTGTCAAAACTCCCAACCATTAGCTTATCCTCATCTGTGTCTCATGACGAATTGCTGTCTTTATATTATTGCCTCGTCTTCAGTTCCATCTATGGCATTTGAAATCTACAGCCACTGTGTAAGACGCACCCAGTTTTTAGACCCCAAATTTTTCGAAAAAAGGTGCGTCTTATACATGGGGAAATACGGTACATTCTTCCTCCCTCACTTGTTTTCCCTCCTTGCCATTTATTTGCTGAAGTCAGTGGAGGTGTAGAATTCCTTACATTCTAGATTTTGTTGATTATATCACCACTTTACATGTTCCTCTATCCATGTGCTTCCTCTAAACTGTTAATCAGATTGAGAGGCTTGGTCAGATTCAGGTATAATTCTTTTTGGCAAGAACACTTCACACATGTGTAGTTCATTTCCTTTTGCATCCTATCTGGAAGCACATAACGTCTGATTGTTTTACTTTTAGTAATGTTGAGATTGATCACTGGGTTCATTCAAATGTTTTCTGCCTGATCCCTTTTAAAAGTTAAAAAAGAAAAAAGGTATCTGATAAACCTTTATTGTTATCTAGGGGTTTTAGCAGTCACCCATTAGTGCCTAAATCCATTATTTCATTAGGGTTTGCCACATGGAATATTTTAATTCTATCATTTCTTCTTCATTCATTCATTGAAATTTTTCTGTAAAGGAGAAATGGTTATTTGGTTATCCTAGGTTGATGCCCTAGCAACCTTCCAAGTTCATCAGTGAAGTGTTTTGGGTTTCTTTTGCACAGAGAGGGGAGTTTTTAAATTACAGTTATATGGGCTGGCCGAGTGGCGCAATGGTTGAGAGCTGGCTTGGAACGCCAGAGGGCCCCGGTTCGGATCCCACATGTGAGGGCCAGTGATACTGCCCTCTACCAAAAAAAAATTACAGTTATGAATATAGAATTTTTGGTATATTTGATATGTTCAAAACATTGCAGTAATTATTCATTTTTGTTGGTAAGATTGTCTGATTTTGGCCAATGGAAGCCCCTTCCAAAGGTTGGCTCTTGTGTCTTTTTGACAAGCCTCCCATCATTTGTAATAGCTTTTTTCCTTTGTGGTCTGACAAGATGTTTCAGGTCCATCCAGCACACTTCTTGTCCTAGCCCTGGAATCAACTGTTTCTCCAGGGACCTCTGGTTCCTTTGGGTGGAAAATGGTGGTGATCACCATCTGAGCACCAGGGGTGCTCACTGCTACCGGATTGTTTCTGCCAACTTTTTGTTTAAGTCAAACATGCTGGTTGAGATGTTTTTTCATTTGATCAAAACACCTAATTCTAAAACAAAGTAATTGTGGTATTCTGTATTGATTGCAACTTCCCCATAAACCCCTGCCCTCCATAGACACCGCTTGCGTCCTTACTGTATGATGGGCACACTCAAGCGCTGTTACATGACAGGGTATATCAGATAGTTTCTGCCCTCAGGAGCTCGCAGTCTGGCAGGGCACCCACAGTGTACCCCAAAGAGCAGCAATGGGCAGAGTGAGCACACCAGGGTGGTGGGTGGGAGGCGTTCCAGTCTTTTCCTGCCCTACAGGCCCTGCATCAGTGAGGCAGGAGCTTTTAGTTTTCCGTGTTTTTCCTATTCCCCTTCAGTTGGAGAGGAGATTGAAATGACCCCCATGGTGTTTGCTAAGGGCCTGGCTGATTCTGGCTGCTGGGGGGACAAGCTTTTTGGGCGCCTGGTGAGCGAGGAACTACGAGGGGGTGGATGTGGGTATGGCCTTCGGAAGGCCTCCCAGGCCAAGGTCATCTATGGGCTGGAGCCCATCTTCGAGTCGGGCCGCACGTGTGTCATCAAGGTGTTCAGCCTGCTGGTGTTTGGGCCCAGCAGTGAGACTTCTCTCGTGGGCAGAAACTACGACGTCACCATTCAGGTACTGTGTTGCCTCCCCATGTCCCTCCTTCCACTCTTTCACCTCCTCCCCTTCCCCAGCCTGGGCAGAAGCCCTCTCAGCCTCAACTTTGGGAGGCTCCTGGGATGGTCCTTGAGGAGAGCCTGGGAGAGACGTAGTCCAGGCTACGTCTTCGGGGCCTTAGTTTTCAAACTACGTTTTTGCAGCAGAAATCTTTCCAACTGCCCTCAAGCATCTTACACAGAAGCGTTATATGTGAGATGAGAGGGGAGTGACTGTGGTGGGGTGGTCTGTGCTCTGCTTGCTGTCTGCAGCATGGCCACTGGGGCACTGCCACATATCACCGGGGCTCCAGGAAGTGCTGTTAGGAAACTCCTTTGAAAACAAATGCAAAGCCTCTTGTTTACAAATGAGAAAAACTAGGAGCAGAGTAGGGAGCAGGAAAGGTGTGACCCCCAGCTCCCCAAGGCTGGAATTCTCTCTGCAGTCCTCCAGCAGCTGGCCCTCCCGCTTCAAGCTGGGCATGAGGGAGCAGGGGAGCTTCCTTGCTGATCAGCTTGGGTTCTGTCATCCACAGGGGTGCAAGATCCAGAACATGAGTCGGGAGTACTGCAAAATTTTTGCGGCAGAAGCCCGAGCTGTGTCTGGCTTTGGGGAGGTGCCTGAGTAAGTGCCCAGGGAGCGGGGCGTGCAGTGCGCAGACCTGCTGACTTGAGCTTCTACAAAGAGCAGTGATATCACAGCCTCTTGGGCATCCTGAGTTGTGGCCCTGTGCAAATGGGCCCAGAGCTAACCCCATGCTCAGCTTGGTGGTCCCACAAAGCCTAGAATTAAAGACCCCAACATCCACTGGCTGCTTTAGGAAAGCTTCTGCCCTGGTCTTCAGTCTCCTCCCAACCACCCCAGTGCCCCACCCTTAGCCCAGCTCTGCTGATTGAGGATTTCGGCAGCATATTCTGGGCCTCTCTGGAGGTAGTGGGCAGCTAAACTCGTAGGCACCCTGGTCAGGACTGTGCTGTGGTAGCAGGTGGGGCCAGTGTGGACTTGGAGTCAGCTTTAAATGGTAATTGCTTCCACTTGGAGACCTGAACTCCTACTCTTGAATATTGGGGTCTGGCTGGCATTGAGCCACAGTCTGGTTGAATCCTCTCGAGAAGTGTTCCTTTCTGTTTGACATATGCTGGTCTCCATCCCTCCCCCAAGCATAGAGTCTTCCTGGGGCCATAGCATGGCTCAGTTCTACTCCCACTGATCTCAGGGAATGGACAGAATTGTGAAGCCAGTGGCCTCCATTTCCTTTCCTGAACTCAGGGTGGGCTCCCCTCCCTTGCTGTCCTTCAGTCTCTTTCTTGGAAGGGCCCCCCTTTTAGTTCCAAGAGTACAGAATCGATGGAGCAGGGAGCTCTCTGGTGCCATACTTCCTGCTCATTGCTGGTGAAACTTTGTTTAGGATCATCCCACTGTATCTAATCTACCGGCCTGCAAACAATATCCCCTACGCTACCCTGGAGGAAGACCTGGGCAAGCCCCTGGAGCCTTATTGTTCCCGGGAGTGGGGTCGTGCTGCGGTGCCAGCAGCATCCAGCAGCTCGGAGGCCGTACAGAAATGCCAGACCTTCCAGCACTGGCTGTACCTGTGGACGAATGGCAGCTTCCTGGTCACAGATGTGGCAGGTACGAGGGTGTGAGTGTACCTGTGTGCGTGTGTGAGAGCATTCTGGGGGCAGAGCACAGTGCTTGTGTACTAGTCTACCACATACTTTCACACTTGTTTGCTTTTGACAATGACCTTGCAAAGTAGGTTGAACTGGCACCATTTTGTATGCAACCCTCATACATCCCAGGGCTCCTGTAACCTAGTCCATAACTGCAGTCGTATTTAAAGGCACACACTCCAGGCTTCAATTAAAATTAAAAAGGAATTTATTTCAAAGAACATTGCATGAGATCTAATCAAAACCCATAATCACCTTTTTGAAATCTCCCTTCCTCCCTTCCCTGCAGCTTTTCTCTGGACTTTCTCACTCCCCATACTTCCCAAACTCTCTCTTCCATCCTAGCACAGGTAGCTGTACTGCCCCTTCCCTTCCTCCCTCCTCCCCCTTCCTTTACCCTCCTCCTCCTCCTCCTCCATCTTTGTTAGCTTGTTATTATGTAAACCATCCTAGTCTCTCTGACTTCTTTTTAGTGTATTTCTATTTCTCCCATTACCAGATCCTCCCCAACAAAGGAAGCCTCGCAAGCATGAATCCTCCTTCCTTCTCTGACCTTCCTCTCTAGGCCCACCCCCTTAAACCAGAACTGGGCAGGGGAGAGGAAAAGATACAACTTCTGCACAGTGGGAGGAGAGGAATGCTGGGAATAGCATACATCTGGTCCGGATGTAAATAAGTGAGAAAACCACAGGCCAGAGAGAAAACTGGCTCAAATGTGCTTTTCAGTGGAGTTAAACTGTAAGATAAACTGTATATATAGCTCCATGTACTGTGCTAGTAACACAGTAAACCATTACCATTCACTCTTTGTACATTCCTTCCCCGCCCCCCTCCACTTCCTTCCATTCATCCAACATTTACTAAATATTGGAAAGATAAAAAGGTAAATTAGGAATAGTCCTTAATAAGCTGTGATAAGTATACCAATTTCTATAATGAGATAACATGATATAGTAGAAAGACTTGGGAGTCAAAGAAATTAACTTCAACTCATTGTTTTCTCTCTGGGTCTCTGATTTACAGAGAAGAAAACTGAAGCTCAGGTCATTTAATCTCTCTGAGCTGTAGTTTCCTTTCTGTCTCTGGGAATAATATCTTCCCTACCTATCTCTTAGACTTGTTATGAGGATTACTGAGACCATATTTGTGAAAGTCTGCAAACTAAAATTCTGTGCAGGTGGAAGGGAGCATCTTTATTATCATACAAAATGGAATGTGATAAATGCTGAAAGAGGCATGACAAAGAAATTAATATTTATTGCCTAACTCCTGTGTTTCAAACTCCACATTAAAGTCCTACATACACTGCCGTCTTCCCTGTGAGATGGGTAACATATCCCCTCTTTTACAGTGGAGGATTAGAGATAGTAAGCGGCTTGCCAAGTTCACACAGTTTGAAAGTGACAGAGCTGGAATGTCAATCCAGGCCTGTCAGACTCTCCACTCACACGTGTGCCTCGCTAACATACCGTTAGTGAAAGGCACGTTCTGAGAAGAAAGCAACCAGACAATTGGAAAATGGGGCACGAGGGCCATAAGTCTAATGCATGAACGCTAAGACGCTGGGGTGGACTTCCCCGTCACCATGGTTCCAGGCTTTGTTCTTCCAAGGCATCGTACCCGAGGAGACTGCCTTGGCTTGGAAGGTTTGCTTGCTGCCTTTTCGAGTACGCAGAAGCCAGCCTCATCCAGTTAGGTTTCTGCTGGTCCAGCCCGATTTCCCTCACATTCCCACGTTCTGCCTCTTGCCCAGATAGGCTAATCTGTTAGAGGAAGGAGAAAGTATTCGCTCAGAGCCAGAAGTCAGCCCAATTTGTGACCTGATCTGGTCCAGCAGAGGCAGGATTGCATAGTTGGAAGAGTTTTGGATCTAGTAAGAAAAATTGAACTTTGACTCACAGTGATTAGTGCTCAATTATCGAATGAATAAATAAATGTGACTTAGTTTGAGTCACTTAACTCTGAGCCTAGCTCCTCACCTTTAAAAACGGGAATATTATTACTACTAATAATACAGAGATACCTACGCTGCCTGTGAGACAGGCCAGTGGTGTGACCCAGGGAGAGGATGCCTGAAGGCGGCCCTGAGACCTGGCATGTTCCCATCTAAAGGGAGATCCCTCTTGGAGACATGGGGGCCCTAGAACCAGCCCAGACTGCCATCAAGTCCCAACTTTCTCTCTTTTCAGGGGTTGAGTGGAAGATGACTGATGTGCAGATCGCCACCAAGCTGCGAGGGTGAGTACTTCTCAAGGACAGAATGCCCTCTGAGAGTCTTCTCAGGGTGTAACCTATGGAAGGCTTTTTGCTTCTCTTTCCTGAGGTGCTGGGCCTGTGTCTTGATGGTCCCAGTTGCACCTATGGGCATGTAGTGACATCCCAGAGGCCGCTGATTCCCACCCGCTGTGTCCCTGCCCCTAGACCTGGACCAGCAGCTATTGACACCCCCACAGAGACTCACTTGCAGTCCTGGGCTTTCACTGTCCCTGCTCCCCTTCCTTCACACTTGAGAAAGCTCATCACGACACAGATGAGCAAGCCCTGTGAGCAGAGTGGTGGCCTGGAGTCTGCTCTAATTTATATTAAAGACACAGGTCACCCTCACACCAAGTGTCCCATGTGACGAATTCCTTGTGCCAGGGCATAATGAGACCTCAGTTTAGAATCGAGATTTTGGATGCTGCCCCTTGAGGTAGCACCAGGTAGACTCCCCAGCACCTCCAGGTGGGTAGGATGTACCTTGGGCATGACACTCTGGCCATCCCAGAGCCGGCCCCCCAAGGACCCTCAGTATGGGTGGGACTCCCACTCAGCTCTTACTGTTTGGCTGCAGATACCAAGGCCTCAAGGAGAGCTGTTTCCCTGCCCTGCTGGACCAGTTTGCCTCTTCCCACCAGTGCAACACCTTCTGTGAGATGCTGGGGCTGAAGCCCCTCAAGGGCCCCGAGGCTGCCCACCCCCAAGCCAAAGCCAAAGGCTCCAAGAGTCCATCTGCCGGCAGGAAGGGCCCCCAGCTGAGTCCTCAGCCCCAGAAGAAAGGCCTCCCCAGTCCCCAGGGCACCCGGAAGAGTGCCCCAAGCTCCAAGGCCACTCCTCAGGCTTCAGGGGCAGTCGCCACCCAGTTATTGGGACAGCCTCCCATCCAAGAGGGGGGCTCCAAGGCCCAGGGCACGCGGTAGCCCCCACAGGAGGAACAAGGAAGCAGCTTGAACCGATGGAGACTTTCCCAAAACAGACGACTAACAGGAGAAGGTGCACTGAGGAGGCACCACTTGGGGGCCTCTCTAAGCAGCCTCTCCTCAGTCAGCAACTCAGTCAGATGGCTTTGGTGCGTGGCACACAGCCCAGTGGCCTCGCCTGGTGCCATGTCACCCAGGGCTCCCAGGATCCACCTCCCAAGTGCCCTGGGAGCTGAGACCCTCCTTGAAGTTTACACTGGCCACTGGTGGAGGCTCCCTGAGTCCTCTGCATGAGCTCTGCACCCCGACCCCTTGTCCCAGTCAGACCCTGTCATGAATGGTGTCCCCTGGGGCATGCAGGCCAGCACACACCCTCTGCCCTGTGCTTGGCCCTGGCCTCCCCCTGTCCTCAGGGCTCCAGACTTCCTCTGCTGTGTCTGACCTGGTGACTCTCAGGGTGTCTTCTCCTTCTGGCGACTTAGCCTCATTCATCCCAGCTTACCCTGCAACTAACTTGTTCCTGAGCCCACATGGGGCTCAGGGTCCTTCCAGACCTGTCATGTCCTTGTGTGGTGGCCTTCGGTGACGCGTGTTCTTGCTCTTCTTTCTCCCATCACTCAGGCACTCACCTGCTTCTCATGCTTCCTGGTACCCCACCCCCCATCCCTGGCTTTGAGCCTAGTTGTAGCCTGCTGCCTACCCTTCACTGACTCTGCTTGTCCCCTTGCCTGATGGCTTCCCTAGCCTGACCAGCACCCTACCCTCCAGGACCCCGGTGAAGTGTAGACACTCTGGCCTCTAGTGCACCCCAGTCTCCTCCTCCCCTTCTACTCCCATACCCCCTGTCCATGAGGTGAGAACTGACATGAGGGTTGTGTCAGCAGCTGTGCCAGCGGGAAGGTATGGACTTGACGGGACCTTGTGTTCCATACTGAAAGGAGGTGGGGTCATGTGAATTTTGCACCCCCTCTTGACCAGGGATGGAGGGCTGGGATGATTCTCATAGGGGAGTAGAATGGGGGTTTTAGGAAGGATTGGGGTGGAGGGGTGTGTCTGTGCCTGGAACTTAGGACCGCTGCCCCCATCCATTAGCTCTGATCCTGGGGCTCCAGCTCTGGGGCCTCATACATTGGATCCCAAGGAATTGCTATGCCTGGCACCCTGGGTTCTTCCTGAGAGCCCTTCCTGGAGGTCCTGGATGGGGTGGGTCTGGAGCTAGCCTGTTCCCCTTGGAATGCAATAAAGGCAGCAACCATGTTTCCTGCTCACCCTCATCTGGTGTGGTTGTAGGTGTGTGGGCTCAGGGTCCCCTCTCCCCAGGAACTTCTCTAGGGCAACCTACAGTCCTTGGGCTCCTGGAAAAAATGAATCCGTGTTTCGGCTCCTAGATTGACCTTCAGTCTGAGCCTTCTGTGGCTACAGCTAGATAGTTTTTGCTTCTTTGCAATGGCTGATGGCTTGTGCCCCTTAGTAGGGTATCTGGGGACGAGGACCCAGAGTGGCATTGTTCCTTCATTTGGGAGAGGAGCACGAAGGAACCCTGGAGGGCGCTCAGGGGAAACACCAGTGTCTCTGCCTGCCTCCAGTGCAGGCAGCCCAGCCCAGGGGACAGCCAGCATCTGCCTCGCAGCCACTCACTGACCATTTTGTGCCCCCAAATAGTAGAGAGGCTTCCCATTTCCAGCCCCCTGCCCCAGTGCCTTTCCTTTCCTGACATTTACCCCCCTCCACGTTGAGATTTCTGACTACCTCCTCTTGTGCTCAGGTGGCTCTTCCCACTTTTCCCCCTTGCCCCAATGTGCCCCCAACTCTCCCAGCCTTCTTATCCAGATTGCCTTGGTAAACTAGAGCCGAAATATTGTTCACTTGTTTCTCATTCATTCATTCATTCACTCATTCATTCAGCAGACATACAGTGAGCACCTACTTTATAGGTAGACCCTGAGCTAGACCCTGAACTCACAGCTCTTGGGGGTAAAGATATATGAGGCAGTCTCAAAAGATACTCTTTCTATTAGGTCTCTTGAGTTTTGAGCAACAGAAACGGACTGAGATCAATTTAAGCAAGAAAAATGGGTCCATGGGAAGGGCTTTGGGGTAGCTCACAGAACCAGAGGAATAGCTGAACTACTGGCCTTGAGGAGGGGGCGGGGGGAGGGAGAGCCAGGGTAGCTCTGAGCTTGCCTCCCAGGAGCTGCTGCTGTTGTCAGGTCAACACCAGCCAGCTATTGGTCACAGTGGGTCCCCCTCCATTCAAGATTCAGGGCATTATGGAGTGGGGGAGAGGCAGTTTTCCAAAGGATGGGGATTCTTAGCACAAGAATGGTAGAAAGTGGGAGGGAAGAAAGGGCTTGGTGGGCAATGACAAAAGATCACTCACTCACTCACTCACTCACTCACTGTTCTTTCTTTCTATCTGATGTATTAATGATTCCCACATACAACCAAAAGCAAATTCCTCTCAGTTTAGAGAAATCATTCAAGGTTACATCAAATGACTAAGTCCAAGGGCAATGACCAGGGACTACCATTCTCCAAAGTCCAGCATCACCAGTGATACCCTGCTCTCTTTTTTCTCAATCCCATTTTGAAAATCTGCAACCTGTGGATTAACTGGTAAAATTAATCATTTTCAACCAAAACTATATAACCCAGCAAGAAAGGATATATGAGTAAAGGCTACAGTTCGTTTTTACAACTAGTGTTTATGACCAGGAATTTTACCTGTCAGAATGATCCAAACCTTCATTTCCGAAGTCCAGCTCCTTAGTGGTCGTGTCTGGGTGGTAGCATTTACTACCGGATGTGACCGTACCAGGAACACCCAAGGAATCCCCCCAATCCACCTGAACTCCCACCATCTTTTCCATAGCAGCAAGCATAACCTCTTGTTATGTGTCACCCGAGGTAGAAGGAGCCTGAAATGGCCAGGTGCCTCAGCTCCCAGTTCATTTGAATCATTACCATGACTTTTTGAGGAGGTGTTTCCTTGGGGACTAAACCACCCCCACCAGCCTGGTCCCAAACCTCAGGTATGAAATAAACACTGAGATGTAATGATAACACAGCCCTCTCACTCTGCTTCCTAGCCTGTAGAAGAAATAGCGCCAAGAATTGGTTGCCAGTTCAGAGCTTATGCTACATCCCGCGAGCCTGACCCAACCTTGGAAGGTATTGTTTTACAGCTGGTGCGATAGCTGAGTTTTCAACAAACCATTTCTTTATACTATCAAGCTAACTGCTTCTGGACTGGGGACCCTGAAAGGATGAGTGAATGCCACAGGCATCAGGCAACCCCTTATTTGACTTTGGCTGTAAACTGGGTTCTTTGGTTGAATGTAAAATGTGGGGATACCTCAGTGATGTTTACGGCATTTGATAATTCTGTGGATATTGATGGGGGGAGAGGTGTGATGGGTGAGGAAAGCAAATCCAAATCCAGAAGAAGCGCCCATGATGGTCAAGATAAAATCCTACCATCGTAAAGCCACGCTTCGGTGTAGGTTGGGGAGAGCTAGCAGTAGGGCGGCAGAAGGCCTGTGCGAGAGTGAGTGAGCGGCCCACATACATGGCTTGCCTGTACCTTCAGAACCCTACTCTGGAGTGCCCACCTGAGCATGGAGTGCTTCTGGCCCAGCTTGAATATGGCTGGGTGGGTCAGATAACCTGTCATGAGGGACAGCATGGCCACCTTGTATGCCATAGCTAAGCTTCAGGCCGCCCTGGAGCCCAGTGGTAAGCTAGAAGGCCATGTCTCAATAGATACTTTTTGGCCTTAGCATTACATGGTTCAAAACCCTGGGTTACCCTGCCATATTTTTTTGAATCAGGACTTGCCATAGCTTCATATCACTCCCCAAGATGCCTCAGACAGATACCTCAGGCACCATTGAATCTGCCAGGACATGTGGCCTGGTGGCAGAACCATTTGTACTAAAGGCTTTCCCACCTGGAGAGCCCTCACGTGCTTTAAGCCCAACTGAAAGCTGGTGGCTTAGGTCAGTCAGTAAAAGGGCTGGAGCAACATCCCCAGAGTGACATTTTTTTCTGGAATTGGGCCTTAGTGGTAAGGGATTCTGAATGCAATAATGTGTTTTACATTGTGGAGGAAATATTTTGACTTCACCAGACCCCTCAATCCCCAGGAACTTTATCAAGGAGGCAGGCCTTTGCATTTTCACGTGATTTATCGCCCACCTTTGACTCACATATGTCTCACCAAGGCATTAGGGAAGCTGGTGGTGTCCAGGCCCCATCAGCAGGATGGCATCAGTGTGATGGGACACTGTGGTGGTGGGTCAAGGTCCCTGTGAACCAGGTTGTGTCAGATAGAGCAGAGTTAAGATACTCTAAGTACTGCTGCTCTGCCAGATGAAGATAAATTGCTTCTGATGTTCTTTGTTCGTCAAAGTAGCGGGAAAAATAAATTCCTTAGATCAGAGGATTTATGCCAAATGCCAGGAGCTGAATGAGTTTGTTTTAGCAAGAAGACGTCTCACAAGCATCACTTCTGAAAGTTGACAGCATCCCACAGATCTCCTGGTGCCTTGCACTGGCCAAGCTGCATGGGGTGGGAGCCTGTGACTCCACACTCAAGTCTCCGGTACTAACACTGCTGCCTGCAGTTCCCCAGGAATATGGTATCACTTTTGATTTCTCATTTTGCTAGGGCGGGGGAATTCTAATGGCTTGTACTTGTCCTGTCCTGCTACAGTCACTCTTACCCCACACATCAGAGAGGCATGTGGGCTTTGTGCCTGTGTCAGAATATATCCATTTCAGCTGTACACTCAAAATAACCCCTGGTTGGCTTTGAGATTCTGCTGGGTCTACGAAAGCATAACATTTGGTGTATTAATCACTCCCATTGATTGGCAGGCCTCATGCTTTTCTGTTGTTCCCAGCAACTGGACTTAGTGTGGAGCCAGTGTCCTATAGAACCCCTCTCCCCAAGTTTGGGTGTTTTTCCTTCCCTTCTGTAGTTCCCAGATAAATGGATGAAGACCCTTTTGGGGAAGGCTACAAAGAAGGTTCACAATATGTACCTAACTATTAAAATAAGGTTTCCCTTCAAAGATACTTGACTTCCTTTCCATTGAGTCTGGAAATGAAGTGGGAGATTTTGACTCTACCTTGGCAGCTTGACACAGACCTGTTTGCCCATGCAGAAGTCCTTAGTCATGGCGATAACTAGGTCATTTCTTAGGGGGTGTCTGGTCTTTTTCATTCCTGGGAACTAATGATTGATTAGCTGCAGCAAGAGGTCCGGTTTCCATGCCCACGTGCATTATGATGACTCCCCTACTTTGTTCCATCTCTCTGTCTCTGCTGCTGAGATCAGGGAGCATATTTTCATAGCAGCTCTCCCAACCAGCATTCCAGCGCGGGAAAGGAAAGCCAGCAGAGCTCGCCAATTTATTTCTTATGGCAAGGAGCGAGACCATCTGGGTGCTGCCAGAGGACAGTGAGAGGGTGGATGGACTGGATGCATGCCAAGGACCCAATAAAGCATTCTTGTCTCCTGAAATCTGTGAGTTCCTGCTTTTCTTGGATTTTTGGTCTTTTGATATAGTTCAGCATGGTCAACTTTTGGTCCAGATTTGTATTATTCAACAAATAGCCCCTTCCCCCCAAATGGTAAGAACTGTATCTGGCTATTTGAGCTTCTACTTTGATGAGTGAGCATATCAACAGGTAAAACCTGTACCAAAATTATGTTCTGCTATCTTGGTCAAACAGCCTTAAAAGTATTTCCATTAATTTTCACTATATATTTTTTGACAGTGTATATTATCTAATTCAGACGGTTTCTTCTAAGTGTAACTCTTCTTTTTCCTGATCTGATTCTGCCTGTCATCTCCTGGGTATGTGGAGTGTCGATTCTGGTTACTAGCAGATCAACAGTGTAGTGTGGGGCAGGGTCTGGGTCTCAGTTTTGTAACTTAATGATGTCTGTACCCCTGAGCTGATCAAACTCAGGGAGGCTGTCTCGTTCACTAAACTTACAAGAAAATGAAATGTGTACACCAAAAACCCACCTGGCTAATTTTTAATGAGAAATTTAACCATCTAGGAGACTGGATACTAGTTTTACCTGACAAGTAAATTCTTCCCTGCTTCTGAAAGAAAAAGTTTAAGGGAAACTAGATTATGAGAAGGTTGTTTGACAAGCTTGGAACAAGTCAGACAAACCTCAGTTCAGATCCAGCTTTACTAGCCATGTGAACTTGAGCCAGAGGAAGGGGAAGGAGGGGAGGAGCGTACCAGGCAGGGGAAACAATCTGTGCGAGGGTTCCGAGTCAGGTTATAGTGGAGGGACAGAATGGGAGCCTGTGTGCCTAGTGCATGACGAACAAGAGGACTGCGGTATTGTAATTTGAGGTTCAGAGAGGGCTAGGGCCAGGCCATGGGAGCACATTGGCATTGAGCCCTAAGGGTAGCAGTGTGTCAGGGTCAGCTACAACTGGAAGTAATAGAAGCCCTTAAGTGACAGTGGTCTTAAGCAAGAGAAAGTTATTTCTTCCTCTGAAAGAAGTCTGTAGGCAGTAGGAGATCTGGACGTGATCCATCTAGGGCTGGCATGGCAGCTCTAGGATGTCATCGGAAATGAGGCTCCTCTCTGCTCTATCCTGTCAACCTAAGCAAGAGTAATAATTGATCCCAAGTGCAACATCCTGAGCAGAAGAACTAAAATAGTAATACAGCTGTCAGATATCAGACAGTTAAGTCTTTGTTGTACATAGTGGAATCAACAGATAATGTCTAAAGTTGAAAATAAAAAATAGTATCTATATTTATGTATCATCTGTCTGTCTGTCCGTCCATCCATCCATCCATCCATCCATCCACCCACCCACCCATCCACCCATCTCATCTATCTATCATTCATCTATTTTATTTATAGAGGTTACTACCAGAGGTGAATAACAAAAGCACTTGTTTGTAGTTGTCTGAGGTGGGGTTGGAGGGAGTGGGGCTGGTCTCTGGTTTTTCCAGCTCTGGTTTCCCTGAGACTGCCCAGTGGTGAGCTTCCTTTAAATTTTCTTTGCCGGTCACTCACGTGGATTTTACTTGAAACAGAAAGGCCTACAGAAGAACTGCTTCAGGAATTGCCTATCAGAAATTGGATCGTATCCCATTCAACCACACAAATTTGAGCTCCGTTGTTAAATCGCAAAGGGAAATACGAGACAATGGAACTTGGCCAGACAGGAGCATCTGCCTTCAGGAAGCTGTGGTTGTGTGGCTGGAGCTAGCTCTGGGTAGGGGATACCTACCGACACTCGGGGGTCCTGGAGCCCACGAGGCACTGTCCTCTGACATTGGAACTGATGTGGTTCAGACATGGTTCATTCCTATTATTTGCAAACGGCGGCAAGGGGCAGCAGGTACCAGACACTCAGCCTCAGGGGACACCACACCTGAGGATGAAGGCCTTTCGTCCTGGCCGTTGCAGCACATACCTAGGTGGTAGAGTTACAGCAGGACATGATTATATGGATTCCTGGGCTGAGATAGTGGTCTAGTCAACTCCTCTGGCCACTGGCTTTTTAATGATTGAAGCAGTATATCCAGGCCCAGTATAGGATGTGTTCTTGTGGATTCACACTGACTGACATTTCTGACCAAATTAAACACCCTGGTTTCACACTAAACCTCTTTGGTTCCACCAAAGCGCCATGAGAATTCTCATTGGCACAAGGCTGTGGACAAACCCAGGGTCCTCTCTGAGACTCCCTTGAGACAGGCAGAGCACCTATGGGGAAGAGACTGCTTTGGCCTGGCCCGTGCCTGGGGAATTCACAGCAGCCTAGGAGTGAGGTGTGCCAACAGAACCAATCAGTTCTCACCTGTAGTGGAAGCTACTGGTGCCCTTTCCAGATCCCCTTAAGCGCGGGCACCCATCTTCCGGGTGCTATGAGTTTGTTAGTTCATAGCTACCCCTTGTCTGAAGAATTGTCCTGTAGCTAAGACCATGCTCTCCCTTCTTACCCCCACCTTATTCTGCCTCTCTTACACCCCTTCTGCTAAGAAACCCTCGCCGCCCTTTGGAAATAATAAGAAAGAGCCACATCAGTTCTGAGGTCAGAGGACAGTGCCTTACGGGTTCTCAAGCACATCACTTGGACAAGAATCCCATGTCAGGCTATGGAATCTGCCTCAGAAGCACCAGGCACTCTGCTGTGCAGACTCTGTCACTGGTGGAGAAATTTCATTGGGGCTCTTTTATCAAGGAAACATGTATGTTCTCAGAGCAGTTGCGATTGAGTTAATTATTCAGGTTTTGTGGCTCATTTCCCAGTAAATCGGCCCCTGTAGAATGTGCTGGATCTTACACAAGAAGCTCCTCGGAGACTGTGTCCTTGATGTGGAGTCGGATCAGAGAACACAGTTCACAGCCATCGCGGCTAAGTGTGGGCCCAGAATCCATCCTGCCTGCCCAGCAGCAGGCCAAGTAGAAACATGGACACCTCAAGGGCCAGCTCACATCTCCCAGACACGAACATGTAGCACAGTGACCCGTGGTCTACCTCAGACTGGTCACCTTCTCAACAGTTGTTTCATTTGTGGTGCTGCTCCCCCATCACACCTCCATGGAGGACAGGTGGGGAAAAATGGTGACCACTACCTGCTGCAGTGGGATATTATGACAGTTAATCGAGATAGTGCAGATAAAGCTCTTAGGCATGAAGCCCTCAGCTGGTGCCACTGTTGTCACTGTCTCCTGGAACTGTGGAATCCATCTCAGGGTTCACACGCTGCTCTCCTCTAAGCTGGGAGACCCTGGTGTTTCTCCCTTCCCTCAAAATGAGGTAGCTAACCAAGATCTCTGTCCCCACCCCTGAAAACTATCTTTCCAGCTCTCATCTTGTGTGGAACAGCACTGCCTTCTGATCCCCCACAAGCTGCCCTGCTGAGCTCCTGTGATGGGTCAGGTCTTCTACAGACCACCACTGTCATGGAACTGAAGGGAACTGGAAACAACCTTTGGAATAATGACACCTGTTTCTACAGGCACAGGGAAATGGAAAGGAGCATTTCAAAATGAGTCATGGTATATAATTGGCAGGCACACCCAGGAAGAACAGTTGGCACTAGTCAGAGGAGAGTCAGCGATTAGGCTGTGCCTTTCATTCTGTGGTCCAGTGTTATTGGTGGAGTTCCATCTGTGTGGAGGGAGGCAAAATATATGCCAGGAAAGTTTCAGTGTGTATGTGTGACACTCAGAGGGATCTACTTTTTTTCTTCCTAACAATTGTAATTTATCTGTGGTGCCCACTTCTCAGCACCTTCCGAATGGACCCTGCCGGTGTGCAGTACATTCATTTCACTGGCTTCTCTCCTGAAGTCTTCTTCATGGAAACTTTTGTAAAAATATTGGCTTTGCTCTAAGGCTCTGTGGGTGCCACATGAGACCACTTCTCTGACAGAGGGACAAGATGAACAATCAAGGAATTATTTTTGCCTGTGTAATTAACCGGCTTATCAGCTGTGACTCAACGTCAGTCTCTGGGCCATCAAGGCAATGCAGATCTAAATTAATAGCCCCCACAGCCCCTGCTATTGGCTGGAGGAAAATGGTGCACCTCAGAAGGAGGATGTAACTTTTGGTAGAGAACTCCCAAAAGCCAAAAATAGCATAACTATGACTATAGGAAGCCCATCTTTCAATGCCCCAAGTGAGAAAGGAAACATTGTATTGGCTGTCCTTTCTGCTGACCAGCCTGGGTTTAGGAGAGAACCGGTTCAGGAGAGAAGAATGACGAGGCCACGTTCATGGAACTTGACCAGGGAAGAACCTCTCTTTTTGTCCACTGCTTGGAAACATGAATCAATGCAATAAAAGAAACCTCATCTGCGAAGAGCCAAGAAATGAATGCAGGAAGATTGTTAGAAAATAGATTGTTGAACACCCCTTCTGATGATGCCTGCCTCTTACAGTCCTGAGTGTTTCACTCACCATTAATAAAAATATCCTCTTTATTATATCAAAGCCTGGCAAGGAGAAGGGATTCTCTCTTACCCTTTGGCCAAAAATCCCCCTGAAACAGGAGGTGGTCCCCAGAGAACTAAACCAGAAACAGGTAAGTGGTTCCCTCTGAGGAATGGGACAGGCATGGGAGAGGTTAGGCAGCCTCTTCATTATAAATTCTTCTCAGCGTTGTTTTGATTGGAAGGAAAGTTGTATATAAATATGGCCCTCACCTCCCTCTGTTTTGAACCCAGCAACTAGCTCTGCTCAGCCCCAGGCACCTACCTACCATCCTGGTGGTTGTGTGTGTGTGTGGGGCCTCAGAGCTCACCTCCTCAGGGAACAGGCCGCAGGGGGGTCAGGTGACATGCTGAGGTAACACAGCTGGGTGGAGCAGAGCCAGGACCCCCAAGGTCCTCCAGCTCTTGGTCCTTTTCTTCTGGCCCCATCCCAACCTACCTGGTCTCCCGACCCCCTACCCTGTGGCTCTCAGCCAAATGCCACCTAGAAAAGAGTGTTTGGCTTCTGGGGACCAGGATCACTGTTGTTCACTCCTCCTTGAGGGGAGGAGCAAAACAGGGTTTCCTGGCCTGCAGAAGGAGAGAGGTGTGTCAACACAGCCCCTAGATGGGGCCTGTGACAGTGATGACGTCTGTCAGCCTCATGGTGCCAGGCTGTCTGCCAAACACCTCACCTGCATTCACTCATTTAACCCTCATAAATATTTCTTTACAAGACAGGTACTATTCCCCACCCCCACCATTTCACAGATGGGGAAACAGACTGACTTTCAGAGTCGGGACTGAATCTAGACCTTTAAGCTCCAAGCTCAGGGTTCATCTCATGACACACAGCCTGTTAAATCCTGATTTTAGAGATCAGGACGCATGAAGATGTCAGGGTTATAAACTGCAATGTAGGGAATGTTTTGAAACAAGCTTAGCTGTTACTGGATGTGTTGTGTCTCCTGGCTGCCCCCTGGGCACCAAGAGAGGAGGGGAAAGAAAAGGGGAGAAGAGTAAGGGTGAGGGGAGGGAGGGAAAGACATTAGAAGGGGACAGAGACAGAGAAGCAGGCACAGTCCTCTCTGCCCTTCACTGGGACTTAATGAGGACCCCTGCTAGGGCAGCTTCAAGCCCATTCTAGTGGAGTCGGCTTACAGAGGCATGCGTGTTGCTCAGGATAAACCAGATGGCACCATGGACACTGAGTTTACAATTGTTGACCTGAAAGAAATAGCTAGATACTTCTCCAGCAAAATGGGTTTATTCAGGAATAACAAAGATTTGCAATTCAGGACATGTATCCTGGTGGTAAATCAAACGCAAGTCCCAAGAAATAAAGGAAAGGAAACTCTTTTATAGAGGAGAAGAGGAAGCTGGGAGAGCTATGATAAACAAAGAGTTCTTCCTGTTGGGGGGCCCCAGGGTGGACATAGCACATGAGAGCTCCCCCTCCTGGCCTCCTGACTTCATTTTAAATGAAATTTCTCTTCATTAATTTTTATACAATCGAGGCAGCACATAAGCCCCCCCATGGCCTGAGTAGGGCAGGGTGTAGATCTCTGCCGAAAAAAGCAAATGACAAAAAGCCTGGTATAGTATGAGCCCCTTTTGTAAAATGAATAACAGAACATAGTATTCACTTAGGAAAAAAAAGTCTGAAGAAAACTGCCACAAACCCAATGGTGTTTTTCTCCAGAAGGCTCAGATTAGAGGAATTTTTAACTTATTGTGTTTTGTATATTTCCATAATGTTTCTATGTTTAATGATGTACGTTAATGTTTTGGTAATCAGAATGACAGACAAAAAAAAAGTTTTTAAAAGAAGGGGTACCCCCGCCCTCCACTCATCGTTCTTTAGCCTCCCAAAACAACCAGCACGTGCAGATAACTTCACACCCTGTGTTACCAGGAAACGTTTATGTATTGAAGGATTTTATCCTGAGTGTGTGGGATTAATTAATTATTAAAGAGATGTTTTCAATCCTGTCAGATAAGGTTAATGTTTAGTTTGAGGACTGAAACACTAAAGGATTTGTCCCTTGAGTTTGCACATAGTTACTTAGGTGTAAAGAGAAAATTGGAACGAAAGGGCAAATTGTGTGATTTTGTTTTGTTTGCAGGACTGTATTGATGCTTAGACCTGAAACAGTTTTACTATTTGTGATAGCTATCCTGCTTCCCTTATCTTCAAGCTCAAGAAAATAGATTGATGTTATAATTACTGATTCAGTGAGAAAGGGAGACTGGGTAAAGAGGTGAAATGAAAGGTAAAAAAAACTGAAAAGGAGGCCACAAGAGGGGTTGTGGGGAGGGTAAGAATAATCAAGGAGGGCTTCCTGGAGGATGTGGGTATGTTTGGGAGCAGGGGAGAGTAGAGAGGAAGGCATCTCAGATGAGGAAGGCTCATTAAGTAAGAGGGCAGGTGTTCAGTGGGCCAGGCCCAGAGTGGGGCCCACTTGCCCTGTTTCCCCTTTTCCCTGAGAGAGGTTGGGGTCCCCTCCTGGGCTGTGGCCTTGGGCTCTGAATAGAGCTGGCTGGGAAGCCCAACCTACTCCAGCTCTGAACTCTGCCCAGGAATCTCCACTGAAATGAGAAGACAGGCCAAAGTGCAAGCAAGTTGGATCTAGCTTGTCTTCGCAGAAATACGTGCTTCTGCCTGTCCCTGAGAGTGGCTTGTTCACCACAAATATGTGAGTAGGAAGAGGATCCTGCCTCTCTCTGCGCAGCTGTGTGTCTATGGTTGTGTGTGCCCATGTAGCTGGGCTTCCCCAGGCTCCACATGTGTGTGCATAATGTGTGCATGCCTGTGGATGTGTGACAGCTCACCCAAGCTGGCATCTGGATAGCGTAGGGTGCTTTCCACCGGGAAGAAAAAGAGGGAACAGGAGTGGGGAGAGACATCTTAGTTAGGGCTCTTATTTACAGGTGAGTTTAAGCCTATGAACTGAGCTTCAGCAAAAAACGGAAGGGAGGAAGGGAGGAAGGGAGGGAGGGAGGGAGGAAGGAAAAAAAAGGACTACAGTGGTTCTTATAAAAGCCCAGGGGTAGGTCTGGTTTTAGGTATAGCTTGATCCAGGGACTGGAATGAAATCTTCAGGATATTGTCTCTCCATCTTTCAGAGGTGGGGAAGTAGAATACAATGAAGACACCTCTTAATGGCTGTGGCTTTAACCTGTTGTGGGGAGTGATGAAAGCTAGGGCCTCTCTTCAGAAAAATACCTGTATCAGGGACACATAGGTGCTATCCATAATTTCTTCCCTTCTTTCGCTGTGCAGTGGGCAGAACTCCCATTTCAGCTTGGCCTCACAGATCTGCAAGGCCTTGCCTCTCACAGGTTCAGGAGTGAGCGCAGGAAGGGATGTCTTCCTCCGTCACTGGGGAGCCATGGCCAGGGCCCCCAGGCATGGTGAGGGTTGAGTTCTGGGATGCTATAAGCTGTGCCAGGCCTCCGCTCCCCGCTCCCCACCCTCTCCCTTCCCATCCTCCGCCCTTCTCCAGGCACATCCCTGGGTCCTGCCTGGCCTCCGCGTTTTAGTTTTTGGTCCTGACTTTGTCTTTCAGCTGGAAAGGCTGGCACATGGAGGACGACACACCAGCACTGAAAGAGTCCATCTCTCTCCCATCCGTGCCCTATGGTCTGGACAACAGGGGGGCTGAGCTCTTGGAAAGCCTGGTCTGTCACCTTCCCCATCCCCATTCTGGCCCCCTGGTGGGAGAGGCCTTTGTTCACATCTTCCTTCACACCCCTACCTCCCCCTACCTCCTCACCTCTTTGCTTGAACAATTAGGACACCCCTCCCTGATGTGCTATTGCCCTCAGCCCAGAGCAGCCTCTTATTTCATTCATTAAACATTGGTTGTGCACCTATGATGTGCCAGTAGCGCCTGCCCTAGTCTGAAAGGTCAGGGAGGGTCTCAGCAAGGAAGTGCCGTCTGAGCTGTGATCTTAAGGCTGAGAAGGGGTGAGGGGGGTGGTTCCTGGGGAAGACTCAGCCTGTGAGGAGCCGGCAAGCTTGTCCTTGCACTGGAATGGCCAGGTCGGAGCCCACTGCCCTGAATTCTGGAGCCTGATATAACACTTTCTTCCCTCCCAGCCTCCCCTGACAAAGCCGCCTCCCTTTTACCACACTGTACAACCCAGGGGGTGCCTTTCATACCGGAATCTGCAAGAACAATCCCCCTACACACCAGAACATAGCTCCATAGAATATGGGGCAAATTGTGCTCTGGGGCCATGCGACCAGGTGGCCCTGCCTGGAACTCCCCACCAGTCACAGCTGAGTGTCCCTCCCTCATGAAGACCATGAGCTTACCGAGGGCATGGTATATCTAGCACAGAGCCCAGCACACAGTAGGTGCTCAGTACATGCTTCACAGAATTCAGTTGCTCTCTAATCATTTCCCGTGCAAAACCCCAGCCCATTCCTAAGGTGGCCAAGACCGCTCCCTACTGCAGGCCCGCAACTTTAGTTCTCACCTAGGGTGGCAGGCACACTCTGCTCTCTCTCTGGTGGTTTTAGGAGGAAGGCCGGATCCCTGGCAGCGACTTGAGCCCTGCAGAAGGCAGGGACAACAGGAGCAAGGCCAGCCAGCAGCCCTTCTCAGGATGGTAGGTGGTCTCCAGGAGGGATGCGAGCCGGCTGCCACTGGGAGCAGGGGTGGGGAGCCTGGCCTCCGACACAGAGGGAGGGGGCTCCCGAACCTTCGTTGAAGGAGGGAGAAAGTGGGTTTTAGCCAGCAAATGCGCTCTGCTGGCCTCTGCCTCGGGTGTGAGCCAGGCTGAGGCTCCCAACCTGCTTTGAAGCAGCCAGAGTGAAATCCCTTTGGGAACCCCAATATATGCTGAGGGGCTGCTCTGGTTGAAGTTAGATGGGATCTCAAACTAGCTGGCCTCCCTGTCAAGCTCCCCATCTGCCTTCTACCCCATTCAGTCTCTGGGCACCTTGGGGAACCTCGAGGCTTAGTTTGAAAACCACTAGATTGGGCCCAGGTCACACGGGTGGCTAGTAGGAGACTAGAACTTGGCCTCCTGATGCCCAAGTCTACCTGGGCCCTCCCTGACCAGCCCTGAGCTGAGGAGAGCAGGAAGAGTGGTAGTGATGGTGTGGGGGTTCCATCTGTCTGCCTTGGTTGGGGAGATTGGGGAAGATGCACTTAGGAGGTGGGAGGTAAGGATAGGAAGAGGGGAGAGAGGGTCCTTGGTGTTGAATGAGCATCTTCTACATGCTCTGGGACCCTGGAGGCTGTTTGGGTTCCAGCCTTTCCTGCAGGGATAAGCAAGTGACCACATGACCAGGCAAGAATTGGCATTTGCTCTGGGCTGGCAAGGCAATGGGGGCCACAGCTGCTGGATGTGGGGTGGGCTGTTCACATATCCTCTCCCTGGGAGGAGCTGCTGACTCAATGATAAGTGTCCTGGGTCCCAAGGGAGTAAATGCAGAGCCGGGAGCCTCTCCACCTCACTCCATGGACAGGTGGAAATGGGATGGGAGGGGAGGGGAGGCGGCCATCGGGGTTGGTGCATGTTGGTAAGTTCTTCCTTTCTCTCTCAGTTAATTCCCTCCTGGCCCTGCAGGCCGGATTATCACTGGGGTGGTACTGCTCTAGGCCTGAACACACAGGCAGGAAGGCGTGGATGGCCTGAGCCTTCCCTCGGTTTCCTCTGGCCTGGGGCTGCCCTTCAGCCCTGCTGGATGCCAAGGCCAGTGCCTGGCAAGCCCGTGTCACTATTTTACTGGGGTGGCTTCCACCTGGAGGTGTTAAGGATCCCCACAGGGGAGGGAGTGTGGGGCCCCTCATGAACCCCCTGGTCCTCTCTCCAGGAGAACCCTGCAGCCAGCCCTGAAAGTGAGACACTTCTGCAGGGAGCACACACAGCTGTTTCGATGGATCTTCACAGGCCTGCTCTGTACTGGTGAGCCTGGGGCCAAATCCCCCGGGGACACTCCAGCCCCAGCCCCTCTCTCCCCACCACTCACTTCAGCCACCTCCACCCCAGCCATCCATGTCTCAGGGCAGGCTGTTCACTTGCCCAATAATTCAACAAAGCTTTCTTGAGTACCAACTCAGGGCCAGCTCCCATGCCAGAAGCTGAGTCATCAGAATTAAGCTAGACCAGATCTTGTTCCGAAGGGACTCTCTGATCAGTAAGGGAGAGGGCAACACCTATTTCCACATAGTGTAGAAGCCACCTGGGAGCACCAGAGAGGGATGGGAGTGAGGAGGGAGGACTTCCAGGAGGAGGTGACATTCAAGTTTCACAGGTTGAGCAGGAGTTAGCCAGGTGGAAGGGGAAGGACAATAAGGAGTGAGAAGGCACTCCATTCAGAGGACTCGCAGGAGCAAAGGTGAAAATGGGCAGGGTGTGGGTAGGGAGCTGAACAACAGCCCAGTGTGGCTGTGGGCTAGTGCCCTAGACAAGGAGTGCCAGAGGGCGACTCTGGACAGCTCGGAAAGGGTCAGTGTTGTGTTGACGTAAGAACATCCACGTCTGTAGAGAATGGTAATAATAGTTTATTCGAGCCAAACAGAGGAAACACCTGGAAGCAAGATCTCACAAAAGTGTTTCTGAAAATCAGTTTGCAGTTTCTTTTATGCATTTGCAATTAAGGAGGGAATGTAAGGAAGACTATGTGAAGGTGGGAGAAAGCCAGGTGGGGATTCCCCAGCTGTGTCCTCCAACTAGTCTGGCAGCACAGGGGGTAGGGGTACGGCTTACACTTACTCACAATATTTCATCCCACATTTTTTTATTCAGTGGAAAGGCTGTAAGTCCTTTCCATACTTCAAGGGCCCTGGCTTTTGATATTCATAAGCCAGGGAAAGATATTTCCCCCTCTGCTATCCACTGTCATATTCCTTGCTGGAGGCATAGCACAGACTGGCTCCAAGGGGAGAAGGCCAAAGAGGGGAAGGAAATTCCAGAAGGAAAATGGCTATTGATTAATATTTCAGAACGGGATCCTGGCACACATGAGTGCACTCCTTCCTGGAGCCACTGGCTCATCCATCACTGTCCTCTTTGGAACCTAGTTAGCTCTGGAACAGCAGGAACTCCTCTGATGCTCAGAGATTTATGCTGTCTTGCCTGCTACTTACACATCTCCGCCCTCACATTTGGTCAGCACTCTACAGTGTGCCAAGCACTTTCACAGACATTCTGTCAGTTAACTCCCTAAGAACCCTCCAACAGGGTAGTGGTGATTGTTCTCATTTCCAGGTGAGGAAACTGAGGCTTAGAGGGTTGCGTGGCATTCCTGCGCTGGGCTTGGTGGTGGTGGGGTACTGTGTCACCATCACTGACCTAAGTACCCACCTACTCCCAGCGTTTGCTGCCTTCCTGCTGATTGCCTGCCTCCTGGATTTCCAGAGGGCCCTGGCCCTGTTTGTGCTCACCTGTGTGGTCCTGGTCTTCCTGGCGCACAGCTTTCTGAAGAGGCTGCTGGGGCCAAAGCTGCGGAGGTGTGTCACGCCTTTGGGGCATCCCTGCCTGACCCTCTGGTTTAAGAGGTGAGTGAGCCCACAGCCCCCAGGCTGAGCGGGAAGCCAGAGTGTGTGTGTGTGTGTGGGGGGGGGGGCGAATGTTGGCTGAGGACCTCTGAGTCAGCTCCAGGGTCACAGCCAGGGCTGGGTGAGGAGAGCCTCAGTCCATCCCACCAGTCAGGTCCTGTGCCACGAGGAACACACCCCACCTTGCTTGCTTTCCGGGAGCCCCAGGGCAGGCATTGATGGGTGGCTTCAAGGGTGGCAGCCATCTTTGTGGCGATTTGCCAGTTCCCATCTGGTTCTCTGCCCCAGTAACAACAGGTGACTAACAGCAGAGAGCAGGACTCAACAGTTTCCTAAATTGAGAGATCACAGCCAATCCCAGCAGGGAGGGCCCATATCAATGCCTCCTGTCAGATCACTTGGGTCACGTGTGAGACATACAGCTGCTGGTGGACCACCCGGAGTCCGGAGTCCGATTCAGCAGGCTGGATTGGGATCCAGGTTTCGATACTTTCAGGTCGGTAGCCCCCAGGGGATTCTGATGTAGCCAGCTGTTTCCCTGGACAGTAGTCGCATCCCTTGGTTTTCAAACTGGTTTCCTTAGCACTCTGGAAACCTGGGAGATGCCATAGGGCAGGAGAGGGAGTTGGAGAGGGGAACATTAGACACCCCCTCAGCCCCATTTCAACCAGGCAGCTCTACTGCATCTATTTTATAAACCAAAGTTGGCATACACACACAAAAATGTAGCTGGAAAAGAAGGTTTCTATTGCTTAAAAAAAAGTCTGAAGACCACCGATCTATTTCAGTACCCTGTTTTGTTGAGGAAGAAACTGATGCCCAAAGGTGGGCAAGGACTAAGCCAGGGAGGTGCAGGGCATGGTGGTTTCCCAGAGTAAGAGCCACAGCAAAATGCTGATGAAAACATTTTAAATTTTATTTATAAATAGATTTGCTTTTACATTTTCCTTCTCTTTATTAATTAGATTTATACAAGGATTTATTTTTATAATTGTCTTCTATTATGAAAAATCATTGACACTGGTTTTCCATTTGAGGTATTGATGTAAAATTTTCTTTAAAAAATACATGTGGGTAAATTAAACTATATAAAAACTAAACACTTGTTGATTCAAAGAACACCATCAAGAGAGTGAAAAGACAACCCACATAATGCGAGAAAATATTTGCAAACTATATATCCGATAAAGAACTTGTATCTAGAATTACAACCCAACAATAAAAAGACAAATAACCCAATTGAAAAATGGGAGAAGGATTTGAATAGCCATTGCTCCAAAGATATACAATAACCAATAAGCACCTGAAAACATGTTCAACAACATTAGCCATCATGCTAAACATGCAAATAAAATGCAAATTAAAACCACAATGAGATATCACTTTACATCTACCAGGATGGTTGCAATAAAAAAGACAGATGATAACAAATGTTAGCTAAGATGTGGAGAAATTGAAACCTTCACACGCTGCTGGTAGGAATGTAAGTGGTGCAGATGCTTTAGGAAACAATTAGTTCCTCAAAATGTTAAACATGGAGGAACCATATGACCCAGCAATTCCACCGCTATGCATAAACCTAAGGGAACATATATCCATACAAACATATGTCCATAATGAAAACATATGTCCATACAAAAACGTGTACACAAATGTTCATAGCATCATTATTCATAATAGCCAAAAAGTGGAAACAATCCAAATGTCCAAATGTCTTGGCCCAGTAGCAGGGAAAAATTAACTGTAAGAATGAACCCTGCTGAGGCCCTGTTTTAACAAATCTTAAAAACAAAACTTGAAAGCGTCAAACAGCACATCAGTTAGCCACGACACAACCTTAAGTGGGCAAACATACATCTAAATGAAGTCTCCAAAGAAAAAGGAGAGAAGAAAAAATACTTACAGAAATAATGTCCCCCAAATCCCAAATTGGATGAAAATTAAAGCCCAAGGGTCTAAGAAACGACATAAACTCCCAGCACAAGATACATGAAGAAAACTTCACCAACACACATCATAATCAAATTACTTAAAACCAGTGATAAAGAGAAAATCTTAAAAACATCTACAGGAAAAAAAGAAATGTACAGACAGCAGATTTCTCCCCAAAAACATTACAAATGAGAAAACAGTGGAACAGTAAAAACAAAAATAAAAACCTGTCAATCTAGAATTCTTTACCAGGAAAATATTCTCCAAAAAAGGAGGAGAAATAGGACTTTTCACATGTACAAAAGTTGAAAGAATTTTTCAGACATAAAAAAGCAGATTTGGGTTACAAGAAATATTAAAGGAAATCCTTCAAACAGAAGAAAAATTGTAGCAGATGGAAACCTAGATCTACACAAAAGAATGAAGAGCACTGAAAATGATAACCTCATGGGTAAATAGGACTATCTGTGTATTATTTAAATCTCTTTTAAATGTAATCAACTTATAAAGCAAGAATAATAACAATATATTGCCAAGTTTATGTTATATGTAGAAGTAAACAATTGCACAAAGGTTGGGAAGGAAGAAATGAAGTTATGCTGCTGTAAGTTTTCTATACTGTGTGTGAAATATATAATTTTACTTAAAGGTAGATTGTGATAAGTTAAAAATACATACTACAAATGCTAAAGCAACCACTCAAATAACATAACAAACAGTTATAACTAATGGCTTCTTGAAAAAGGAGATAAAGGAGAACCATTTAAAAATAGTCAATCTGAAAAAAGGTAGAAAAATAGGAAAGCGGGAATAAAGAACAGATGGCACAAATAGAAAATAAATAACAATATGGTAGATTTAATCCCTCTCCCATACTAATAATTACCTTAAATGTACAGACTAATATCCTTCTTGAACAAAGATGTAAAAATTATTAACAAAATTTTAGAAAACCAAATGCAATAATATATATAAAAGGGATAATACATCATGAATGAGTGGGATGCAAAGTTGTCCCAGGAATGCAAAGTTGATTTAACATTAAAAAAATCAGTCAATATCATGTACTATATCAACAGACTAAAACAAAAAACCATATGATCATACCAATAGATTCAGAGAAAATATTTAATAAATTCAGCATCCAGTCTTGATAAAAACTCTGAGCAAAGCAGGAATAGAAGGGAACTTCCTTAACCTGATAAAAGGCAGCTAGCAGAAGTCTGCAGCTCACATCACATTAAATTATGAAAGACTGAATGCTTTCCTACTGAGATCAAGGACAATATAAGAAGGTTCATTGTCACCACTTTTATTAAACATTGTCCTGGAGGTTTTATCTTGTACATTAAGGTAAGAAAACAAATAAAAGACATACAGATTGGAACAGAAGAAGTAAAACTGCCTTTATTCACAGAAAACATGATTATCTACATAGAAAAGTCTGTGGAATCTACAAAAAAGCTAGTAGAAATAATAGCGAGTTTAGCAAGGTTGCAAGAGACAAGATCAACATACAAAAAAACCCCCCCACAAAACCCTGTATTTCCATATACTAAAGCAATCACATTTAAATTATAAACGTTATTTAGAATAACATAAAACATATGAAATACTTAAGGATAAATCTGACAAGAGACCTTCAAACCTGTACATTGAAAACTATAAAACACTGCTGAGAGAAATTAAAGGAGACATAAATAAATGGAGCAAATTATCAAGTTCATGGGTCAAAAGACTCAGTATTGTTAATATATCAATTTCCCTCAAATTTATAGATTCTAATAATATGTCAATCAAAATAATAGCAAGCTTTTTACATAGAAATCAGTAAGATGATTCTAAAATTCATATAGAAATGCAAGGAACCTAGAATAGTCAAAACAACTTTGAAAAAGGTGAACAAAGTTGGTGAAATTACACTACCTGTGTTTAAGACTTATTATAAAGCTGTGGTAATCAAGACAGTGTGGTATTGGCACCAATGGAACAGAATGGAGAGACTAGAAATAGATCCGCATATATAAGGTTAATTGATTTTTTTTTTAAATGGCGACTGTCCTCCAGGCCTCCCCCAGAGGCCACACACCTCAGCCTTTCCCCCCGCATGCCTCTGACACCCCATAAGTCACTGTCCCTCTGCTGGAGCCCAAGAGGGCGCAGCGTCACTGGCCCCCATGTGGGGTCCGAACTGGGGCCCCGCCGTTCAGAGCCCGCGCTCCCAAGCCAACTCTCAACCAATGCGCCACTCAGCCGGCCCAGTTAATTGAGTTTTGATGAGGGTACTAAGACAATTCATTGGAAAAATAATCATCACCTTAACAGCTTCTGCTAGAATATATGCATTTCCATATGCAGAAGAAGCAGGAAAAGGAGGCAAGGCAGAAACAGAAGAACTTTGTCCATGCCTCACGTTACATAAAAAAAATGAATTGAAAATAGATCATAAACCTAAGTGTAAAGCCTAAAACCATAAAACTCCTATAAGAAAACATAGGAGAAAATCTTTGTGACCTTGAGTTAAGTAAACTTCTTACATACAAAACCAAAATCACAGTCTATTTAAAAAATTGATAAATTGAACTTCGTCAGAATTAAGAACTTCTGCTCTTTAAAAGATATGGTTAAGAGGATAAAAAGACAAGCCACGACTAGGAAAAACGTTTTGCACAGTATATGTCTGACGAAGGACTTATATTTGGAATATATTAAGAACTCTCAAAACTCAATAATAAGAAAAAGAACCTTTGGGCTGGCCAAGTGGCTCAGTTGGTTAAGCGCTCGCTCAAGAGTATGAGCTCTGAGCAACAGCGGTTCGAGTCCCGGCCCGAGCTGAGCTGCCGCTGAGCTGCCAAGAGGTGGCAGGATGGCTCAGCTAAAAAAAAAGAAAACGAAAAAGAGCCCTTAAGAATAGGCTCAAGATTTGAACAGACACTTAATTAAAGAAGATATGTAAGCGGCAAATAAGCACATGGAATGATGCTCAATATCATTAGTCATTAGGGAAATGCAAATTAAAACCACAAAGAGATACTACTATACGTCTATTAGCATGACTAGAATTCAAAAGATTGACCATACCCAGTGTTGGCAGAGATGAGGAGAAACGGGAACTCTTATGGCTGGTTGGGAATGTAAAATTGTACCATTACTTTGGAAAACAGTTTGGCAGTCTTCTAAAAAGTTCCACCAACCATATGATTCACCCATTCCACATATAGTATGTACCCAAGAGAAATGAAAGCATACATTCCTACAAAGACTTGCACATGAATGTTTGAATGTTCATAGCAGCTTTGTCTGTAATAGCCCCAAACTGGAAACAACCTAAATGTCCCTCAACGGGTGAATGGTAAGCCAGTTGTGGTATAGCCACATGATAAAATAGCTCTCAGCAATAAAAAGGAATGACCTATTGATACATGCAAAACCATGGATGAATCTCAGAACAGTTACACTGGGTCAAAGAAGTCAGATAAAAAAGAATATGTGCTGTATGATTCCATTTACATAAAATCCTAGAAAGTACAAACTAACCTGGTGCCAGAACACAGATCAGCTGTTGCCTGGGAACAAGGAGGATGACAAGGTGCTCAGCTCCATACATACGTCCTTTAAGTTCGTCCTCTCCTGACCTTGAGACATGGGGAGTCTTTGGCTTTATTTTCCCAGTGAGGAAATTGGACTCAGAGAAGCTAGGTGGCCCACCTGAGGTCACACAGCTCTCTGTCCGCCTGCCAACCCTGAGCGCCCCTGCCCTGGGCCCTTGGGGGCTGCTCTGTGGGGTGAAGGACATGCTGAGAGTGCTGGCTTTCTGCCTCTCCTGCAGGTGTCTAGCCCTAGCCGCTTTCCTGGGCCTGATCCTGTGGCTGGTTCTGGACACCTCCCAACGGCCTGAGCAGCTGGTCTCCTTTGCAGGCATCTGTGTGTTCATCCTCCTCCTCTTTGCCTGCTCAAAGCATCGTTGCGCAGTGAGTGCTTAATTGTCAGGCCTGGTGTGGATTGCAGCCGCTTGTGTCTCTGCCTCCTTGGCGGTGCAACCACCCCAATATCAGGAACCCTCCCGGTTTCATGGTGTGCCTTACGCCTTCCCCCCCCCCCCCCCCCCGGCTCCAGCCAAGCCTCCCAGAGATCCTGAGTCTGAGAGGAGTCCAACTCCCTTCTGCTGGAATGGGGACATAGGGGGAGTAGGATCAGGACAGCGGGGGGTCCTGCCTATGGAGGAGGAATGGGGGAGGGTCCCGGCAATGGAGGTTACACCGAGGCCAGACCCCGAGACTGCAACTCTGCCTACCCAGTGGTGACACAGGATCAACTGCCGTGGTATGCTCCGGTTGGCCAAGTCTGACATGGGTTTTCGGTTAGACTTTGCCCACCCCTGCCCACTGCCCCAGGTCCATTGCTGTCAAGACCATGACCTATTCTGAACCCCAGGAAGGATGTGACCACTGGTAACAGGCCGAGAGCTCTGGCTGGGTTCAGCCCCCATTCCACAAACAGGCCAAAGCTCCTATAACCCCTCAGAGCAGCCTGCTTCTGCCTTCACCCACCCTGTCCCATGTGGGTCCCCAGGAGCTGAGCTCACGAGAGGACCTTTCTGTTGGGTGGCAGGTGTCCTGGCGGGCCGTATTCTGGGGCCTCGGGCTACAGTTTGTACTTGGACTCGTTGTCATCAGAACAGAACCTGGATTTATTGCGTTCCGGTGGCTGGGCGACCAGATCCAGGTGTGTACATGGAGCCCAGCTGTCCAGGGCATCTTGGGTGGCCAGGGGATGGAGGAGAAGCCACTCTGTTGGGGGGAAGGTGGGCAGTGCGTCCACAGAAAGAGATTGGGAATAGAATGGTGGGTGTGTACTGGGCCCTATACCAGGTGGGCCGCTGGGGGCTGGGCTGTGCAGCTGCTGCTTCCCTTAGCCCTGGTGCCACCTGCCCAGACAGAGGCTGGGTCTGATATCGGAGAGAGTCGCAGAACAGGGAGCTTCTTAGGGTACCTGGGCACAAGGCCTGTGGCCCTGAGCCGTCATCAGTGATGTGGAACTGAAATAGTTAAGAATGCTTTAAAAAATTGGCAAATGATTTGCTTCATGTATGTGTGTGTTTAAAAATAATGTTCAGTTTGTTGAAGTTATACTACTTTTTAAATTCCATTTTTTTTATTGGGGTAAACGCACAACACATTTACCATTTTAACCATTTTAAGTGTCAAGTTTATTCACATTGTTATGCAACCATCATGATTTACTTTTTAAAATATAAGTTATTGAGGACACAAGGTTAATCCTGTACTCAGCCCCTCTCCCCGTTGTGCATTTCCATCTGCTCCCTAGAAGACCAAGTCCTGCGTGTCCAGGCCCTGTGCACACCCACTGGCCATGCCGGCAGCTTCTGCATGGGTTGTTGTGGAGGAGGAGGCAGACTTGCTACTCTGGTTATGGCCCCATTTTATGGATGGGAACAGAGGCCCGGACAAGAGAAGTGACAGGTCCCTGAAGTCACAGTGCAAGTTCAGGACCTAAATACAGGTCTCTTGTAGAAGGTGGCTGGATTCCAACACCAAGGCCGTGAGCCTAGGATGGAGCTGTGCCCCTGGTCAGGAGGGGAGTGAGCAGGCACCCCCTGTGACAGCCTTCTCACCTCTCGCTGTCTTGCGTCCTCCATTGTCTCTTTATTATCCAAACAACTCTCATCTCAGAATATTTCTTTAAACATTATTGAAAGGGTGTGTCTTCTGTAGAACATGCTGAGAAAGAGCAAGCGCCCATGAATGTGGTTTTAATGTCTCATGTTGCCAGGTGGTGCTCCAGCCACTGTAAGGCCCAGGGCCTGGGAGCTAGTCCTTGGACCAACCTGCCTGGGGCTCGGAGCGCCTGTAGCCTCCGTGTCCTCCAGTCCCCTGGGCTGTGGGGAAGGCCGATGGAGGCCTTCCAGCTCACCCAGCCTGGTTCCCACTTCCCCGCCACTGTTTCCTTCTTCCTCTCTTCTGGCCTCACTCCAGGCTTTTGTTTTGTTTTCTTCTTTCAGATCTTCCTGAGTTACACCCTGGCCGGTTCCAGCTTCGTGTTTGGGGAGACTCTGGTCAAGGATATCTTTGCCTTTCAGGTCAGCTGACCCTTGGCTCATGAGGCCTTTAGCAGCCTCTGCCCACAGCCTCCAGCTAGTGGGGAACCTGAACAAACCACGGGGGTCAGGCCTGGTGGGGAGTTGGGGGAGGGCTCCTCTGAGCGGAGCCTAGGCCTATGCTTCCACTTGTGTCAGTTAGCTGCTTGTCCTCCCATCTTTCCTCCCTTTCTGGAAGAATATACACACACCTGCTGCTTGCACCTCCCCTGATTACCCTTTAGAACCATGAATTCATAGACCGTCAGGCTTGGAGGGAGCTCAGTGATCTTGGGTCTCCCTTTATATTACAGATGGCCAAACCAGGTCCAGAGAGGAGCAGTGAGTGACCTGGCCACAATCGCCCAGTGAGTTAGGGCAGAGCCAGGGCTAGAGCTGGGTCATTGGATTACCAGTCAAGTGATGTTTCTTCCTCATACTCCAAGTAGAAGTCAGTGACACCATGCCTCCCTCCCAAAAAGCCTCCCTAATAACAATAATGATGCATTTAAATCACATTAATGGTCGCTAAAGACTTTGAGATTAGATGTTCTGTCAAGAGGAAAAAATGAGTGAGGTGGGTCTATCACTAACTGCCCTTAATATTTCTCTGTCAAACACTAACTCCCCTGGCCCCTGGGAGGCACTGTCCCCTGGACAAACTCCTGGTCAGTGGATTAGCCAGTGGTCTCCATAGCAAAGATGGGCCAGGGGAGAGAGGGCTTCAGACTAATGCTCCATGGTCACAGAATCTCCTTTCTTGTAAGATTCACTAGTCACAAAGCTTCATTCACAGCCCCCCTCCCTGCATCATACACACACACACACACACACACACACACACACACACACACACACACACACTCCACACACCCATGCACACACACACACATGCATGCACACACACACATACATGCACACACTCACGTGTGCGCGCACACACGCACACTTGCCAAGCTTGGGGCTTGTCCTCAAGCTGGGGATGACTTCGTTGGTGCTGAATTGAGTATAAGTCTCAGAAGCTTTCTTTCCATGAATCATGTGGACCTAGTCCAAGGCCTTTGGCCCATATCAGCCTGGGGAAGTCTATGCTGAGCTTGCTCATATTTTCAGAATCTAAGCTGCTTCCTGCTGGGCCACAGTCCAACTCATCACTCCTCCAGGAAGTTGTCTCTGCCTGGGGCTTCTTCAGCCCCCTGCCTCCCCTGGCCTGGAATCCATCACAGTCCACGTGGCAGCCACCTCCTGGCTGTATCGTCTTGATTAGTCATTTCACCTTAGCTCCATCTCCCTTCTGGTAACTTTCCACCCACACAGTCACCTCCCTTTGAGCTCCCGCACCTTCCTGGGTCTGGCTGATCTGGGAGCAAATGCTTACTCATCGCTTCTCTAACACTCCAGCCTCTGGAACGTGCAGTCGTCTCCTAAGCTCAGCAGCGCTGCTCACATGGCATTTCTAGGAACCCCTAGGGTGAAGGACAATGTTTTCACCTCCCAAAGGTTTCAGGGTGTCTGCCTAAAGCAGCCTCTGCAATCCCCAATGGTTAGCAGTGCCACCTTTTGCAAAAAAAAAAAAAAAAAATCAAGATAAGGACTGGGGAAAAACACGTAATATAAAATAACAAGGACCAAAATGTGCCATTGGATTTAGTAATTAAGGGGTCACTGGTTACCTTAGTGACAAGGTTTTCAGGGGAGGGAATAAGATGTAGATGGAGATGGGGTGGGGTGTGGAAAGGAGGGAAATGGGACAACCGAACCAGGAGAGATCGTGTAAGAGCATGGCATCTGTAGAGGTCCCTGAAGGAGACTTTGATAGGCAGAGATGGGCATTGGGGGTCAAAGTGGTGAGGTTATTCTTGGCGAAGGAAAGGCATGGCAGGAAATCAGGAGGTTTCTGGGACGCTTTTCTGTAAGGATGGTGGGGAGGACATTGCAGCAGTCATCACTGAGGAGTCTTCCAGCTTTGGGTTTTTGTGGCTCATTGTTGCCTGGGGCTGGTGACAGGGCTCTGTCTGCAGTGCTTGGGCCTTGGGGGTCAAGGGTAAAGGGGGCGTTGCCCAGACAGCCTCAGGAAGTCATCAAGAACCCTGTCTCAGCTCCCACAGGGCTATGTCCAAGTGGATTTAGCCCTGCCTTTGGAACATTTCCTGGAGGACGTGCTGCCTGCTCAGAGGGTGTGGCTCTCACAGGGTGGTGTCCAGACCAGCAGCACCAGCAGCGTCTGCAAAGGTCAGACCTACTGATTCTGAAACTCTGGGGGCACGGCTCAAAATGTGCATTTCTCACAAATTCTCACGTGATACCGCTGGTCCAGGGCCCACACTTTGAGAACCATTGGCTGAGAAGAGTTAGAAGTTTGTTCTCCTTTGAGTCATGGGTGGCCATTGGTACTAGCAGGACCAGCCAGCTCTGATTTCCACAAAGCAGTGGTCAGGACTTCCTGGGGCAACTACACCTGGGCCAGGTTCTCCCATGGAGGGGATGAATGCTACCCCTGCAGACAGAGAAATGAGGCCCCAGGCCTGGCACAGGACAAACCTCCTCAGGGTCATGGCGGGGCCTTAGCAACCTGTGTGGTGGCCAGGATGGACGCTATCTCGTTGCAGGGTGTGACCTTGTGTAGGGAACCAACATCTCACAGCCTCAGTGTATCCATTTGTGGAGTTACATCTACCTCAGTGGCTTTAAGGATTGATGAGTCACCACATTGGGTACCTGGCACATAGTAGGACCACATAGTAGACACATATTAGGACTTAGTGGCCCTTCCCTCTTCCTTCCCAAGACAGCACTCTCTTCAGCTGAACTGCCCAGCCTTCTGCTATCTTATACACTACAAGCCCCAGGGATGTTTCCCGGTGGGGAGACATGGCCTCAGGGACTTCATTTAGTATTAAATGCCCCACCTTAGAAAATCGGGGCTACCTTTTTTCACTTCCATTCATCTTCCCTCCCTAGACAGTCACCATTTAATCCAAAACATAGCTTGCTTTCCACCAAAGATCCCCACCTCACAGATAGAAAATGTCTCTTGGTTGCTGCTGGGAGAAAGCCTAATTCTGCAGTTGAGTCCAGTGCCCTGGGCACTCTTCTCCCTGGCTCTGGCCATCTCTGCAGCACTGCCAGCCTGCTGAGCAGTCCCTCACATGATAAATTGTATAAGCTGTCTAGACAGTACGTGATCCTCTGTGCGTTTTGACTCCAAGGGACAGCAGAATGATGTCACTAGCCCTCGTGCTGTGGGTGTGTCCAGCACCAGGCAGCCAGAGAGCGTCACAGGACAGGAAAGGGTTTCTTCAGCCAGTGCCAGTGTGTCCTGTCAGGTGACATCCCCACTGCAGTGAAGTGGGTGACAGATGTGAGTGGAGCAGGTGCAGATAAACCCAGGTTCAGATAAACCCCGCAGCCTTCATCTCCTCTGGGAAGGGAAGGAAAAACCACCTCAGTGGGGCTGTCTCTCATCTCCAGGGGAGCTGCCCCAGGCAGTCTCTGTTCTCTTCAGGGGCCATTGTGTCATCCCCATTCATTTTGAACTAGAGCCTAAATTTGATTGTTTAAGATTCTCTCTTCTTAAAAGAACAGCAGCCCTTCCTCAACCCCTCTCCCCTGTCTACTGTGGCCCCTCTTCCTTCCCACACAGCCAGGCTTCTTGACAGAACTACTACCCTGCTCTCTCTACTTCCTCAAGTCCATTCCCGCCTGGTTCACTGACACCTGGCCTCTCTCCCCACCTCTCGTCTAGGCTGCCAAGAACCCCTGAATTGCTAGGTGCCAAGGGTCCATCTCAGTCCTTACCTTTCTAGAGTTCTCTGATGCCTCTGGCACAGCTGACAGACCGTACCTTCTGGAAAAGCTGTCCTTGGCTCCTGGATGTCCTCCAGCCTCTCTCACTATTTCTTCTTCATCTCCTCCATGCACCTCTCCATTTTCTCTCACCTTGATGCTGGCCCCAGGGCCCTGGCCTTAGTCACTCAGGGCGGTTTCCTCAGCATTGCATCTCCCCCAGCCTCAACCTGTACTTCTGTGCAGACGAGCCTCAAACTGAGGCCTGGCCCTTACCATGTCCCTGAGCTCCTGCCCTTTTTATCCGGCTCTCCACTCAACATTCCACTTGGATATGCTGCAGGCATCTCAAACCCAGCAAGTTCAAAACTGAACTGAAGAGCTTTCCCCAAACCTCTCCTGTGCCCATGCTTCTCTCCCCTGAGAAGTGTCCACCTTTTACAGAAAATTAGAGGAGCAGGCCAGAAATTAGACATGGAGAAAGAAGAAAACAAAATGTCCGCAGTCACAGCATCCAGAAGTAACTTTGGCTGTTTGGGTGTACAGCCTCCCAGCCTTCCTTCAGTGGTTTTAATATTCCAATTTTCCTACTTAACGTTTTAGCATAAGAATGCCCCCATGATCACTAACTCTGCATAACTTATTTTAAAACTGTTTGGAACAGATAACACATTCCAACAGAACAAAAGGGAATATGGTAAAGAGTGAGTCTCCCTCCCATCCTGATCCCCATGTCCCCCAGTTCCCTCCCCAAGGCAGCTGCCATCACCCGCCATTGTTGCGTGCACACACGTTGCCACTTCCACCCTTGTTATACATATCACAGCACCCTGTTCTTCACCTTCCCTCATTCATTTAACAAACTGTCTTGGAAACATAAGTTCCCAGAGAGAGCTTCCTCATTCTTGCTTCCCGACACTAGTGCACCAGTCATGGCCGGACCACAGGTTATTAAATTCGCCCTCCCCTGCCAGACATTTAGGCTGTCACCAGTCCTCACTGTTGTCCATCAGCCCATGTGCGACAGCACAGGCCAGTGGGGCCCTGGCCTGGACACAGGCAGTGGATGTGAGTGAAATTTTGAAGGAAGAATGAATGGGTGAGGCTTAGAGTGAGTGAAGAAGTGAGAAGCCTGGTAATAGGGGACGAGGTGACAGGAGGAAGTGCTGGTTGCAGGGCCATGAGGAGTGTTGTTCTGAGCTCACTGGCACTGAGTGGAAGTGGAGCACTAGACAGACGAGGGGCCCCAACTCAGGTTAAGGCCAGGGTCATGGGCCCGGGGATGAGCTCACGGCAGGGGATGGACATTGCGAGGAGCTCTGTCCTGAGTCCTGAGAGGTAGACATTTTATCTCCACTTTACAGGTGATAAGAGTGGTGAACTCAGGTGCTGTGTCTCTGCTACGCACAGGCCTCATCTGGGTGGATGTTCAATATTTAGAGGGGACGGCCTCGCCTTTACAGAGGCCCCATATGTGTTCATGCACTGAACTCAGCTTCTCCCCTGACCCTGTCAGGCCTCCGAGTGGCAAGGCCTGGGATGGAGTAGGCTCCTGCCTGGTCCCCTGCCACCCGCCTGCCTCTGATCCAGGACCTCTGCTCTTTCCTGGCAGGTTCTGCCCATTATTGTTTTCTTCAGCTGTGTCATGTCAGTTCTGTACTACCTGGGCCTCATGCAGTGGATGATCCTGAAGGTGAGTCCCAAAGCCATAGCCTGGGTTGTTCCACAGGCCCCTGCTCACAGGGCTCATGGTCTCCCAGGATACCTTGCTCCCCGAGCCCAAATCCTCCCCCAACCCCCTGCCCTGAGAGCCTGGACCTTCCCAGAATCCCCTGCTCCCAGGGTCTACACCCTGTCAAATCTGCTAACCAAGCATCCTTTCCCATAGTCTCTTCTCATGATAAGGAGAAATGGCAACAAATCCAAGGTGGTCTTTGTGTGAGGGGAGTTTGCAGAATTGAGGCTGCACTGAGAAGAAATATTAGGGAAGAAAACAACTTATACCAAAAAGATCTTGAGAGACTAGAGCAGTGGGCCACATTGGTCAGACTTAGCTTGTATAAATGCTCAATCCTGTGCTTATGTTCATAAAACCTACTGCACAAAACCAGGATGCAGGAGACAGCACTGGACCTGGCGAAAGATTCTGAGGTTTTAGCTGACTGAGCTCAGAATAAACCAGCACCATCAGGTGGCTGCCAGGAGTGCAAAACCACCTGTAGTTACGAGTACGTTAAAAGCTCAGTGTGTGGTGTGAGGAAGGCAAGGGTCTCCAAATCTGGAGAATGGATTCAAGCAAGGGGCGTGCTAAACTGAACCATCAGTGGGAGAGTAAAAGGGCTGGACACTCTGCATAGAATGGCTTAAGGAAGTGGGGTGATGGGACTGAGAAAGAGAAGCCAGGTGGAGGAGATGAGGGGTAGGATAGCTGTGTCTGCTTGCTTGTAGAAGACAAACGGGAATGGACAGCCTGAGAGGTAACAGCAGTAGGGGGAAATTCCAGAGAAGCAGGTTTCATCTTGATTGAAAGGAAGCATTTTCTTTTTTTCTTTTTCTTTTTTTTTTAATAAAGATTTTATTGGGGAATTGGGGGAGGGGAACAGCGCTGGGGAATCTGGGGAAGGGGAACAGACAAGTTGCTGTCCTTTTATTCTTCAGTCTAGTTGTGGAGGACGTCACTTCACTGGCCCATGTTAGTATTATCATTGCATTCTTCCCGGATGAGGCAGATTGGTCGCCGGCCTCTGGACGGCCGCTCACGGTGGCTCTTGGCAGCTCACACCAGCTGCTGGCCGTTCACGCTGGCTGCCGGCCACACATGTTAGCTTATGGCAGCCCACTGCATCAGGGGCTGCAGCCTACGCCATCGCCGGCAACTCACGGCAGCCCAGCTCCAGGTTGAGCTGTTGTTCACCATCTTAGCTGTAGAGGGCAGTGTCACTGGCCCTCATGTGGGATCCGAACTGGGGTCCTGCTGCACAGAGCTGGCTCCCCAAGCCAGCTCTTGACCAATGTGCCACTCGGCCAGCCCAGCACTTTCTAATACAGTGTTTCCCAAGGCCTTTTCCACAAAAATCTAGTTCCATAACAGTTTAATAAATGCTACTAGGTAAAGGGATCTCATGGTCAAATGATTCTGTGAAGCTAACAGATTTAAACAAGTTTCATGCAGGACTTCTCAGAGCCTGTGCTAAACTATTGTATATCAGTTATTGCCAAGGTGTGTGTGTACAGTAACTCTCAAATACATTTGACCATGGAATCTCTTTTCCATGGATGGTAAGCCCCATCAATTGAGGTTTAGAAGAAGAAGATGAATGGGACTTTTGGGGACATGTAGGTGAGGGGGTCCTACCTGGGTTGGGAGTTGGAAGGCAGATTTGTAAGGTAATTTCACCCCTGACTCTCTCTGCCTCGGGGGCTTGCTGATGCCAGCCCACAAAGAGCACCCTGCTTCTTTCTAGATCGCTTGGCTGATGCAGGTCACCATGGGTACCACTGCCACTGAGACCCTGAGTGTGGCTGGAAACATCTTTGTGAGCCAGGTGGGTCCTGCAGCCTCCTGCCCTCATGCTCATCAGCAGCCTCACCAAGGAAGGCGAGTGCCCTGGGTCCCTGGAGCTCTGATTCAGTTAGTGGAAGAGCCTAGCGAGCCTTCTCCCAGAGTCACCAAAGGTGGCTGCCCCAGGGATGCATGTCTGGGGGTGCACTTTGCCTGGGTCATGCCAGGGAGGTTGCTATCTGTCTGTCACCTCCTACCACACCAGGCCTAGGCTGTTTTCATCAGCTCAGAGACTCATAAATCCTACAGATGGAGTCCAACTTTCTCCCTTTGTACATGAGGAAACAGGCTCAGGAGTGGGAATGACTTCCCAAGATCCCACAAGAGACACCAGTACTTAGAATCCAGGTTCTCTCCTTCCCAGCCAGGGTTCTTTCCACTACATCATTTTTTTTCTCCCTCTTTCTGAGAATATATTTTCCAAAGTGAATGTGACTCTGAAGACACTAGCAGCCCTGGTCCGTTTCAGAAGGCCCAACCCTCTTGAGGGTGAGCCTCTGCAGACAGCTCCAGGCTTCTGGCCCATCTGCCCAACATTTGAGGCTCCAAAAGACATACCTGCCTTTCTGGCAGCCCCCAGCCTTCATTAAAAGCGCAGGCCTGGAGCTTCATGGTCCATTTGCATGAACAGAGGTCATTCCCTGAACCTTTCTGAACCTCTGTTTGCTGTCCTGGAAAATGAGGCTGATCTCTTCTTTTCAGAAGTTTGTGAGTAATGAATGTGGGGTGCTTAGTGGGGTACATGGATATGGTAGGCATTTGACACAGGGGAGCATTATCAGGCCAAGTGGAAGCGCTGGGGGTCATCCAAGTACAGGCCACAGTCCTCACCCCACCTGCTGTCTCTTCCCCTGGGATCCCCAGCACTCACTGTGACCTGCCCACTCCTGGGGGGAAGAGACGCCCAGTTGCCTGTGCTGGCATGGCCAGCTGTTTGTCTGACGTCTTTCCTGCTTGCAGACCGAGGCTCCTCTACTGATCCGGCCCTACCTGGCAGACATGACCCTCTCTGAAGTCCACGTTGTCATGACCGGAGGCTACGCCACCATTGCCGGCTCCCTGCTGGGTGCCTACATCTCCTTTGGGGTATGAACACACTCCTGATGGGAGCATAATTTGCTGTAACTTTTCTGGAGACCATCTATCAGTCAATTTAAAAATACTCCTTCCCTTTGATCCAGTTAGGAATATTGCAATACAGAAATATTTTCACAAGGGTTCAAAACATGCAAAATTCCAACATTATTTGTAATAGCAAACAAAACAAAACAAATAAACAAACAAACAGAAACCCATAACAAGGAACAACGTAAATGTCGAGCAGTAAGGGGATGAGTTGGGTAAGTTCATCCACACAGTGTAATGCCACTGAGTCCCTAGAGTGACGTGGGTCATGGTTTGCCTTTCACTGTCCCTGATGTTGTATGTGAGGGATGATAAGAATGGCCCCCACTGTCCCCTTCTCTGGTCCCAAATTCCACCTGTCTCTATCATCTCTGTCCTTGGAGGGTGGCTGCGAGGTGGGCTTGAGGACAAGCCAGCCTGCCCCTCAGTCCCTCCTTTTCTTAGGACACCTGGGCTATACAGTAAGCTCAGCTCCACAGAGCTGCCTGGGCAGAGAGGCAGCTGTGTGACTTTTCAAGAAGGCCCCAGGGACTTTGGGGCTTCGTCTTTTGGCCTGGCACCCTCCCATCTAGAATTTTAGAGGTCAGCCAGCTCACACCTTATCTCACTGAGGCTTAGGAAAGGCCCCTCAGAGCTGGTGCACCTCCCCTCACAACACACACACCCCATCACCAAATGATTTAGGAAGGAATTTGACATTTCAAAAATGGATGCTCAAAACTGCCTGAAACTTTTTTCATGGTGGCATTCTACGGGAGGGGGTGCCATAATATTTTGGGGACTTAGGGACTTTAACTGTCTTAGCCTTCTTCTGGGTCCCACATCCAGTTAAAAGAATGGTATTCTTTCTACTGCATGCATGTAGCTGCCATTACTTAAGACTAAAAAATCCTGGAAGAACCCTGTTCCTTCCCACAATCGGCCTTACAACTGGGCCTGCTTTCTTTCCATTTCTCAGGCTGGAGTCCAGGCTTCGCCCCAGACAGTGGGGCCTCCCCAGTGAAGGGGCCTAGGTACCCACTTCCCTGTGGCTCTACAGAATGTGTAGAGGCCACCAGGATCAGCCAGGTGGCCATGGGCCTCTATTCACAGCCTCTGTATGGCAGTCCCACCATAGGTGGCCTGGGTGAAAAGCTCTTGACAGAACCAGTCTGGTAGCAAAGAAGCTCTCTTCTGCCCCCACCTGGCTCTTGGCCGCCACTGCAGCAGCCCCAGGACCTTCTCCCTATCTCTCCCCTCTCCCCTTCCACTCTCTCCTCCAGGCAGACCCACACTGTAGGTTTGGCTCTGCCCTCAGCCCCTGAACTCTAGAAAGATCCCTCTTGCTCTCTCCTTTCTGTTTGTTACTCAGCTTCTGGGTCCCTTGCCCTGCACCCCTGTTATTGCTAAAATCTGGATATTTCTAGAAGAGCGCTGTCCAAAGCAGTAGCCACTCGTCACATATGCTATTGAGCACTTGAAATGTGGCTGGTCTGAACTGAGATCTGCTATGAGACTTCGTATGGGGAAGGATAAATATCTATATTTTATTAATAAGCTTTATATTGATTGCATGGTAGAAAGAATATTTTTGGATATATTTACTTAAAACAAATATTATTAAAATTAATTTCACCTGTTTATCTTTAAATTGGCTACTAGAAAATTTAAAATCACAGATATGGTTCCCATTATATTGTATTGGACAATGCTGGTCTCGACCTTCTCCCCTGGTCTGAGGTCCCAGGGGTCACCTAACTGAATCCTTTAATGGTGGTTTCCACTTATATCTCCATTTTCACCATATTTCCCAAAAGCTCTAAAGCAGACATCAGCTCTCTCCACTAACCTTGGAAACTGGTCTCTATACTCACCCTCCCTGGTTCAGGGGCCATCATGAGAGGAGGTTTAGATCTATCCCTGGAGCTGTGGACACAGGCTGGGCAGAGTGACATTGAGGGGGTTGGCCACTGATGCTCCTCACTCAATTGTGCAAGAGTGGGAGCCCCCGGGACAGGGTCTGTGGGGCCCTGAGAAAGGCCAAGTGAGCATCTGCTACTTAGTTTCTACATCTGTAAAATGGGCAGGATTACTTCCCATCTCACAGCAGTTTAAGAATTAAATGCAATAATAGACAGAAGGCCCTTCTGGGGTTGAAGACTTGGTAGTTCTTTCTCTGACATGTTAGGATCAGAAATCTATCCTTCTAAACCAGACCTGTTTTGTGCTTTGTAATTATCTGGATTTATTTCCTTTCTCAGTGAAGGTCTGTTTGAAAATTAAACAGAGGGCTCATACCCTCTTTCCCTCTCTAACCCAGGCCCTTGGATGCTTGGACAGAAGGCAGTCCTGACCTGGAGGCAGGGCAGGGGGGCCTCATGGTCCTAAAGGGCAGCTGGTCATGTGTGGGCTGACCCTGTGGCCCAGGGATCCCTGCCTGTACAGGACTCAGGCAGGAAATGACTGGCTGGGGCATTTGAAGCTGTTGCCATGACTGGTTTATAGTGTCCAGGGAAGTGCAACTGTAGGGTGTGTTTCCTGCTGGGACTCAAGTTGGCAAACCAGAGGTAACCTCCAAGCTGGAGGAAGCAGGAGAGTCTTGGCTGGAGGAGGGAGGATCCCAAGATTCCAGGTGTGGCACCCTCCCCACTGGAGATGGGCAGCTGGGGAGAAGGCTAGTGACGTTCCAAAGCCCAGCCGGAAAGCCCAGAGAGGACGTCTGCCCCGAGGCTGGCTTCTTTCTGTAGGGAGCGGGGCCTGCACACCCAGTGCCTGTGATGGGGGCACAAGACTTAAGGGGTTTCTGCTGACCACTGAGAAGAAACAAGTGGGATTTCAAAGAAGAAGAAAGACATTACTGGCTTTCAGAGCCAGTCCTGTTCCTCAGCAGCAGTTCCTGTTACTCCGTGGCCTTCTGGGGCCCTGGGCTTTTATTAGCCTGAGCATGGAGCTTAAACTTACCTCCCCTTCTTTTCCCCCTTTTATTTAAAATTTAAGAACTATAGTTGATTTACCACAGGATTTAAGGAGCAGAATTCTGTTTTACTTTTCTGTTTATAAAGATAGTATACATACATATATAGTTGTTGACATTTCAAAATATACAAAAAAGCAGAAAGAAAAGAAAATCACCCCTGGCCCATTAGCTAGGAGTGGGCACTTGGTTGGCATTTTGGTGTATTTCTTTCCGATCTTCTTTTTATGCACAGTTTTGGAGTTTCTTTTCTTCCCTCATCATTGTGGTTATGCTCTATATGCAATTTTGTGGGCATGTCCCCACGTTATTGTGAAGCCTTGGTAACCATCATTTTCGATGGCAGCTTGACAATGCTTAGCTGCTCCCCTATTGTTAGATGTTTGGGTTGGTTCTAATTTTCCCATTTAGTAAATAACAGAGTGGTGAAAAAGTGTCCCATCTATCTCCATGGAAGGCAACAGGGAAGTATAGGGTTTGGGGTCACAGTAAGGATAGAAATCCAGGGAGAGACAACCCTGGGGCTCAGGTGGCTCCGCCATCTTGCTGAGAAGGGCCCCTAAGCTCCAGGAGATGGCAGGACACAGGGCCAGGGGGCGGCTGTTGTAGGAAGTAGATTTCCTGAGAAAAAGAGCTCTCCAGACAAAAGAGTAGGGTGATGAGCTGCCTTGAAGTGGTGAGTTCCCTGTCTCAGTGAGTATTCAAGGAGGGAATCCTATAGAGGGAAGACATTCCTACAAGGTCTACAAGGTCGAATTGTTTCACCTCGTGGATCCATTCATCCCAACTCTCAGGTTCTGTGAGTTTTTTCTGAAACCATCACAAACCCCTCAGCCAGTGGTGAACCAGCTATTGGATTAGTGGTCAAAGGGAGGCAGCCTGGAAAAGAAGGAAAAACCTTGAACTGGGAGCTGAAAGACATCATGGGCTTGAATTCCTTGTCTTCCTCTATTTTGGGACAGTCACATTTATTTCTCTGAGACCTCAGTTTCCTTGTCTGTAAAATGGGGTAACACTACAGTTGACCCTTGAGAACAGCCATGAGTTTGAACTGCATGGGTCCACTTATATGAAGGTTTTTTCAATAAATATAAATATATTTTCCTTGTGATTTTCTTAATATTTATTTTTCTCTAGCTTACTTTATTATAACAGTACAGTATATAATACATATAACATACAAACTGTGTTAATTGACTATGTATGTTGTCAGTAAGGCTTCTGGTCAACAGTAGGCTATTAGTAGTTAAGTTTTCAGGGAGTCAAATGTTATATGCAGCATTTTGACTACGCAGAGTATCAGCACCTCTAACCCCTGTGTGTTGTTCAAGGATCAACTGTACTCGTCCTGCCTAACTTACAGAAGTACTGGGGAAAATAGGAGGTTCTGTACATTATAGCCTGAGGCCCTCTGCACAGAAAGGTGTTATTCTCAGTAGCGATGGCAGCAGTACTGACAATGATGACAGCAGTGGGGTCTGCTGCCTAGGGCATGCCCTCTGACTGCCCCCCATTCTCACTCTTGCAGATCGACGCCTCCTCCTTGATTGCTGCCTCTGTGATGGCCGCCCCTTGTGCTTTGGCCCTCTCCAAGCTAGTCTACCCGGAGGTGGAGGAGTCTAAGTTCAGGAGTGAGGAAGGCGTGAAACTGAGCTGCGGGTGAGCACGGAGGAGGACCAGCAGCGGGGCCAGTGGTAGTGGCGGGGAGGTGGGGACAGGAGCTGAGGTGCGGGACAGGAGCCGAGATGGGAGACAGCAGTGGGTCCCATTTTCTCCACTCTTCCACCAAGCCCAGGCCTACCTCTACTCTTTCACTGCCCTCGTTGCGGCTTCACTGGCAAAAATGCAAACTCCAGTTGTTCCATCTTAATTTCCAATCTTGGACCAGCAGGAAACAATGGGAGAGTGGCCTGGTTCTTGGGGATGTGGCCTGGTGTGTGTGTGGTGAGGAGGGTCATGAAAAGGCTTCATGGCACCTTCTCCACATGCCTTGAGTTCTGAACACCAATGTGTCAATCACACATTGACATATTGAGCACCATCCTGGATTTCGCTCACCCTTTAATATCTCTTCATCGTAGTTTCAACAACTGTCGTGGTTTTTTTGTTTGTTTGTTTTATTTTTTTAAATGTTGAAATGGCACTACTTTTGACAAATGTCCTTGGGGTACAGTGGGCAGCCTAAACCTCACAACTTCCTGGAGATCTAGAGCAGTGCAGCCCTATGGAAATGTAATGTGAGCCACATCTATAATTTAAAATTTTCCAGTAGCCATCTTTAAAAAAGTAAAAAGATACAGTTGATTTTAATAAAATATTTTATTTATCCCAGTATATCCAAAATATTATTATTTCAACATGTAATTAGTATAAAAATGACTAATGAGCGATTTCACATTTTTTTTTTACTAAATCTCCAAAACCTGGTCTATATTTTATACTTACAACATGTCTCGGTTCTGAGCAGTCTCCTTTCAGGTGCTAACAGCCACACGTGGCTAATGGCTCCTGACTTGGATGACTCTGCACTCGAGGTCTGGGTCTTACCCAGCCCCTTCTTCTCTCTGGGTGTCAGAGGGAAGACAAGGATACTCGGCTCTGAAATACATTGTTCAGGGTTATTCCCTGACCCTATAGGAGGAGGGGCTCTGTCGTTTTGGGGGACAGGCCAGTAAGATGGTTCTCGATCCCAACAACAGAGATGCTCAGAACCTCCTGGAAGCCGCCAGCAGCGGAGCTGCCATGTCTGTGAAGGTCGTTGCCAACATCGCAGCCAACCTGATCGCCTTCCTGGCTGTGCTGGCCTTCGTCAACGCTGCCCTCTCCTGGCTGGGGGACATGGTGGACATCCAGGGGCTCAGCTTTCAGGTACAGTTCTGGCCGCCCCAGGCAGTGGGTGGTGGGTAGACACCCAGCAGAGCCAGCAGCCCAGGTCCCAGCAGTTCCTCTTGCCTTGTGCCTCAGCTCATCTGCTCCTACGTCCTTCGGCCTGTGGCCTTCTTGGTGGGCGTGCCCTGGGAGGACTGTCCGGTGGTGGCTGAGCTGCTGGGGATCAAGCTGTTTCTGAACGAGTTTGTGGCCTACGAGGAGCTCTCCCAGTACAAGCAGCGCCGGCTCGCAGGAGCTGAGGAGTGGCTCGGCACCAAGAAGCAGTGGATCTCTGTGAGTGTTCCCGTCCCCTCCCTGAGGCAGGGGCATGACACACAGCTGCTTTCCCGGCTCCTCGGGCTGGGCTGAGACACACTGAACTAGCGCTCAGACCCCCACATCCTACTGCCCTGGGGCCCAGATGACTTCAGGTTTCATGCCATCACCTTCCACCACTTAGGAGGCTGAGGTGTGGGGAAGGATCCTTGTTGGAGATATCTGAGGTCCGGCTGTAGATGGGCCACCATCCTGTGTGGCCGTGGGCCAGCCGCTGCTCTTTGCCTCTCCTATTGGAAAATCCTATTGGATTTTGAAAAATAATCCTATTGGAAAGCCAGTGTAGCATCTGCCACATCTACCGATGGAAAGAGATGTTAGCATCCAGGGCGCCCCGAGAGTGAAAAAGGGAGACCTCACTGCCACATTCACTGTCAGTATATTGCATTTAATTCAGAGGTTGGCTCTTTCTGTTAAAATTTATTTTAAAGATTATAAGAGATCTATAAAATGAACCTTTCTAAAAGAATAAAAGCTCTAGGTAACATCATTGGGAATGAAAAATGACCCATCTCATCATCCCAAAATAACAGCTATTGTTTTATACATTTTCTTCTGTTCTTTTTTTGAGCGTTCACATGGCTGTAATTATAGCATCCATACTGTATTGCCCCCAGCTTTCCCCCCATCTGCTACTATGACATAAACATCCTTTTTACTACCTGGATCCTCACATATTTAACCAGCCCCCTGCTGTCGGGCCACTCAGGTCAGTTCCATTATTTGGCAATTTTACTCGATGCTGAAAGGAATAGCTTTGTGCACAGAACTTTTCCCTTCTCTTGGATCATTTCCTCAGGAGCTTTCCCAGATGTGGGATGACTGAATCACACGGCACAGCACGAGTCCCTGTGCGGTTGCTCCTGGTAACTTTCCCAACTGAAAAGGCCCCCAGCGGTGCCTGTGAGCACTAACTTCACCACACACTGAACAGTACTGAGTAGCCTCTTAAAAAGAAATGGCTATTTGAAGGGGCAAATAATAGCTCATTGTTTTAATATGCAGTTCTTGAGTTACGAGGAACTTTTAACATGAAATATTTTTCCTTGTCTTTTTTTTTTTTAGTAGAGGGCAGTGTCACTGGCCCTCATATGTGGGATCCGAACCGGGGCCCTCTGGCGTCCCAAACCAGCTCTTAACCATCGCGCCACTCGGCCGGCCCCTTTCCTTGTCTTTTAAGTTATTGTTTTTAACTATAAGGGAATGTGTTCTTTAGCTAAAAAAAAAAAAAAAGTTTGTATGGTGTAAAAAGCACAGGTTTCCCTTCACTCCTCATCCTCAGCTCCAGTCTCACTCCTTCCTCTAGAGTTAATGGATGGTGCACTCCTTGACAATCTTTTCTATTTTTTTATGAACTTCATTTCTTCAGCAAGTATTCGTTGAGCCTTCTAAGGTGCCAGGCACTCAGGCCTCCTTGTGGTGTTGCATTTAGACCAAGACTTGGAGGGAGGAAAAGGGCCTGGGAGAAGCTGGAAAGAGCATTCCAGGCAAAGACAGAGGCACGTGCAGAGGCCCTTAGGTTGAAAAGCACTTGTCTGGAGAACTGAGAGGCGAAAAGTGCAGTTAGCAAAGGCAGTGGTTGTAAAAAAGAGTGGCACAGGCCAAGGAGTAGCAGAGTGTTACTGAAGATTCGCACTTAGCATTACTTGGGCTCCCTGTGGAGAGTGATTGTAGATGAGCCAGCAGGACATTTTCCCATCAATGTGTATAAACTCTATGTGATAAAGACATCAGTCTTTTCCTTTATATTTTCTATATATACTTTTCCTAGCCTTTTTTCCCCCGCTTTATTTTGTATTCGGGGATTTTTCTTTTAACACAAATTTTACACCAAATCTTTTCCTTTGTGGTTTCTTCTATTATTTGTAAACTTAGAAAGTTATCTCCATTGCAGAAATCTGTTAAGTGTTAAATTCATGAGTCAATATGGTGACATATTTAAAAGTATGAGTTTTGTAATCAGAGCTGAGTTCAGATTCTAACACAGTTGCCTTCTTGCTGTGTGCACTTCCTCTGTTACTTAACCTCTCTGAGCCTCAGTTTGCTTCTCTCAAAAATGAGTTATAATATTACCTTATAAATATAATAATAATTATTTATATTTTATATTATTGGATGTTTAGAATATCAATACTTATCTGCATCTATGATCTAGAATTAAATTTTTATATGGTGTGAGGTGTGGGTCTAAGCCAATTTTTCCCCCAATTCGTTCCATTTTGGCTCTTAATGGAACAGCTTTCTGGGAAACTGAGCAACTGTTCAGAGCAAAACAGAGGAGAAGAGAATTATTTTGCTTAACCATGCCTGGTACTTCCCATGCATCGTGTGCCTGGTACTTCCCATGCATAGTGTGGTCCTTAACACAGCTGGGCCTATCATCCCCACATTCCCGATGGAGAAACTGAAGCATAAAGAACCTATTGATTTGCTCAACTTGATCATAGGTGGGGACAAGCCAGGAACCCAAGTTGTTTGGGCTCCAAGTCCCTCACTGTCTTCCCTGGGCCACACTCCCTCTATTCTCAGCATGACAGCTGAGAGGGCTCCCAGCCTGAGAGGTTCCCAGTGGACAGAAGCACAGGACTGCAGAGTGCTGGGGGGTGGGGGAATTCCCCCAGGTGCCCCCTGAGTCTGGAGCTTGGTGGGACTGAGCGAGCCTGAATCACACCCAGAAAGCCTGGGAATTAAGCTAAGCAGATTGAAGGGCTATATGTTTGAGGTGGTGCATCTTGAACTGACTTAGAGGTGGGTGTGCAAGGCCTGGGAGGGGGCAGCACTGAGCACTTCCAAGGTCAAAGACGTAGAGCGAGTGGGTGACATTAAGGCCAGGGAGCTGGGTTGGTATGGGGTGCTCCCATCCCATCTGAGGAGAGCCCCTCCTCACCCATTGTCTGTATTTTCAGGTCAGAGCAGAAATCCTCACCACATATGCCCTCTGTGGATTTGCCAACTTCAGCTCCATTGGGATCATGCTTGGGGGCCTGAGTGAGTCCTGTGGGGGCCTCCCCAGCAGCCTTGAGACTTGGGGATCTGGACTCCAGTCCTGGCTGTGAAACAACTTCCTGGGAATCTGTAGGCTTCGGTTCTCCCATTAGGCTAAGGTGGGGCCTGAGTGAGATGGTCATCATGGAGGTTCCTCCCAGCCCCGGTATTTGGTGATTTCTCTGCTGCTGGGAGTGGCCCAGGCCAAGCCTCACTCGGGGTGCGGGGAGGGATGGGAGGTGCGGTGCTGGCCTGTCTCCTGAGACTGTGGCCTGCCAGTTTTCCTGCCCACTGTGGACAGGCAGGCCAGGGAGTGGAGGGTCCCTAGGGAGGGAGACTCTGCCCAGCTCTCAGCTCCTCACAAAAAACATTTCCACTCTTCATAACCGCCCTGCCTGGGGTATAACCACCCCATTTCACAGAGGAGGAAACTGAGTCGTGGAGAAGTGAAGTGATGGCCCAAGTCACTCAGCTAGTAAGTGGCTGAGCCTGTATTTAATCCCAGGTCTGCCTGACTCTAGGCTCCTATTCTCTTCATGTGCCTGCCACTGATGGTGTGTGGAGAGGAGGTGAGGGATGCTGCCAAGGGGCCCAGGTCAGACCAAGGAGGACTCCCGAGCTCAGCCAGTGGCAGGAGGACAATGTCCCTTCCTCTGGCCACCCAGGAGAGGAAGGGGAGTCAGCCGATACAGCTATTGGCAGAGAGGACCATGGTGTCCTGGCCCTGAGCACACCTGTCCCCTTGCAGCCTCCATGGTCCCCCAGCGGAGGAGTGACTTCTCCCAGATCGTGCTCCGGGCACTCTGCACGGGGGCCTGTGTGTCCCTGGTGAACGCCTGTGTGGCAGGTGAGTCCCTGCCTGGCAGAGCCCTGATTTTGTGGCACTGGGGCTCTGGCCTCTCTGGAAGTCCCCTGGGGTGGGGAATGGGGGGATGGGCCCTGCTTACCTGCTGCTTTCCCTGCATAGGGATCCTCTACATGCCCAGGGGGCCTGAGGTCAACTGTGCAGCCCTCCTGAACACGACCCTCAGCACCAGCAGCTTCGAGGTGTACCAGTGCTGCCGCGACTTCTTCCAGAGGTGAGGGCCTGGGCTGAGGGACTACCGGGCCCTGAGTGACTGTGCAGAAGGCCCAAGTGCCTGGGAGATGCCTTGGGCACCAGAATGAGGGGTAGAAATGTCATGACTGTGGCTGATGTCACCAGGGGAGGAGGAAGCGGGGCTTGAGAACCAACCTTGGGGAGGAAGGGTGGACCAGAGACATGGAGCAACTTTCCCAGGGTTGCACAGCCTTTAGTGGCCAGCAGAGCCAGTCCTAGAGCTCAAACTGCAGCCTTTCCTTTTTTTCAGCACCAGCCCAGCATTCAGCCCAGAGGCCCTGGACAACTGCTGTCGATTTTACAACCACACAATCTGTGCTTAGTGGGGACATGTCTTTGTTCCCCTGGGGGCTGTTCCTCTCCAGCAGTCAGCTGTCCCACCTTTGCCTTTCCAGGTTTCTCCCTGGGAAGTCACAGGGCTTAGACCCACCACAGTCACATACTGGGAAGGAGTGATGGGGTGAAAGGGCGGAGACAGAGTTAGGTGTGTAGGTGAGGGATGCCCCCCACTCTTCACTCCATTGCTGCTCCCCCATTCCCTGCCTTCCAAATGTGAATTCTTAGGATCACCTCTGTCTCCTTGTCTTTCCTCAATACGTCTGACAGCACCCTGGTCTTCCCTAGACCACCCCCCACCCCACCCCCAGCCATGGGTCTGTCCCATGCACCCTTTCCTTCTGTTGTTGTCCCTCACCCCTGTCATTTTAGCCCCTGGGCACTTGAGTCTTGCTGGGGCTAATCCCTGCCCACAGTTTCTCCTGGAGACCCCCTCCTCTACTTTCAGAGACTCCCCACTACCTTCCCCCATAGCACTTCCCAAACTGGCATCCCATGGAACACTATCTCACAAGGTGTCCAGAAGCTTCCATGGTCCACTAAGTTTGGGAAACATAAATAAAGTTAGACAGGTTTGAGTTATTCTTTCTTTTCTTTTTCTTTCTTTCGTCTTCTTTGTTTGTTTGTTTGTTTGTTTTTTTAACTATGGACTTGTCAGACCTTGTTTTGGATATAATAGGAGACGTTTTCCAAATTTATTTGACTGTAAGAACCTTTTTTTTATTGTTAGTTTCAGGTGTACAGAACAATGCAATAGTTATCCTTTTCACCCCTCACACAGAAACAACCCCCCCCCCCATCTACTGCCCTCCCACCCCCGATATCATACTTATCTATTACAATTCCATTGACTCCATTCCCACACTCTATTCCACGTCCCGTGACTATATGTACATATAATTATAGTTGACATACAATATTATTCAACATCAGCTTCAGATATACAGTGTGGTGGTCAGGCCTCTACACCAACTATGAAGTGGTCTCCCTAACAAGACGTGAGTCCATCTGGCCCCCTAAAAAATATTATAAGAACCATTTTTTTTTAAAGATTTTATTGGGGAATTGGGGGAGGGGAACAGCATTGGAAGATCGGGGAAGGGGAACAGACAGGTAGACAAATTGCTGTTTTGTTCTTCAGTCTAGTTGTGTAGGACATCACTTCACTGGCCCATGTTGGTATGATCATTGTGCTCTTCCTGGGTGAGGCAATCGGTCGCCGGTCATTGGTTGGCCACTCACAGTGGCTCACGGCAGCTCTCGCCTGCTGCCGGCTGCTCACGTAGCCCACTGCAGCCCCGCTGCAGCCTACACCGTCCCCTGTGACTCACAGCAGCCCAGCTCCAAATTGAGCTGTTGTTCACTACCTTAGCTGTAGAGGGCGCAGCGTCACTGGCCCTCAATGTGGGATCCGAACCGAGGCCCTGCTGCTCAGAGCTGGTGATCCCAAGCGAGCTCTTAACCAGCTGAGCTACTCGGCTGGCCCAGTAAAAACCTTTTTGATGGAAGCATCTCTTAGTTGAAGATTCCGTGGAACACAATTTGGGGACTATTGGTTAATGCTCACACTACATAATTGTACTGCTGACATATGTGTACACAGCACCATGTGCAAGGCACTGTTCTCAGTGCTTCCTATATTCTCACTCAATCTTGACGACAACCCTATGAAGGCAGGTACTATTATTATCCCTAGTTGAGGCCCAGAGAGGTTAAGTAACTTGCCCGGGGTTACACAACTGGGGAGATGAAGAGGCAGAATTTGAATCCAGGCCATATAGTTCTACAAGCCATGGTGTTTAGTGTCTTTGCTGGGCTGCTAGCAGTCAGGGAAGTCTGTTGTATACTTGCCGTTACCCCTTCCTCTGCCTTCTGTCCCCACCCCAACCCCTCTGACCAGCAGGTCAGACTTCTAGATGTTTTCCCAGCCCCTGAGCCCCCATCTCGGGGTCCTATTACACAGCACGCCCCCTCCTCCTCCCTTTTGTCCCTGCTGTTCCCATCTCAGTTCTCAATTCCCCAGTAGCTTTGGCTGCAGTGACCTGTGATATACCTGTCCCCGTAATCACTGGGCTCCTATACCTTCACCCGCTCTGTCAGGTCAGACTTCCCAGCTAATGTCGGCCTGAGGCAAAGGGAATATGGAGCCTGGTCAGCACTTACCCTGCTCGGCCCCGGTCAGCTAGGTGCTGCTTCTGCTCCATCATGGATTTGGGTTCCACTGGGCACTGGCCTTGTTCCTGGCAACCTCCACAAGCTGCCTTGGGGTTCCTGTCCTCAGGGTCTCAGGCCTCCTCCTTAGCTCTGCAGAGTGGAGTCATGACCTGATTTTCATACCCCATGACCAGGCCTTTGCTTTGCTCTCTGCAGCCACCCAACTAATCCCCTTTTCCTGTCCCAGCTCCCCTGGGACTATCACCAGTGTGTGCATCACTGTAGGAGACTAAATGTAATGTGGTGGGTTGTAGTGGGTTGAATTTGTCCCCTCAAAAAATATATCCCAAGTCCTAACCCCTGGTACCTGTGAGTTTGACCATATTTGGAAATTGGGTCATATTGGTGTAATTAAGTATCTGAAGATGAGATTATCCTGAATGTAGGCTAGGCCCTAAGTCCAATGATTTATAAGAGAAAGGAGAGGGCAATTTGAGACACATGGGCACAGAGATACATTGTTGCCTTATAGCCGATTACAAGACCACCCCGGCTGCATTAGCTCCTGATCCTATTAGTCATGAGAGAGTGTCTCAGTATGACTGAGGCCCGGTGGAATGATATCGGTAAAGCTCTCTCGGGGGGTGTCTCAGTATGACTGGGACCTGATGGAATAATATCAGTTATCTGCCCATTACGGGAGGACACAGTAACGTCAGTGTCCTGGGGCTGTGTAGTGATGTATGAAGGCATAGCATTTGTTGGAATACAATGGGATGGGTTAATGGAAAACAGCCTTAAGGCACACAATAACACACGGTTACTAATTCACAGCAGTTTTTATTTCCTTGAAAATTTTCAATAAAAGCCATGCGTCGACCCGATTCGGGGCTCAGTCTTCTCTGGCTGAGTCCCTTGGTCTCGCTCTTATCTGACTTCTGTCTCTTGTTCTTATTCAATCTGCGTCGCCCCTCTCGAGTCCCATTTGCCCTTGCCACGCAGGACGTGACAATACATATTGAAGGCCATGAAAAGAGGGAAACAAATTGGACTCCTCAGCTCCAAGGCATAAGCCAAGGGATGCCTGGAGCCGCCAGAAGCTGGACGAGACATGGAAGGATTCGGAGGGAGCGTGCCCTACGGATCCGACTTCTGACCTCCAGAACTGTGAGAGAATCAATTTCTATTGTTTTAATACACCACTTTTATGGTAATTTGTTATGGCAGCCCTGGGAAACTAATACGGGTATCTGAATGGGATCCTGGAATGGAAAAATGACATTAGGGGAAAACTAAGGAAATTCAAAGAAAGTATCGAGTATAGTTAATAATATACTAACATTGGTTCGTTAGTTGTGAGAAGGTACCATAGTAATGTAAGATGCTAACCATAGCAGAAGCTGGGTGTGGGATATGTGAGAACTGTGTCTTATTTGTGCAGCCTATTTATAAACCTAAAACTATTCTACAATTTAAGCGTTCCTTTTAAAACTGCATGGGAGAAAAAACTGTATTTACACAGATGCAGTGTAACTTGTAATTCAGCTCATGGATGGCTTTGTCCTAGGCAGTGCGCATCTCTGTGGGCAACCCCTCAAGTCCGGTGGGTTGCCCAGTGGGCTGCATCTACTCCTTCCCACTGCTGCCTCCCATGGCCCTGCTCTCATCCCTGCTGGCCCCTCACGTTAATTCAAGCGCCCGCCTTCAGCTGAACATGAATTGTCCTGACATCTTTACAACCACACGAAGAATATCGTCTGCCTGGAATGACTCGTGACTCAGAATCAGTGAGCCCTGAGTGTGGACAGGACCCTAACCATCATTTTGAGGGTACCAGCCCCTCCCAGCTTTTCTGAGAATTTTTACACCCATGGCATGGATGTCTCTGTCACCATGCTCTTATGTTTGAATCACGACACTCTACTCCCATGACCATCACTGATTGAACTAGGACCAAACAAACGCCTGACTCGGGGGAAGCCAAACCCAGTCTTGTCAATGGCCTTTCAGATTCTCAGGAAAGAATTTGAACTAAAAAACTCCAGAAACAGAGCTGGGAGCTGAGTCACCACAGTGGGGCTGGCCTGGACCTGAGCTCATTTCCACCCTTCCTGCAGCCAGGTTGCTTGGCTTTTCCTCAGATTCAATGAGTGCTGAATTCTCTCCTGGAAATGCCCTCTAACCTGAGCTACAGAGAGAAGGCCCCTATTACTTTGTAATCAAAAGGATACTGCCTAGGATAGCTACTTTGTTACACTCTGCATTCCACGTGGGATCAAGTAGTCACTCATCATTTGCTGGAATACCATCAAAACAAGAATCTCACTGTCCCTCTTTACAACCCATTTTGTATTGGACGGCTCTGCTTCTTAGAAGGTTCTTTTTTATTTTGAATCAAAAAGTGTTCCCTTTCACCCCAGTTTTGCCATGCTGGGCCATCCCATCTCATGTGCATATCTTTACTGTTTGTTTTTGTTTTTGTTTTTTTGT